TTTTCGCTCTGCTACCATGTTAAGATTTAAAACATATAAATTAGTTTTAAATAAACAATGTAAAAAATCAATAGAAGTTTTATTCTATAGATTTACAATAACGTATATTCCTTTATTTCTTGTGTTCAGGATATATAAAAATTAAAACGTGATACGAGGAGTGGTCAAAAAGTTCACGGAATGACAGGGAAGGATAATGAAATTAAACATTAAACTATTTTTCCTTTTCAATGTATTCTCCCTTAACACTAATACGTTTTGATTTCTTATATTTACGCGAACACTACACATTGAAATAATACTAGTTTTTACGGAATTTATCGCGTATATTTAACTTTTTAATTACCCGACGTTTCGAGAGCTTTACAGCACCCATGGTCACGGGAAGGACTGAGATGTTCAACGTCCAGCTGTCATAGTTAACCGCGGTTACCATAGATTAAAATTTAACTTTTGTTCCGATCTACACAGTATGAACTTATGGTATCATGGAGTCTTGCAGTTGTATGCTTGGGTTGGGATTTAATTTTATTTATTATAGGATCCCAAGCAGATGGTAGCACCCAGCCATCTTCTCTATTGAAATTAGGATGTTTTTTTATTTCAATAGCCTCGCGAATCATCCTTGGAAGGAATCGGTGTTCTTTAGCGAGGATTTGTGGTCTATCAAATCTGATGTAGTGACGGGGGCGATCCTGTACATGTTCACAGACTGCAGACTTCCCGGAGCGTCGATTCTTCACATCAGCTATATGTTCTTTGATACGGGTTTTAATGGATCTTTTAGTTTGTCCTATGTAGGAGAGACCACATTCACATATTTAAAAACAATATGCGGAAAGAATATTTGGAGGCGATACGTCAAGACATTTCGTCTATGTTACGTCGATGTTCAGTGCCTAAACCGAATCTTCCCAGAGACGAATTTATAGCGTTAAAGAACCTACGCAATAAACCAGAACTTACGATTCTCCGCGCAGATAAGGGAAACGCCACGGTAGTCATGGATACGTTAGATTATAATTCTAAAACACAAAAACTTTTGTCGAATGTAAGTACTTATAAAAAGGTTAAAAACAACCCAACAAATAGCACACTAAAAACTACTAGTGAGCTCATAAAGAAACACTCCGAAAAATTAAATCTGGACGTAAAATGGATAATACCTACGTGCGCCAAATCACCAAAGTCGTATGGGTTACCAAAAATACACAAGCCCAATGCTCCATTACGCCCCATAGTGAGCCAAATCGATTCACTAACTTACAGATTGGCTCAACACTTAGCGAAAATACTCTCACCGCTCAGGGGACATACAAGAGCACACATAAAGGATTCCTACCATTTTGTCAGCGAGATTAAAGACCTACGTCTGGCAGACAATGAAACTATGGTCAGTTTTGATGTGCAGTCATTGTTTACATGCTTACCTGTTGAAGACTGCATCTCAATTGTAACTAGAAGGCTGGAAGAAAACAACATGCCCGTAGAATATGCAGTATTACTCAGACACTGCCTTACATCTGGCTACCTATTGTGGAAGGAGGAGTTCTACAAGCAAGTAGATGGTGTGGCGATGGGCTCACTTGTATCTCCCATTGTCGCCGACATATTCATGGAAGACTTTGAGGAGAAAGCCCTGCTTACTTCTCCCATAAATCCAAGTTTCTACAAGCGGTACGTAGACGACACTTTCACAATTCTACCTTTAGATAAAGTAACTGCATTGTTAGACCATCTTAACTCTATAAATTCTAAAATTCAGTTCACAATGGAGTTAGAGGCAAACAATTCCTTAGCTTTTCTAGATGTGTTAGTAATTCGGAATCCTGATAACACCTTGAGCCATACTGTGTATAGAAAAAAGACCCATACAGATAGATATTTAAACGGTGATTCTCACCACCATCCTTCACAGTTAGCTACCGTGGGTAAATCTTTGTTTCAGAGAGCACGAGGGATCTGTACAGTAAACACCTGGCTGCCGAGCTCCAACATGTCAAGCAAGTTTTGCATGACAACAAGCTTCGGGTCCCGCGCCTACGTCACAGAGAACGAGTGAAGCCGGCCACAGTCGAGCGTGTACCTGCTGTACTGCCATATGTTAGAGGAGTCACTGACAAGATTGGCTACATCTTGAAGCGCGCTTCCATCAAAACATACTTCAAGCCGCCGAAGAAGATTGGTCAGTTTTTACCATCAGTCAAGTGTAACGTCCCTCTGCAAGATGCAGGAGTGTACAAGCTTGATTGTGAATGTGGTCTCTCCTACATAGGACAAACTAAAAGATCCATTAAAACCCGCGTCAAAGAACATATAGCTGATGTGAAGAATCGACGCTCCGGGAAGTCTGCAGTCTGTGAACATGTACAGGATCGCCCCCGTCACTACATCAGATTTGATAGACCACAAATCCTCGCTAAAGAACACCGATTCCTTCCAAGGATGATTCGCGAGGCTATTGAAATCAAAAAACATCCTAATTTCAATAGAGAAGATGGCTGGGTGCTACCATCTGCTTGGGATCCTATAATAAATAAAATTAAACCCAACCCAAGCATACAACTGCAAGACTCCATGATACCATAAGTTCATACTGTGTAGATCGGAACAAAAGTTAAATTTTAATCTATGGTAACCGCGGTTAACTTGACAGCTGGACGTTGAACATCTCAGTCCTTCCCGTGACCATGGGTGCTGTAAAGCTCTCGAAACGTCGGGTAATTAAAAAGTTAAATATACGCGATAAATTCCGTAAAAACTAGTATTATTTCAACTAATATGTTTGTTAGATCTGTCAAATAACTTATTAATACCGTCTAAAACCGGCATTTGGGGCCAGGTCTGGACTGTAGGGTGGGTGGCGCAGTTTTTCAAAATCGCACCGGTGATTGGCAGTCATCGCAACGTGGCTCGTGTGCACGGGCATATTGTCGTGCAAAAGGAGCACGCCTTTTGTAAGCTTTCCTCGCCTTTTTTCTTTAATAGCTCCTTTTTATTGATCTAGTAAAAAAGTTTAGTATTCTCCCGTTATGGAAACACCACGTTCCTTATAATTAATCAAAACGATACCTTCTGTATCGCAATAAATTGTCACCATGATCCTTCCATCCTTTTTATGCCACTGCATCGACTCTCGCTTTAACTCAGGTTCATAATGGTGAACCCAAGTTTCATCGCCAGTTACAATTCGGGCCATAACTTCCTCCATTTGCTCTCCACAGCGGTCCGAAAACTCGTGACAACTTTCGACGCGCTCGGGTTGTTGATGCGCAGAAACGATTCTCAGAAGCTCGGAACCCATCTTGCACAGGCTTTAGTTACACCAAGGTATTGATGTAGGATGTTTAAAATGATTGCTTCTGATACTCACAACTAATGCTGCAAGCTGTTTTTTCTTTAACCGGGCATCTTCCGATAAAAGTTTTTGAATTATTTCCGGCGTGGTAGCCTCATTATGCTATTAAGCTATTTTTTTCTTTCACCGAGCATCTTCAGATACAAGTTGTTCGATTATTTCTGTCGTGGTAGTCTCAGTTGGCCATCCAGGTCGGGGGTCATCTTCAATGGAGTCCCTCCCTTGTTTGAAAAGGCCGTGGCATTTATAAATCATGGTTTTCCCAGGAGCAGAATCCTAGAAATACCTGACATCTCTTGAAAAATGGTTTGAGGTGTCTTTCCTTGTTTGGTGAGAAACTTAATGATGGCGCGGATTCAATTTTCTCCGTAGTGGCTAGACAAAACTCACCCTCGCCAACCCTGCCATTCCGATAGTACAAAAGTAAACAAACTCTGTGAATCAGTGACACTGATTTAGTGTGAAAGTGAATTTTAGATGAATTTCACTTTCACACTAAATTAATTTTAGTTTCGTTCGTGACATTTCTAATTTTTAAAGATAATCATACATTTTAACTTAAGGCTCAGAAGGGCTAGAACCCAGAGCCGTAAAGCCATTTATAAAAAAATGATCGAATCATAAACAACTCATAAACATAACCTTACTTTTTCTTTTGTTTTCAGAAAGCTCAAAACTTGAAAAATCTTGTTTCTTGGGTGATTAACAAATTAAAGGAGACCACATGGGGTGTTAAGGTAAATATACAAACTTTAAATGCCACCCTATTCTGTACAATTTATATCCTACTTCTTTTTTTAAATACATTGTTAATATACAAACGATCAGGAACGAATAGCGATAGAGAAATGAAATTTAAAAATGCTGATTTCTTATTGACCAGACTGTTCTTGTTTTATTTTACCAATTCGAGATTATTTGCCTTACCTTTACTAACCATTCCGCACAGTATGTGCGGTGAGCATGAGCAAGGAAAGGATGTACTAGGTACTGTATGACGGGGGTGGTAAACATAAAGATAACAGGTAACACCAAAAGGTAAGGCATTGAAAGTAATTTAATTATAAAAGAGAAAATAAAATCTTTCAATAAATAGTTGTGATGAATTTTTGAAGGTAAGGTTTAATCAAAGATAATAATATAGTTACTAAGTTTTAGGGCAAAGTTATAAAATAAAAAGCCAGCCAAAATCCAGCACACTTTCAGCAATGAATTAAAGAGTCTTCTTATAAGTTATAATTAAAAATGTATTCTTTGTGTTGCATTTTTATCACTAACCATCCCATCAATTTCATTCTCACCATCATTCACTGCTCCAGCTGGCACGCATTTCCAAGAAGAGTTGCTAGAAGTCTGTAAGTTTGGGTTTTGCTTTTTAGATGAATTTTTGCATTTAAATAATCATTAAAACTTCAGTGTGCAGTAACAGAATTTATTTGTGTATTCTGCAGACACTAGAATATATAAATAAACTCTGTTCCACATGTTATGTGAGGTTAATACAGTAATTATTTTTTTATGTTATTTGTATATGAATAAGTTTAAGTTACTTATATTTTTTGTGTAATAAACATAGATGCTATTTAATTTTAAAATTAATATATTTTTTTTTAGTAGGAGAATGCCACTTACAGAAATAAATATGAAAAAAGCTGTTATAGGTAAGAAACGTAAGAGAAGTAAAGGGAAAAATGAACTTACTAATGATATTCTTGGCAAGAAAAGCTCAGATTCAAATAGTTTAACACAAATAACACACATGGAAAACACAGACTCACCCAAAACAAATAAGAAAAGTAAGTCAAATGTAGGAATTGAGCAATATCCGATTCTGAAAGATGAACAGTTAATACAAAAATTTCACAGTGTGACTTTGACAAATAACCAAAAAGGTAGTTAATTTATATAAAAGTAATAACTATGGTAAATCAGTTACCTAGCATACCATACAATTAGTAATTTTATATTTTCTAGGTAGAATCCGTCAACTTTTGAGAGATAATCTTAAGGGTACATCGGAAAATCTTTTACCTGATGTTATCCATAATAGAATGCAAGCAATACTTAAAAGTACTGATCAACTTAGTGATTCAGATCTAAGAAAGCTTCGAATCTTGCATAATATGTTAAAAACTGCAATACAAAGTAATAACACACAAACAGAAAAAGTAACTGACAAAAGTAAGAAAGATTCCAAGAAAAATAAAAAACAAAAGCTAGAAAATAATAAAGATGGGAAAGAAGAAACTGAAAATAATTTAGAAGAAAAGGAATCTAAAAAGGATGCCAAGAAAGAAGTTGTAACTAAAGTCAAAGGTCCAAAGAGATATGTAGTGTTTGTTGGGAATTTGCCTTTAGGTATCAATAGGGAGAAGGTAGGTTTCTAATTATTTGAAATTGTTCAGTTATAATTCATTTCCTCTAAAGCTATACCTTCGAGTCTCCATTGGTTGTTGGCTGTTCCAATTACATGGCCAGCCCATTACTTCTGCTACGGATGCTTTCATTAAAAATTCTACCATGCAAAAGAACTCCCAAAATAGCTTTTAATAGCATGCTGAGCAACCCTAAGCATTCTCGTACGGCCAGCAGTATAGAACATTGTCTATGTGTCATCATCTTTTATATCCTAATGACAATGGTTTCATAGAACTGGAATATATGCATTTATGCATGCAGATGGTCGGCATATGTAAATTTCTTTGAGATAATGCACTGCTCTGAAACAAGCTTAAATATAAAAAAAGTTACAGGAATCTTTAACTTAAATCTCTGCCAGAATAGCATTTAGATAGTAACATGCTATATTCTGCATCTCAGCAACTAAAGTGTGTATTTTGGATGTGTTCAAGCCATGAAATCTTGAAGAAGTTCAAAGCCTGTAAAGCATAAAAAGTGATGATTCTGTTACAGATTATTGAACATTTTTCTGAATTAAAAGATTCTATAAAGGATGTGCGGATACCTAAACAAAGTGAAGGAAAGAAGAGTGCTATTGCTTATGTAGAACTAGCAAATGAAATTACATATGAGGTGCATATATTTATATTTATAATATTTTTTTTAAGATTTCTTTTCATTTAACTATGTTTATATTTAACTTAAGCTAGCTCTCTTCCTGGACATACATCAATTTTATGTTTTTAATTGCCAAAAATTTAAAATAGGGAAGTAATCTATTTAAATGCACTATAAATTTTAATGGTGATGGTATCCCTTGCCACACCACTGTTATCATAATCGATTGATTATCATAATAGTGATAATAACTGCTTCTGTTTGGCATAAACCAAAAAAAATTATATTTAAAAAAATTGTATTCTACAAATTTTGAAATGAGTCCCTAACTTAATATTGGTCACTTTCATAAAAAAATCATTTGAAAAGACTATTACGTCGAATAACAACCATTAAAATAAGTATTATATTATCATTACACATTATATAAAATAGTCATGATCTAATTATCATTTTTATCATTTTTTTTTTACAAAAGCATTTCTTTATTTTATTAACTCTTTACTTTTTTTTAACAGTTGGCACTCTCAAAACATCACTCTATGCTTGAAAACAAGAGAGTAAATGTTCTATACACCGCTCAGAAAAAAGGCAAAATCAGCAAAACTGAAGCTAAGGTATGCTTAGAAATATAAATATAAAGAAAATATGAAACTGTTAGAATTTATACAATTTAAAAAAGTATTTATAAAATTTTAATGTCAAATCTTATCTGTGACTACAGATAGACAGACTACTATAACAGTGATCAGTGAGGGGTAAAACAGCCCCTTCAACTAACCTTAGGAGCTAATAAATTGAGCCAATTTCTTTTTTCATGCATTATGGTTACTATTTTTAGTATTACGGAACATATCAATTCGAAACATGTTGCCTAAAAGGTTATTTATTAGCCTTTACAATGAGGGTAGTTAGTTGTCAAATTTTTATTTTTAGTTAAAAGTTTAAAGTGTAGAATAAAATTATGGCATTTAATTCTTATGACATTTTGATTTTTCTCCATTATGAAAAAGTTAAATTGGTGGCTTTTGTCATTATACCCATATTGACATATTATTGTTGCCTTTAACAGCCTGGGTAATCAAATAGCCTGATAAAATGCACCGCAAGCTGCAGAAGTTGTAGCTTTACTTGAGGCTGGACATGGACAATGTGAAGTGACACGCAGATTTCATTTGATTCTTTCAACGGTACAGCGGGTATACCGCAGATATCTGGAGACTGCTGTTTTTGTTCAACAACTGAAAATTAATATTCAAAACCTTAAAGGCTATGATATCGGGATGTCAAAGATCTGAGTCCTCCCTCATGACCATGGGTTACAGTAAAGCGCCCGAGAAACGTCGGAAATTATAATAAGTATATTAAACGGGATAAAATCCGTGAAAATAATTTTATACAATTAATAGTATTCGCGTAAATATAATAAATCATTAGGTAGTAATTTATTAAGGGTGGTGTGAACTATCCGTAAATATATAATGTCATTTTGACAATTCTCCGTAAATTTGAATATAGCTATTTTTAAGGATTTTATCGCGTTTAATTTACTTATTGTTAATTCCCGAGGTTTTGTATTAAATCCAATTCTGTCAATGGATTTTCTTGTCGTGCTTCCTAAAATATATCATGTAGTAAAGTTTATTTTTTCTAACGTTGTCTAATGAAATGAGCGTTTCTTTACAAAAAACTTGACGGTTCAAACTTATATACTGTCTAGATAGTGACTTAGAATACCTAAGAATTAATCACTTTAAAAACTTTAGTTTCCTTACTACCTTGTTTGATGAGGTACTTAAAATGTAATCATTATTTTCTCTACAGAGTAAAACGGCAAAACTCGTGGCGTTGCAAAAATCTGGAAAGCTGATTGGCAGCGTTCCCATGAACAGGAAGCGCAGCCATCGGAGAATGAAAATGAAACAAGCGCAAGCGAAGCTAGCAGCCGGTTCCGCCTGATGCAGCGCAGTCTAACAATGTCCATATAATAATATTGTTACATAAAACTATGCTACATATCTTGCATTTTTCATTTTAGTAATTTTTTACCCTAAGTTGACTGCAGATTTGTTTCCTTCTGAATCAAAAAAAGAAATATCTGGTCGTTATTGTGTGAAATATTAAGTCCTATAATCTGCAATGAGGTTTGCAGTGTTTAATACTTTAGATACTTTGCGTAGAACAGCATAATATTAAAAACTTAATCCTAGTGTGCCACAATGATATTCTAGTATTTTTTTATAGGAGATACAAAAGAAAGACACTACGAATTTAGTCAAATGCAAAAAGGGGTTATCTAAAGACGTACCGAATCTTTAAGTAATCTTCTAAGCTTATCTATTCCAGTTTAAATATTTTTTTCTAGAAACTACAATTGAATTTGAATCTGAAAAAAAAAATGAAGTTACCTAAACGGGAGATAAATAAGTTCTAGGAATGGGGGCCAAGTACTATAAGATTATACATACTCTATATTATTTTATTTCTTAACATCTCAACTTCTCTTTGATATCCCTATAAACATTTTCCAAATCAGTTAATTAACAAACAGTCCAAAAAATGTTTTTTTCCTCAAAATAGTAAGAGGATCTTTATCTCAATGTCCTCTTACTAATTTTCAGTTTGCTTCATTTTCGTTTTTGAAAATGATAATCGAAAATAGGGCTGTAGGGTGATTATTCCAAAATTGCAGAGCTCATTTCTGTATAGTAGCGATCGCAGCATATAATGACATTTCCTTTAAACCGTCTTTTGATTATTACAGCTGTGTATTCTCTCATTATAGAAACACTGTTAATCAATGAAAAATATTTATTCCTTCTTTTCTCAAAAAAAAAAAAAAAAAAAGTTGGCCGTGAGTTATCTGGCTGATTGGGACACGTTGAGTTTCTTGGAAGGTGGCGTCTTATTTTATTGCCTCTGCATCGAGTTTTGCCTCGTTTCGCTTAGACGCAAGCTCAAAGACGAAAGCCCAAATTATATCTCCAGTAACAAACCGAACCTAACTTTTTTCTTGCTGGTTCTTCCCTGGACAGAGGTTTTCTTTGAACCAGTGGTAAAGTAAAAAATTTACTTTTAATAAGAATTACTTGTAATCTGTATTGAATAAAAAATTATTCTATTCTATTCTTGTTCTCGGTACGGTTCCACTGTTATGGACTCTACTTTTTAGTGCTAGCTTGATAGGACTCGATACAACCTATTTGTAAGGTCTTTAAATTATTTCAGGTCTGAATGTATACCATGTGTAATTTTTAACACTTTCACTGTCCAGTTTCCAGACACAATAGTAAGACAATAGCAATGACTCGTATGTGGGTCACGGGCAGGTCAGTGAACGTGTTATGTAGGTATATTAAATTAATTTACGAAACAGGATAAATTCCTAGTTGTACTGGCGGCGTAAGAATATCTGCTACCTTATATGGTACCGGGTGTTGTAAAAGGCGACTGGGAGAAACAAACCAGGATATGGGCGGCGGCGTCTTCCTACAAACAAAAAAATCTACCTGGCAACGGTAGATTTATTTTTTAATTGTTCCCAACCCGCCTGGCAAGCATATCAACTATAACAAATATCGCCCCTATGAAACAATTTATTCAGTATCTATAAAGTTTCAGCAGTGTACTTAAAACTATAATCAAGACTAAATAAATTTAATGTTCTGCTGAGATCATACAGCTTTCACTAATAACAATATATCAAATACAAAATAAAAAACAAGAAGGAAGTGCTTCAAAAATTATTTATTTATTCGTATATATAATTTATATATCCATTTTATAATTAAAATCAACCAATGCACACAACGTAAAACTTTGTAAACACGCCTCATATACGCCCACGGACGAATTTCACAATCCTTGCCAAAATATGTTTTACAATTTCCAGATAGACCTTATGTAATGGCAGTAGGTTTGAGGTTCGAAAGCATATTTTGGCAAAGGCATTTTAAGTATACAAAGATTAAAAAACTAGATACACAATAATAATTTATTTAAAAAGTTCTGTCTAAGAAACGATCACCAGGGATCAACTTAAAACACAGTGAGTAAATAACTTTAAAAATTAAAAGCTTGGATTAAGTATTCGTAAAATTATTAATACTTTCGCTAAATACTCAGTTTATAAAAAGAAACACATTACTGTGCAAGAGGAATGACAATGGATGTCTTTACACCATACGAACCAAATTGCGAATTTATATCAAACAAAAAGCGACAAAAAATTCACTGATGCAAATAAGTACTAGTAATTTGGATTCACCAACCACAATGTCCAATATCGTTACTTAACTTACAATTATTGAAATAAATAAATCCTAAAATAAATAAAATAATATGACTGTTGAATAATCAAACATTTACAATCTTTTAAAGAGAGTCAAGTACAGCATAATAATAAATTTGTTATGAAAACAAAATGAGATGAATGCGACATTTTAGTGTAAGTAGGGACATGGCTAGGGTTGCTAGTAGCCAAAATATTTTCAACAATTTTTTTTAAATATGTAACTAAATTATTTGAGTATTAAACTTAGTGTGATAATCCTTTTTCGAACAAATATAAAAAAAATAGAGAGGTTAAGAAATATATTGTTTTTTAAAATAAAGAAAATAATGCTTAGTAACATCTTTTTTTATTTTTTGTCAACTTCCTACAAAATAACATAAAACCCAGTAGTTCTAGTTTCAATTTTAGTATTTAAATTTATTTATAGAAATCTGAAAACCTATCGAAACAACCCTTATAACAATTCACGACAGCGCATATTAATTTTTTTTACATATGAAGCTGTCATCTGACTATAAATTGTAAAAAATGATTTTTTCTAAGTATCCCCAAAAAGGTGTTTACAATAATTTTTTCGCTGGTTTCAAACTTATTTTAGATTGTTAAAATATTGGAACTGTTAACTTTATGTATAAGAAAAGAAACTATACTGTTTAAAGTATGAATGGATTTTCCTTCTAATAAATGAAAATATTTTGGATTATTACCGTTATTAATTTGAAAGAAAGGAAAATGTATTCATTCAAATATAACAGCAAAACACCTGTCACTTTTGAATTAGGCCCTAAGCTAAACTTCCTCGCTCTCTAAATTTATATTCCCGCCTAATGCAATTATTTGAATTAATGCCTATTTTATGAACCAATCCCTGGTTGCAATTTAAAGGCAGTAAGTCTTGTGCAGACTATTCAAATACACAAATCGCATGGCATTTGCGTTCAGAAAAGTGCCTCTTAAATTGTCCAAGTAGATTGTTCCATTCAATAATCTTTTATATAATAATTATTTAATAATTTATACACACCCAAATACACATTTACAAATTCACTCGACTACGACTCTGTATTAACTGGCCACCGAAACGAGAATTTTAAAATTTCAAATTGAATAAAATGCAGGGAATACGAGAGTTATTTAAAATACTGCTTCGTTGCTACATGCAAATTATTTAAAAAAATAATATTCGAAAAATGACATCAATACTCTATATTCTCTATGCTTAAAAATAGATCTCGATCTAATGCTTTTTATCGCTAATATTATTTTAATACTAATATATACAGTCAGCTACATAATTAAATACAAGTACATCCAACAAAATAACCGTGTGCGTGTTGTCCGTTCACAAGTTCACAACAATAGAAACCACACCACTTCTCTATTCATTAACGTCCTAAATGAGATTCATATCTTACAGAATTGTTGCCCCAACCGATTTCATGACCTACATTATTACTGGAGTCCTATTTGGTTTGGAATGTATATTATTATAAGTCTTTGCCAAGTTTTGTAGGTTTTTAATTTGTAAGAAGCCAAAAATATTGACATTAGTCTACATGTCATTAAAAAGGCATGTTTTATGAACTTCGTAATAAACACAGTGTGAAATATAACAATATGAGGAAAAATAATTATAAGTATTACAATGTTTTGTGCGGAAAATGTCAGCGATAGTGTTGTTTAACTACTCCATTTCTATAAAAATGGGATTAATTTTAATTTATATATGAAACCATGAATAGAAAGAAAAGAGAGAAATTTCATTTACAATATTATTATGTTCTAATTATATTAAAGAAAAATGATATAGTATACTACACCTGATATTTAATATTTAAGTAATATATGATTGATAGCGGTATGACTCGTGTTATGCACCGAGCGACAGAACAGAAGGCAAGTTTACGCATGTACAATTCGCAGCAAATGCACAATAATTAAATAGCATATGAGAGATGAATAGTTATCGTCGACTAGATACTATCTGAGCGTTTGGTTGGTAGGCTGGTCAATCGTCGACGCCTAGAAGATAGTACTTAGTGGAGGACAATATTTAGTAGACGACGACCTAATCGCATGAAGAAACTTTCAGGACCTTGTTCCCAGAACTTCGTACGTTAATAAAGAAAATAAATCGACTACTGGGCAGGTTGACATTACGCTCGCGACTTGTGACACTTATACGAGACAGTCAAACTTTCAAATATTTTAAGTATTACTGATATCACAGAACATATTGTGTTCTTGTTGAATGCAATATTTGTGAATCGTTTATAAATGATGACAACATTTCGTCCATTCAGTTTCTAATGTCAATCATCATCAATATGATGAACATTTAAGAGAATTTTAATAGATATGTACGCTTCAGCTTAAAGCTGCTTGTGTATTAATGTAACAAGAAAAGATAAAATATTTGAATCTAACTCAAAAGATAAACACGTGGGGTGTTCTGCCGACCCGAAATGATTCCAGTATTCGTTCTTCGAACGTACTAACCATGCTCGAAACGTTTCTAGTCATTTATGTCACCTGAAGCGACGCGAAAGAGTACCCTCAATTGCACTCGCAGCATCGTTCGCAAATTTTTTTCTCTTTCTCCTAATCCTCGGCCGTTTAATTACTTATGGCGAGAAATTTGTCTTGTTGGGATTTATTTATTAATTTTACTTTATTTTTCTAGTGTTGTATTATTTCCTTGTATCATAATATTTATGTTTATCGAACACTCTTTATATATTTTTACGTAATTACCTAATAAATATATTACTCCATCCGGACGAATATATTTTAGAAATGTTCACCATAGTAAAACTATTGCTCTAGAATAAATAACAGCACAAATTCTTTTAACAGACAAAGAAAAAAGAGCCTAATACCATAACCATTTCTGAGAGAATTTAAGTAACCGCAAATACATTAAACTTAGTTCTGGCAGTGTTTTTTCACTTTAAACGTTCTTAAAACCATTTTACTAAAGTATTGTCTTACAATTGCATGTATTTTGGTAATGAAAGTGCTAAAAGCGAGCAAATTCAAAAGTCGTCAACATAACATTGTTGGTCATATATTAAATACTACGTTCCTTGTATGTTTCACATTAATTTATGTCATATGTTTGTAGAGTGACTTGTCTTATCATAAGGGTTCGGAAGTTTCACTTCCCCTTTCCACTAACTGTCCGGGTGTTGTGAAGCTGTCGTTCCAAGATGTGGCACACGCTGTGGTATATTGTACGGAGGGCGGTGGGACCCGCCCAGTGGTGGGCTTGCGCGGTGCGGTCACGCGTGCGGCCAGCGCGCGTCGAAGAACTGGCGCATGCTGTGGCCCGCGCGCCCCACCGGGCTGTCGTCCTCGTTGAACACCTCGCAGTTGCTGAAGATCAGTCGCACGTCCGACGCGAACTCCTCCTTGCACTTGTAGCTACGCACAATTAAACAATACTACATTACTATACAACCGACTTAAGTAGACGATTATTAAAACCGCTTCGCTCCACCGCTAACTTCACACTTTTTATAATAATAATATGTATATTTTATTCTCAATTTCACAAATAACTACATACATAAATACTCACGCCTGTCACCCAGAGGGGTAGGCAGAGACTACAGACTTCCCATTTGGCACGATCCTGACACACCTCTCTCGCCGCCTTCACATTCATATACCTACGCATACATGCTCGTCGGTTAAGGGTTTAATTTGGCCCGTTTTCAATAAATCGCCAATTTGGTCGATAAATTTTCGCCTAGGACGTCCCTTTCCGACTCTGCCATTCACTTCTGCAACATAAATTTTCTTTGTCACTCTTTCCTCATTCATTCTTTCCACATGACCAAACCACCGAAGCATTCCTTTCTTAATCCTGGTCACAACATCGTCTTGCAAACCACACTCTTCTCTTATCACACAATTTCTCACCCTGTCATTCCGATTCAGCTCTAACATACCTTATTATTTATTTATTTACCTTATTATATATTTATTTTAAATTACAAAATTACATTTCAAAGAAGTTAGCGTGTGTATGTATGAGTTTGTGTGTTAAAATTTAAATACCGATTAATTTCTCTGTTTATAAATAATTAAAGTGTAGCAACCAATTTAGAATTTTATCCTTGCATATATTAAGGGGCAAAGGGTGAATACTGTTTACTTTATTTGCTACATTATATAAATAACTGCTAGTGACCAGCTAGAGACATAATAATCGGTTACTTAAGTTCCGTGTATTGCACATCATTTTATAGTACAAGTGACTTAAATCCACAAAAATCTGACTTTAATTCAAATTTAAGAAAAACATTCTTTGAAATTAAAATAAAACAAAAATGTTCTTTTCTGAGAATTCTAGACCTAAAATATCAACATCATGTCTGAATGAAGAAGTTTTGTAAGTAAATACAGCGAATCAAAGTATTACAAGAATTACAACATCAATCTAAAGATTTAATTAAACGGAACCAAATGAGGCTCGATATACAGAAGTTTTGTATGATCCAGATGTTGGCTTATATGTAAATGATTTATCAAACCTGAATTCACAACGGTCTTATTTTTTTAGTAAATGGTAGTAATATTAATTGACTTTTGAATAATTGTACTTTAAAAAATACAGTTCAAGCTAAAAATGTACAAAATAATTTAGTATTTTTTTTATATTTCTTGATCAAATTATATAATGTTTTGTTTGCAATTTAAAGTATTCTACTATGTTATGCTACTGTTAATAATTAAAGTTCTATTGCATTTATTATTATGTTCCAATAAATGTTTAATTTTTTAATAATAAAATATTATAAATTTTATGCGTGACTTAAGTAAAACATACCGTACAATAATCGGCTAGTTAAGTCCCGCATGAGCGTGTCTTAAACGTGATTTTAAGATACCGTTAACTATAAAAATAGTCATCTATAATGGTAAGAATTATCTCGCATATCTCTCGATTAATTTATTTATCAATTATATAATATATTCAATTTTCTCTCGATTAATTAGACCATTAATTGGACAGCTAGCGCCCCCACTGCTCTCCCACCTGCATACTCAGGCTGACTAGTATACCGAAACTTAAAAATAGTGTCACTAAAATTATGTTTAAAAGGTGCTGAATTCAAGACCAAAAAGAAAAAATTCTAAAAGAAACTCCAGGGTGATCTTGTGATATTCATTACCGTTAAAGATAAAGGAATCTAAAGAGACGTCAATCCGCCATATGCTACGTGGCATATTCTTTAGTCTAGGGGAAGCCTGCGATATCTTTGAGCGATAACGATGAAATGAATATGTTATATTATACTTATATGAAATTGGTGATATAAACTTACAATCCATCTTGAAGCTTGCGCCTAATAGTGGACAAGTCCATGGGACACTTGATTACTTTGCGATACTGCGGAAACTGTTTCGTGTTTACCGGCACTAAGAATGGCCACGCGTGCTCATGGCACTCCATCTCACACAGCAAATTTCTGAAATTAGTTCAATATCAAATGAGACTGTTGTATTAAAAACAAAAAAATGAGACGTGTTTTATGCTCGGCATCGCTCTCGTATATTCTATATCTATTATGTATATCTATTTAATGACATAATCCTCCTCTCTTGCAAATAGCAAATACCAAATAGGTAATCTACCTTGGCGATAAACAATAATTACGAACATGTGTATTTTCTTAAGTAGTAAAAATGAGTAAACATACAAATAAATAAAATAACATTACGCCTGTATTCAACGAGGGGGGTAGAAGTAGTTCAAAGAGCAGCAAGGTAGTCGGAACACATTTAGCCAAAAAATATGGGTATAGATCATTGAAGTAATATGTATTTAAGTACTAGAATAGCTATCTCAAACAAAAAATGTGCGCTACTCTGTGTTCGCGCGGTTGTTTTTTATCATAGAATAAATATAAGTAGAATGACCCGTAGGTAATAGTAGATCGTATTGTTAAATAGGTAAATTATACGGAGAACAATATTTAAATTTTGTCACTATTTCGTATATTATATTTGCTTATTTAATATAATATTACATGATATTATATCACAATTACATTTTATCTGAATATTTTAAAAGTTATCTAAGTCAAATATAATTAAAACATACTAAATGTATGTTTAACAAAACTTATTAACATAACATTTAAATTACAAATATATTTCTTTAAATTAGAATAAAAGTCGTTCATAAATGCTGGGCACGCGAGAGTTAAAATTGGACGAATTTATACCACTTTGATGTGTAAACCTAAAAATAAAATAAAAGAATAATAAGCAGGTTTAAACATGAAAATTTTTGCCAAATTATAATAACTTTTATATGTTTCTACAAAAAATGTTTATAATATATTATTTGTCCTATACTTAAGTACCCACAGAAATGTCGCATCTGAACATATTAATTTCATAATCTATATTCCCTGACACGAGATGGCGTCTTAGGAATAATTTGTTTTATTATTAATACATAATACTTTTTATTAATTAGTATCTTATTAACCGATTAAAAGTAATTCCTTGGTTTTTACTGATATTTCTTGAATTATTTGTGCAATATCTTAAGTACACACGACGGCATAAATTTATCAAAAGATTTTTTTTAATTAACACACACTCTATAAGCGCCTAGCGAGTGACTGATTAAAGTGCGGTGTACGCACCGCAGTTGAGTGGAACAGTGTAGCTGAATGCAGTGTCGCCTCTAGTACGTAGTACATAATAGCTCAATGGTATAGATGATATTGGCTACACATCGCCTACACAATCAAAAACCCATTTTATTTAAATAGTATTCGGGTGATAAACGAAGCACACAGTCCTGAACTGATGGTATGACAAAGTAACAATTCAATTCTGCCTATTGACCTTATGTAAATAAAATTTTAATTTGTAGACTGTAGAGATTTGGAGATTGTAGAGAGAATATAGGTGACAAACGAGCACACAGTTCACCTCATGGTAAGTGAATGCTGTGGCCCATAGACATCTACATCTTTCCTTAGCAAAGAATCAAAATGCAGATGCGTTGTCACCCCTGAAGACTAAGATGGAATGCCTCATTTCCCGTAAAAAGGGTCTCCGGTTTTCTACACTCACAATATGACACACAGCAACATTAAGTTGCTATTTTACGGTGGTATCCTGTGAAAGCTTAGTTTTCCCCAGTAGTCCTATGTCATTCGGTGCCTATTACGACATGGCAAGTTTGGCACATTTTTTTTTCATAAGCCTTACATAAGCATGTGATATATAAAAAAATAAACTTAGGAAAAATTTAAAAAATGCTAAATATTTAGAACTTCTTAGCTAACCTACTTCGCTCGAGATTTGTTATTTTCAAAAAGCTTTTATCACACGTAAACTAGAATACAAGCCGATGGTTAGCAACGAAGTCGTGTAATTTGCAAATATCGCAGCACGGGCAAGTAGTCAATGATCCTTCGCGCGATGGTGGATTATTCGTTATGGAAATATAAATGTTATTTATAATGTTCATTTGAATTCGCGTATTTCAATTAACCACAATGAATCATAAGGAAAATAAAGTGAATAATATACTGTGATAAAAAAGTAAAGTTACAGCCTATATACGTCCCACTGCTGGGTACAGGCCTCCCCTCATTTCTGAGAAGGTTTTAGGGCAAGGAAGTGTCCGCCGCGCTAGCCCAATGCGTATTTGCGAAATTCACATTCTTCGAAATATTTTTTTTCTTATTCCTCAGACATGCAGGTTTCCTCACGATGTTTTCCTTCACCGCCGAGGACGTGGTAAATCAGCACTTAAAATTGCAATTAACAATTTCCATTGATGCACGGCGGAGATCGAACCCGGGTTACTCGCGTTCTGTAATATTTACAGCAAGCTACTGTGATACCAAAAGTAAACTCGTAATTTATTTCTAAACTGGCAGTGTGCAACTGCAACGCTGCCGCAAGTATTAAAACAGCCTACAAAAACTGCACCAATAAGTATTTAAATGAATGTTCTTACTTGCAAAACTGTAATTCCTTAAGTTGTTTTTTGGCACTGGTTTTCTCTTTTTTCCCTCGCGGCACCAAAGGCATGTTCTCTGAATTGACGTCCTCTACTGTAACAAATAAATAACGTTCGGAAAATATAATGCTATTGATTTTTTTATGAAAATAAATAAAAATTACAAAAACATGTTCATTTTACGCACACCACAATGTGTTCAGATTGAAAACTAAAAGTCATTGCAATTAAATATACTCCCAACTGTTACTTTTAAGCCGAGTCTCGTGCTGAGGTCGTTTTTTTTTTAAAAAATACTGGTAAAAATATTAATGTTACTAATATTCCCTTGCCCTGAATGGCGCATTCGAACCTACGACCTCTCGAGTTCGGCGTCCGCACCACATTAGGATACCGTCGCTTTAAACTAATTTACCTACTTTACATAGGAGTACAATCACATTTTGGTCTCTTTCGTTCCACAGTTTTGACGTTAACAATTTTTTTGCATGTCGAACACACACAATATTCATTGTGCAAATTTCACACCGCACGTCTAATTTGGGGTATAACGTCTAGCCTTGAGCTACCACGGCGTATGTGGCAATAATAGCTTATAAGAAATTAGTAATTTAAATCATCCGATACTGACCGTCCATGTGATCCGATTCATCGTGTTGCAAGGCTCCGTTTCCGCCAAACTGCAATGCGCGTCGTTTCTCAGGCGGCTGGCCGTCTTCCGTTAATTCGCCGACTGTTGGTATATTTTTTGTTTTATTTCACACGTAAACATTATTTTCGGGTGTGATGTGACACTAACCAAGAGAACATCATTACTTTAGTGATGTCATTGGATTGTAATAGAAGTATGTTGGCACGTCGCCAGTAAGATGTGCAACCAGGGGAACCATAGAATACTATAATACACAATAGAATGGCTGTCAACCTTATTTTGTACGAGGATCGGCGTAGCCGGGAGCACACATACAAGCAATTATGTCGTATTATCAGTTATCACTACTACAAACCCGATTCGCTGTGATGACAGACTGATTCGACGCAAATATTTTTTTATTTTTGTTTTTAATATTCAGAAAATATAAATAGTTTCGACTTACAGGTTGTAGGATATACCTCCTTTATTTGAATTTCATTTCCCGCTGTTCTTTCGACACGTAATTGCGCTGCTGTTTCCGGTTTGAATGGTATATTATATTCTTTTTTTATTAACTGGCTTTACGGCTCTGGGTTCTAGCCTTTCTGAGCCTGTATATTACATTGAGCCAATATAATTACAGGGCATTCTATCTTAATCCTCAGAGGTGACATGCATCTGCAGCCTTCTTTGTTTAAAGTTGGCTGCAGGTGTACATTGACTACCGTAAGCATTTACCGTTAGGTAGACTGTAATTTTGTTTATCACCACAGTTCCATAAAAATGTCATTAGTTTGTAATGAATGTGGGCTTAATGCAGTGCGATGTGCGACCAGGAGAACATCATCACTTTAATGACGTCATCAAATTGTAATAAAATTTGTAGGTAAAGTACAGTACGATGTGTCACCAGGGGAACATCATCACTTTAGCTATTATGTCAATTGGATTGTAATAAAGTACGTCAATTAGATTGTAATAAAGTGTTATGTAATTTGCTCACCAGGGTGGTGGTTAAGACCGTTCTCCGGCTCGGCGAGCGGCTCGTCGCGATCGTCATGCTTCTCGGGTGTGTGCAGCACGCTTGCCGCGCACTCTTCTGCTGTCGTCGAGGTGGACGCCTGCGATGCTGCCGGGCTGGAAACAATCAAATGATTATATATTTTACAAGAAGATGATACGGGATGACAAACGAGCACACAGTCCACCTGTTGGTAAGTGGTCTCTGTGGCCCATAGACACCTACATATATCCTCGATTACGAATCAAAATACAGATGCGTTGTCACCCGTGAGGACTAAGATCGAATGCTTCATTTCCAGTAAAAAGGGTCTCCGATTCTCTACACTCACCATACGAAAAACAGCAGCATTGAGTTACTATTTTACGCTGGTATTCTGTGAGAGCGTAATCCTCCGGTCGAGGCGACCCATTCGTGCTACAACTATACTACTAATATAACTGCAGCAATATGTTACAACGTAGAATATATAATATATATGTGTGTATAATGTATATGTGTGTATAATGTATGTGTGTATATTGTATATGTTGCACCATCTTTTGATAACTCTATAACGTTTCTATAATGTTTGATCGCACTATAACGTTGTTATGAATATTTAACAGCGTAAGCCTTATATGTATTCAGACTAATGAAGACCTATTGAAATATAGCTCTGAGTGTTTTATTTAAAAATATATAAATAAAATAGGCGCGGATAGACAAATACAAACCTTGGAACCATACTCTGGTCAAGGTCGATGCTGTTGTCCTTATGTTTGCTTTCTCGCTTCTTTGTATTTCGTGGTTTCTTTGGAGGTGCGCGTGAAATGCACTGCGAGCAGTACCATTTGCCACGCGGGTTCTGTTTAAAAAAGTACACATTTTATAATTTAGAAAATTTTAAAAATAAACTTACACCTTTTACTATCACTTTAGAAGCTGTTGCTTTGACCAACGTATAGCCAGATAAATTTTATTGTATGGTAGCAACCCGAATTCTTTAGCAAGTAATGTACATCGAACTTATGTTTTATGTGGTGAGCTTGGACCAATCACTGACCACAAAAATAAATCCCTGTTAATTCATGGGCTTGTACGGTATTAACAGCAGTGGAATTTGATAGGCGAATAAAGAAGAAGAATCTGGAAGAATTGTGACATCATTGTTACTACTTGTACACTTTCTGTGACATATGCACATATGGGTGCGTTTGGCAGAAAAAAGCGCTAGCAAGCGCTTGTAAGCAAAATGGCGAAACTAAACAGTTTTCGGCCAGGACACGTTTGCTAACTTCAGTAGCGCTGACGCAATCTGCCATTTTGCTTATTTAATTTGTTTGTTTTGAAGTAGAGTTTATAAGTTGTTTTGTGGAATATTAGTTTCAAGTAATATAATGACACGAATAAACATATACACAGTGGCGAAGCTAGAGCTCCAAGCTAGGGCAAGCCCAAGATATAAATTGTTAAAAATATAGATTGTTGTTTTTAGCAGTTTTATAAAAATACCCCAATCTTGATCTGTCTCCACGCTTCAGTTTCATATTCAGTGCTGTTAAGGACGTGTTTAACAAAGCACACAGAAGGCATACCACTGCTATATAGATTGTATTACATATCAGCAATTGCATAGCTTCGGTGGCTTTGAAGAAAGCCGTCTGGGTTTGTTTAAGCGAAAGAAAAAAATATTTACATCCAATACAATACATGAACAAAAGTAAAACACGAACAAAGTACAAACAAACTATATACAAAATTAAAAAAAAATATATTTACATTCTAATGGATAAGAGATAAGATAAGGTGGAATCGTCTCGCTTTCTTATGGAAAGATTTAATTACGTCCACGTAAAATGTTGGTGAACGTTTTAATTGTACCAATAACTGTTTTTAATTGCGATAATTGATAAGTCTGAAATACATTCTTAACCTTGTGTATTATCTCAACAAAGTTTAAAGATTTCCTCTCCGATTATCACTTTAACACACTTCAATTCATCACAAGGAACACTATTATCCTCCATTTTCATTAAAATCTTTAAAAAAGCATAAATTTTGAACTCGTAATATTAAATCGCTTAAGATAAGCACACAGAGTAAATAAACATTGAAACGTGAAATGAACTTGCAAACGTATTGCCCGCGGGCCTCCGCTTTTAACAAATTTATTCCCAAAAGCCTGGCTTTAAATCTCTATACTAATTGCTATATATACAATCGTAGTTATATTTCATTATAGAATATTTTGCCATAGGTTAGAAAGAGAGCGATCGTCTTCTCGAAAGCCCACTAGACAACTAATCGCTCTATTAAAACTCATTTTTTATGACAGCAGCAGTATCATCACTAAGGCAATACGAGGTCATCGGTAGACATGTGTCGAACAGTGGAGTGCGGGGAAAATTTGAAATAGTTTCAAACAGTTTACGAGTTATTTTATTAGTTGATATTATTGATTGATTTTTTTTCAGGTTTAATAAGGCAAGCCCGGCTTTTCGGCTTTAATGGAAGCTTCGCCACTGCATATACATATTATTAAAAATTCATGATTGGTAGGTTTTTTATATGAATACTTTACAAACATATATTTAAATTAGGTTAGGTTCCCCGGTTAAAACTAACTTCGTGTCCTAGAGGACTAGAGCGCTTACCGCTTACGATCGCCATTTTGCTTACAAGCGCTTGCTAGCGCTTTTTTCTGCCAAACGCAGCCAATACCTACATCATAGTTTCCACACGCAATTGACATAAATAGTGTTGAACGTGGATAGGACAGTGAGGTGATCAGCAGGTTTGGAGGTGAGTGTGTTAGCGAAAGTGAGTATTGAAATCTCAACAGAGATAGTTTTAGTGTGCTACGTCCACCGGCGAATACCTTACGCTTGCTTTTATAAATTGTATTGAAGATGATTATAATATATGTGATTGCAATTAAGTTTTCAAAATGTGTGGGACTGTCATTTCATAATTTTTTTTACAGGAAAAGGGTGACAAGCGAGCACACAGTCCACCTGATGGTAAGTGGATGCTGTGGACCATAGATATACATTTATTAAGAATCAAAATGCAGATGCTTGTCACCCTTGAGGACAAAGATGGAATGCCTCGATTCCATTAAAACGGGTCTCAGATTCTCGACCCTCACCATACGAAACACTGCAGTATTCAGCTGCTATTTTACGCTTGTATTCTGTGAGAGCGTGGTCCTTCGCCGGTCGAAAAATACAATAATACAGTTTATTGGAGGGAATAAGTGACGATTCTAACAGTTAGTGAGTAAGGGAGTGAGTGAGTGAATGAGTGGGCGGACCTTGGTGAGCGGCGGGTAGTGGCAGTCCTGGTGGTAGGCGCGCACGCACAGCGCGCACGGGATGGTGCGGCCGGCCGCCACGCCACCGCACACGATGCACACGCGCTCGCCGCGCGCCTTGTTCACGCACTCCCAACAGTACCTGCACGTTACGTTTTTAACACGTTACGTAGCGGAAATCCATTATATTAAAGTGTTCCTCTGACTTCATTCGCATGGAATTACGATTGACTTTCATGGGTTTTAATTTTTTGCGCAGAACCCTAATTCTTTTTCTAAAATAAATATAGTCTAAGTATGGCCAAAGTTACACAAAATTTTTTTATTAAACAAGTTTAAACGTTTTATAGAAAAATTACACAAAATGGGTTATTATAATATAAATGAATACAAAAATGAAAATAACCCCTGGGAATGAGGTGATCGCCATAATGCTGGTTCTATAAAAATTCATACAAAAAATGTACAAAATAAATTTATTGTAATTTGAAATACGTTTTAAAAAATGTCCCGCTGGGTTTCTTGTTGGATCTTCCCAGGACGGAAGTTTTTTTGAGAACCAGCAGTAAATAAAAAAATGACTTTCAATAAGTATTATACAATAATCTGTATTGAATAAAAATCATTCATTTAATTTCATTCACTTATAACATAGCTATTTCGGATATTAACCGGAACAAACAGACGGACAAAAATTAAAAAAAAAATATTATAATTACCGTACATACCTACATATGCATTTAGAGAAAAGCAGTTATTTTGACATTACTAACAGACAGTTCAATTTTATTTATTTGTATAAATATTAAAAATTAAGTAGCTATTGATTACGCAGAACTTACCTAATTAATTTTTAACATTTTAACATCATTTTTTCATAGACTGTGGAGCACATAATTTTAATTTGTGTAAAGCAATTATCAAAAAAAGGATTGCACCTGAGTAGCTCGGCCACTGAGTAGCTGAGTTACCACGGCTATACAGGCCAATAAATACCAAAACACCATGTAGTGGCTGTGTAAGTATATCCACAATCCCATATCGTCCCGTGAGTGTCGTAAAAGGCGACAGATGGAAACAAACCAGGAAAAGGGCAGCAGCATCGGTTAGCAAGCGTAGCACCTATGGCAAATTACCGCTATGAAGCTATCTATCGGGTAAGCCTATGTTCAGCAGTGGACTTTCAGTAATAATAACGGTAAAACCAGATATTAAAGCTGGCAAGGCACTAAAGGGGAGTAGCCAATACGAAACACGTCCCAAAAAAAAACAAGTATACATTTCATTAGAATCTGGCGATTGCAGCTCATGGTACGTAGGTGCATTTTTAAGTTCGCGGAATGGGTAAGTTAGGTAATAAATAATAAATGGAGACGTCGCTGAATTACGTGCAAATTGAGCAACTCATTATTAGTATAAATACCGGGTTTGATTGTAATTATATCCAATATTCCGCCTGTGGCATCGCTTCCGAGCGGTCGCATCCAGGTAGTCCGCGCTCCCGTACAGTACGGTAGTGCTGTCGCGCTCTCACGCGCCTCCGCTGTCCTGCTCACGCGGAACAGCGTCGAGGCTGCCGGTGAGTCACTTTTACGCTACAGTTCTTGCCCCCCTGTCTTCGGGCAGGGAGGTCTGACTGACTTCCGCTTTTCATTTTCATTTTTCATTTTCACTTTTCATTTCATTCTCATTTTTCATTTTTCATTATCATTTTTCAATTTTTTTTTGTACTGTCTCCTTTATTTTCTTGTGTTCTTGTTATTCTTGTATTACGTGTATAGTGTGTCGTAGTACGTCTCGCGATCTAGTCCCTGTTCTACCGAGAACAGGGACCCGTCCTCATCTTTATTTTTACATAGCTCAGCTTGCTTACTGACCCAAAATGGCCACACCCAGCTTCACTGAGTCCCTCGCCGCCCTCATTAACCAATTCGGTTTAAATGGCAATGAGACGGTCCTCGCCGCCATCGCCACCATCGCCGCCCAGGCTTCCCTCCCTGCCCCTCAGGCACACCATCCGCCGCCGGTAATCGCATCTTACCTCGAAACGAGGAACTCTTTTGCCCCCCCTCGAATCTGCCCCCCTAGAAATCGAGTACGCATGCTCCGAGTCCTCGGCGCCGTCCTCCCTGAAGAGGCGTGCCACTACTACAGGCTCCGGTTCATCGGAGTCCTCTGACTCCGACGGAACAGGGGAGTCCACATTCACTGCCGTCAACTCCAAGCGCAACGGAAAGCGCGCCGCGATAAAACGCACCCCGCCTATCTCAGCGGCCCCTGCCTCTCCTCCAACTTCCGCAACCTCCGCCGCTGCCGTCATCCCGCTCATGTCCCTTGACATCCCAACTCCATCTAAACCTTCCTCTCGATGTGCTCCGGTCCTTGCTAAGAAGCAAGTCCCGCCCCCTGTCTTCCTAAGAGACAAGGCCAAATTCACCAAACTGTCGAAAACCTGCTACGACGCAGGAATTAAGTACGACAATGCTGTCAACCTAGGGGAGGCTATCAAAATCATCCCCAGCTCGATCGAGGATTTCCGAAAACTCACCAGGCTTTTCACGGCCGAACGAGTCTCCTACCACACCTACGCTCTCCCGGAAGAGCGTAAAGTCAGGGCCGTCATCCGAGGCGTCCCCTTCGAGTTCTCGAACGAGGAAATACTTGAGGACCTTAAGTCCCAAGGCTTTCCCGTCGAAGCCGTGCACAAAATGCACAACAGAACGGGCAAGAGATACAACCTTGCCCTAGTAATCCTATCAAACGTGCCGGAGGCTAAAGCCATCTTCCGGCAGGTACGCACAGTGTGTGGCCTGTCAAGGGTGAAGGTAGAGCCCCCACATAGGCCCGGTTTCCCGGCGCAGTGCCACCGCTGCCAACTTTATGGTCACGCGGCGGCCAACTGCTCCGCCCCACCCAGGTGCGTTAAGTGCCTAGAACCACACAACACGAAAGAGTGTCCCCGGCCCAAAGACGCCGAATCCCCGCCCGCTTGTGTCCTGTGTAACCAGACAGGACACCCGGCTAATTACAAGGGTTGCCCACGCGCACCTCAACCTCGCCCCAGTAGGCAAGCTCCACCGCCGATGAATGACCGCTCATTCCCGGCCCTCCAACAACGGCCCCGTCAGGGCCTTTCTCAGCCCACCCAGGGCTTCTCTCGACCCTCTCAGGGTCCCCCTAGGCCCCCCTCAGGGCATAATTCGGCCCCCCTCCGGGCTTCTCCAAGCCAATGCAGCCTCCAGTCTTTCCCTGGGGGCCCAAAAAGCAGACCCACCGCGGACAACCTCGTACGCTCATGAAGCAGAGCCCACAATCGACGACTACAACACGCTATATTCCGCTATTAGGAATATCGATGTTAGGGAAATAACAGTAGTATCACGCAAACTGCGCGCGGCCAAGTCCCCCCAAGAACGTCTCCTCGTTCTTGCGGAGCACAATAACCTTCTGTTAGCGTTGTAAGTTAGGTTAACTTAATTAACTTAACTTCAATGACTGAGCGAATTAACCTACCAAGATCTCACGGTCGTATCAAACCTAAGGGTTTATCGCTTGTATCATTTAATATTCGCGGCTTGCGAAATAACCTCCCAGAGCTCAAGCTCTTTCTTCGGAATCGTGAAGTCGATTTCCTCTTCCTACAGGAAACTAATCTCAAAGCTAAGGACACTAGAGGCCTTTCTATTAAAAACTTCTCTCTTCTTCGTAACGACAGACCCGACCGCCGAGGCGGCGGAACGGCCATCTATTACAAGAAGACACTTCATTGCTCGCCCATTTCTACTCCGCAGCTTACCAACATGGAAGCCACGGTATGCAGGCTAGCTATGACTGGACATCAGTCCATCCTCATAGCCTCCTGTTACATCCCTTCAGGAACCTATCCCCTCAAAAAGGATTTTGAGGCCATTTTATCTTTAGGCAATTCAGTCATTATGTTTGGAGATTTTAACTCCAAGCATACTGAATGGACATGCCGCACTACGTCCCCTAGCGGCAAGATACTGCTCGATATCACGCAGTCTCTTGATATTACCGTCCATAGTCCTCTCGGTGTTACTCACTTTCCCGATAACACCGATCACGCCCCCGATGTGTTAGATTTTGCGTTACTCCAAGGAGTTTCTCTCAACCTCAGAGCAATCGAGACACTAGACGATCTAGGATCAGATCACCGACCGGTCTCCCTCATTCTTGGCCATCAGCCACCTCCCCCAACACACACGAAAACCTTCACTAACTGGAAGGGATTCAAGGAGTCCCTAGCTAAAGCTTTGGACTCACAGGACTCTACCATCTCCCTACCGTCGGACTTAGATAGTCCCGAAAAAATCGACACCGCGGTCGACTCACTCTCCACCCTTATTAAATCCTCCCTTAAGGAGAACGAAAGGATCGTCCCGGTTGCTAACAATAGTGGGCTTCCCCTACATATTAGCAACCTATTAAAAGCCAAAAAAGCTGCTTTCCGGAGAGCAGCAAAATATCCCACCCCCGAATATAGGCGCGCGGCCAATCGTCTTCAACGAGAACTCCGCTTCCGCCTCTCTGTATTTCGAGACCTCGAAAAGAGTAAGCTCATGGAGAATATCTCTCCTTCTCACACAGCGTACTATCAGATGGCTAGAGCCCTCCGCATAGACGCTATCACCCACACTCCCCCTCTCTCCCGTCCCGACGGCACGGTTGCCTTCGAGGACGAGGAAAAGGCAGAGTGCTTTGCAGATAGCATTGCCGCTCAATGCTCTCCTACATCTCAACCCGTCGACCCCTCTCACGACCAGGCAGTGGAGGATGAGGTCCGCCGCCGGAACTCACCCCCTACGGCCTCCGAACCTATCTCTGTGTCCAATGATGAGATTTCATCCCTCATCAAAGGATTAAGCCCAAAAAGGCTCCGGGCGCGGATGGTATCTCCAACCAAGCCCTAAAACACTTTCCTGAGCAGGTGTTAACCTTTTTATCTATTATCTTCAACGCCTGCTTCAACCTCAGTTATTTCCCCACTACGTGGAAAGAGGCTACTGTGATTGGAATTCCCAAGCCAGGCAAGCCTCTCAACCTCCCCCTCCAGCCATCGCCCCATTAGCCTCCTCAAGGCAATGGGCAAGCTCTTCGAAAGAGTCATCCAAACGCGTATGAGGCGCTATCTGTTTCCCACAGACGGCGACCCTCTTATCATTCCCCATCAATTCGGTTTCCGAGCCAAACACTCATGTCCCCAACAAGTTCACCGCATTGTGGAATATATCCTCAGCGGTTTCTATCCTCGTCGTCATAAGACCATCGCGGTCTTTTTCGATATAGCCAAAGCTTTCGATAGAGTCTGGCACACAGGCCTCATCTACAAGCTCTATAAAATAGGTCTCCCCGATCGTCTAGTTCGTCTCGTGGCCTCCTATTTAAAACATCGTACCTTTCGTTTTAGACACGAAGGCACGCTTTCTTCACAACGAACTATCAAGGCTGGTGTCCCTCAGGGCTCAGTACTTGCTCCTCTGCTGTACATCCTGTTCACCAACGACATTCCCATCCCGTCGAAAGGTGTTCAACTCTCCCTCTTCGCAGACGACACTGCCATCTATTGCAAAGGTGTCTCACTACCCTTCATACGGAACAAGATCCAAAAGTCAGTTGATGACCTAGGTGCTTGGTTCAAAAAATGGCGCATCGATGTGAACCCGGAGAAGAGCTCCGCCGTTCACTTCGATTATAAACGACGCCGTCTCAAAAACACACCACCAATACGTATGCTAGGGACCCCTGTACCCTGGCATACGTCCGCCAAATATTTAGGTGTCACTCTAGACACAGGGCTCACTTTCAAGCCCCACGTCAAAAGAGTAACCCGTCACGCACGGTTTTATCTGAGTAGGCTCAACAGTATGTTGGGCCGACACAGTAAAATGTCCCTTCGAAACAAGCGTACCCTTTACAAGGTCTGTATACGACCAGTCATGTCCTACGCGGGCCCCGTCTTTGCCCACGCAAACCCTAACATTTTAAATGAACTCCAAATAGTTCAGAACCTCTTCTGTCGTCGAGCTGCGAACGCACCGTGGTACGTCCGTAATGCCGACCTTCATCGGGACTTAGAGCTCCCAACAATTCAACAATTTTTTAAAAAACTCTCTGAGAACTTCTTCAAAGCCTCAGAGTCGCACCCAAACCATTTAATTCGTGAGGCAGCTTCTTATGCAGCCCCACCCCCCCTCTCGCTATCGTGTCCGCAGGCCGAGAAACTCTCTCTCGGACCCGCCTAATGAACTTTCAAACGACCTGAACTGTCTCCTGGCGGCTCAGGCCAACTCTAATTAAATAAAATTATTGTAATATCTAACATTAATTTGCCTTCGTAGGCACTCCCTCAGCGGCACTTAGCCGCCTGCGCCCTCTTTTCCCAAAAGAGGGTCGCTCATGATAAGGCACAATACAGCTTAATCAGCCGGCTGCCTGTCCCCAAAGGCGGTTTTTAGAGGGTATCACTTAGGGTCCCCGGTAGGACAGTGAGCCCCTCATAACCACGATAGACCGGCTATCGTGGTATGCATAATGCATTTTCCGCCTCCCTACGTATAGGGTAGCCCTTTAATTGCTTCGGGCGCAAAAAAAAAAAAAAAAGTAATTATATCATTAGTCTTTGAGTTATCGTCAACCAAACAAGTCATTCGGGAAGAAATTGTGAAATATGAAGAAAATCGTGTTCCGTGCTATTATATAAATGTATTTTTTTTATACTTCACATAATTATATGTAATAATAATATTATGCTTACTAACATAGCTATAAGTTTAGTTTATAAGTAATACTAACAAAATATGAGCCTTGGTTGCTTGAATAAATGAAATGAAATGAAAATGAAATTAAAATATTATAAAGTTCCTTACCAAGCGCGGAAAATCAGGTCAGACTATACTGGAAGAGATGTCATCCGTTTACGGAGACTCTTGCCCAAGTAAAACTATGGTTTACAAGTGGCATACCCTTTTTAAACAAGGCAGAGAGTCACTTAAAGGCGACCCACGCCCAGGAAGGCCGATCGAGGTGACCACTTCGGAAATTATTTAAAAAGTCGAAAAATTAATATTAGAAGATGCCCGTTTAAAGAAAAACCAGCTTGCAGAAATGGTTGGAGTTTTAGATACAACCATTTTCAAAATTCTTCATGACCATCTTGGCATGACTAAAGTCTGCGCAAGATGGGTGCCCAGAATGCTCACGCCGCCTCAAAAGCAACAGCGCGTGGAGTGTTCTCGCATTTTTGGACCTCTGTATAGATGACAAAGTTGAAGTGTTGGCTTGAATTGTTACTGGTGACGAAACTTGGGTTCACCATTATGAACCTGAGTCCAAACAGGACTCTATGCAGTGGCACAAAAAAGGCACACCACCACCCAAGAAATTTAAGGTGGCACAATCGGCTGGGAAAATCATGGCGACAGTCTTTTGGGACTCAGAAGGAATCCTATTGATTAATTATAAAGATAAAGGTGTCTCCATAAGGAAATTACTACGCTTCAATCCTAGAAAAATTGAAGGAAGCCATATAGGAGAAAAGAAGGGGAAAATTGACCAAAGGAATCCTTCTTCTGCACGACAACGCGTTTGTTCACAAGTGCCATGTTACGACGACTGCCCTGCAGAAGTTGGGCTTCGAAATTTTGCCACACCCACCCTATAGTCCTGACCTGGCCCCCAGTGATTATTATCTATTTCCTTACTTAAAAAAGAACTTCTTGGGAAAAGTTTTTAAGTGATGAAGAAATGAAGTAAGCAGTTTCGGCGTATTTTTTAGACAAAGATAAATCACTATTTTTGATAAGTTATTTGAAAGATCCGAAAAATGTATTAAGGTAGGAGGTGAATATATTGAAAAGGAAATATAAATTTAGATTTTTATTTCCACTCCTTACCCCCCATTCCACATTTAAAATGTCCCCTCGTATATCGGTTTAGTCCATTACAAGTCTGTTTACCCGCTAGCTCATAAAGAACAGCAAACAGGTTAAGTATGAGATTATTACTTGTACGGCGGACTTTTCTCTCCTCTATATCCCTATTAAGAAAGGGATGTCTCCTGCAATGGGACATTGTTGTTAGGTACTCACCAATCGCCTTCAGGTATCTTCTCCATGCGAGGCTTGAAGCAATAGGTATGATAACCCTTATCACAACTGTCGCAAAGCAATAACTGGTCTTCGTTGTCTCCAGACAAGCAAAACTGGCAATTCTGTAAGGACAGAAAACGAGGGACTTTAAAACAAAGTGGTTCGAATCCAACTAAGTTATAACTGCACTAACTATTACAACGATATAGTCCTTCGAGCCAGATACAAAATACTTACGGCTTTCATGATGCTCTTGTCCCAGGCAATAGCTGCCTCTAAGGCCTGCAGTAACATGGCGAGCTGTGCTGACGTATTGCAGCGAGCAACAGCCTCACGCCATGTTGCCAATCCTCGGGCTATACCCCTGTCTGTCCAATAGAAATTTCGTTTTTAATTGAATCGATTGATGATTTTAATTGAAAAATCGTAACCCATAGCAAATCCACTACACATAATCCTTTCCCATCGGATACCACAAAAACTATCAATATTTAACTATGACATCAGGATGCTTATAGGTGATTGTAGGTGTAAGTTAAAATTAATTAATAAAATATGTAAATTTGGTTTAATTCAATAAATAAATTTAAATAATTAATTGGTGGTATTCTTATTAAATGAAAAAGTTCTCCCATAGTATCGTTTTTTATACCAAAAGCATGGCGAGCATAATATTTCAGTTTTCAGTTACTAAAACAATAAAAATTTATGAGAAAATATTTATAGAATTTTTTACATACTCTGAAAGAGTGTTTGTAGCAGAAAGGAGTCCTACACAACTCCCCAAGCACATTGGCGGACTTCAGTTTCATATGTCCTCGAAATATATCAAAGCTCAAAATTAGCACCATGATCACATGGAGATAAGTGTCCACGTTAAAATTTTCTAGTACGTGAGCGAACAGAATTCGATCCTCACAAATTGACTCCACCACACAAATTATTAATTCCAAGAGTGAATTTAAATATAAATGACGTCCAATTTTGTTTATTGTTTGAAATAGCTTTCATTAGTTTTTAATTTGTGTCATGTGTCACGACTCATACTAATTATTTTACTTACCTTTCCCTTCATTCGCATCGGAATTCTGCGGTGACGTGACGGAAGCATTACCATATTCTCCTTGCAATACCGCTCCTAATGTGGCTTCTGTGGTACTGCAGCAAAAATATTATGTTAATGAACTAGTATAATAATTACTCTTCAAGAGAGGATAGTATAAAATCAAAAATAATTCTGACTTTGTGATTAAAAACTTCTATTCTTTATCAGCACGTAACAGTCCATGACAGGACTTAGGCCAGTCCTATTGTATGAAGGATTTGCCATAATCGCCTAGGCTAGCCCATGACATTGCTCCCCGTCGCCGGTCTTTTTTTTTTATAGAAGTTGGGTCAAACGAGCATGCGGCTCACCTGATGTTAAGTGACTACCGCCGCTCATAAACAACTGCAACACCAGGGGAATTGAAGTTGCATTGCTGGCCTTTAAGACAGGAGTAAGCTTTTTTCTTGAAGGTCCCCAAGTCGTATCGGTCCGGAAAAATCGCCGGTGGTTAATAATTCCACAGAAAAGTTGTACGAGGAAGAAAACTCCTAGTGAAACGCACAGTGGTGGACCGCCAAGAATCCAGATGGTGAGGATGGTATGGGGAACTTTGACGCAATGTGCGTACGTGAAATTTGTCGCCTGGAATTAATCCAAACAATTACTGAGTTCTCCCCGTGGTAGATGCGATAGACAAGGCAGAGAGATTTAACATCCCTACGCAGCGCCAGTAAATCGAGCCGATCAGAAAGAACTCGGTCGTCGACGATTCGAACCGCATCTGGGGTATATATTAGTCTGATATTTACAATGTGGTTACAAAGGCACAAATCTGAGACCAATGCAATACATGCCAGTTGTGGAGACCACTGGTCTTATCTTTTCTATAGTCACCTCTTACAGCACTCACAGGGCGAAATGAGGTTAATATACTAATTATTAAAAAATAAAACAAGGTTTTTATGTTATCAAGACGAGAGTATGCCTGTGTACGCGTACATACACTTACTTTACTAAATGTATTCTAGACTGACTTGAGATTATTATTACAAAGTTGTCGGAGGTTACTAAAATTAGCAAGGAAAACATTTTTATAATCATGTAATGAAATTACAAAACTTCATTCCTATAAGCCAATCAAAATCTCAGCCTAATATTAAATTTAAATATCATAAAGTAAAATATAACAAACTTGAAATCTATCATTCAACCAGCGTCACTCACTTGTCATATAAATACATAATATATCCAATAAATCAAGATTTCGTTCTTCTATAATTTAAATTTCTAGAATAGTCATGCATTACTAACGCGAAACATGCGATGATATTCAAAAATTTAAATTATGAAGTGTACTAATACTTTGTCTTCAAACACTATTCAATAAAACACTTGACACGCGATAATTTCAACCTCCACCGCCAATTAATAATAATATATAAGAATTTTAAAACTAAACAAATAATTTTACTGTAATCCATTTAGAGTTCTAGAGCATCCAATATTAAGACAAAGAGTGCTTAATACAAAGGATAAGTGATAAGGTGGTCCTCCGAGCCGGATAGCTATTTTAATTCTAATACAAACTCAAAGAATTTTTTATTTATTGTAACCACTATTAATGCTAAAAAACTGTGTGAATATAATAAAATTATAGAACAAACCTAAAGTGCATAATAACAACGCCTCACGTGCATTTTTATGTATAAAACTATTCTCATTACTTAACCAACCCAGATATATATATTCCCTGTAAAAAAACGCTAATTGCGGCTTTTTCTTACCTTAAAACAAATCTATTTACCACACACTACCCCCATAAATTAAAGCCTCGCCACACGACAAACTAGCAGCCTGAGTAAGTATTTCACATTACCTAGCATACCTTTGTACCAAAGGCGGTTTGAGATATCTCCTCTCAATGTGTGCCTCGACTGAAGCCAACTTGTGCCGTGCTCGGGCTACTATTTCAGCTCCAGTAGCTTCTTCAGGGAGAGGCAAACGTGATGGTCGCCAGCCTTTCACTTGTATTGACGCCGCTGCTACTCTCTCTTCTAACCCTTCAACCTGAACGAAAAACAAAATACTACAGTGTTCAATTCAAACGGCAAAGAATTAAAATAAAAGCTCGCCATATATTTTATTATATGTATTGGACATTGATTTATATCAGTTAAATTTTTTCCACATCCTATATATCCCATCCAAATATGCTGCTTCTTCTGTAAAATGTATAATTGGTTTTGAAGGTAATTTTTGCGTTCATAAATTTAAAAAAAAAAGTCTTTTTAATCAATAAAGTAAGGATTTTACTTGATTGATTAAAAGGGTGTTTTCTGTTACCTCTAAGATTAACCTCTCAACCCCTAGCGGTCTCATGAGACCGCGGCCATATTCCGTCAAATCCCTAGAGGTCTCATGAGGTCGCACCTTTACTAATGGCAGTTTGGCATTATATAATCAATATGAAATACTTTAATCCTATCAATATTTATTTGTAATCTATGTTTATTTTGTAGGATGTAGGCCATTTTCGCATGAATGTTATTGTGTTGATTTTTGGATTTTTCTAGTGTTTTAGTATAGTGTTTTATTATAAAATTGTAATGAAAGTTTTTGTGTGAATATAATTTACCTTTTTACGTAAATAATTTCGAGTAATATATATTGAAATATTTGTGATTTTCACGCTGCCGACATTCGCTTGGTATGTTTTTTTGTTATCAAAATATAATAAAATATTTTTGTAATGAAGTAAAACCTGACTTTTGTTTATTAGACCACAAGATAGAGAATTTTGTATAGATTTTATAATGCTAAACTTCTTCGTAGAAAAGTAGTCTCTAAATATAAGTTTTAATGGTTTTAAGTGTTGTGGGTTGGTGCGGTCGCATGCGACAGCTCGGGATTTGCCGGGCGCATGCAACTGCATGGGATTTTTATGGCGCTTGAAGGGTTAATAAAAGTTCTTACCATAGCTAATAGCTGCATGTCAACGCGGCGTGCTGTAGTAGCGCAGAATGAGTTTGGTGAATCAGGTGGAGGAAAGTCTTGATCTGGTTTTTCGCCAGTTGATGGAGTGACTTCCATATTCGTTGTGTCGGTTTTGTCAATATGTGCCTGTAAATAAGGAAAGAGTTTTAATATAGATTTATTCCCCGCTATATCCCCGCCGGCACCAATGAAATTGTTAATTGCAATTTTAAGTACTGATTTACCACGTGCTCGGCGGTGAAGGAAAACATCGTGAGGAAACCTGCATGTCTGAGAAATAAGAAAAAAAAATATTTCGAAGACATGTGAAGTTCGCCAACACGCACTGGGGCAGCGCGGTGGACATTTTCTTGCCCTAAAACCCTCTCAGAAATGAGAGGAGGCCTGTGCCCAGCAGTGGGACGTATATAGGCTGTAACTTTACTTTTTTTTACATAATCTCACGTTGCATTCGCACTAATTTATGTTACTTCGTAGTCTCCATGTGTGATTCGGGTAATTTTTTTGAATTAGAGAAATTCTTAAAGTTACAGCCTATGCGTCCCACTGCTAGCATAGGTCTCCCCCCATTTCTGAGAGGGTTAAAGGGCAAGGAAGTGTCCGCCGCGCTGCCCCAATGCGTATTGACTAACGTCACATGTCTTTGAAATATATTTTTTTCTTACTTCTCAGACATGCAGGTTTCCTCACAATGTTTTCCTTCACCGCCGAGCACGTGGCAAATTAGCACTAACTTAAAATTGCAATTAACAATTTCATTGGTGCCGGCGATCGAACCATGGTTGGTGTGTACTGTGTAATTTACAGCGTACGCTAACCATCTGAGCTACCACGGCTCATCTTATATTCCCTATATACCATTAATAGTCCATAATAAGTCCAAAATTGTATGTTATATCATGGATATCCATATAGACACATAACGTATATTTTATAATTTTAGACCTAAGGCTACTTTTCTACTTGGGATTAGGATTTCCGTCTGCGTTGTTGGCACTCTTTTACACATTTCTATTGGCAGGCAATAGGCCCCCTATAATTACAGACAGCAAGGCATTCCATGTTAGGCCAGCCCTCTGTCACTCTTGCCAACTGCGTGAAAAATCCACCTGCAATCGCGAGACGGCCCGGGCTGCATATGTAGTCGGAGCTAGCGCGTTGTAGACTATTGAATGTTAAAGTTTTTTAAACGCCGTTTACGTAAATAGTGTTTTGTAAATACTTGTTGAAATAGTATTTGTTTAGTATATTTTAATTGTAGGATAAAATAGTTGCAAAAGTTTTAATGTAATTTAAAAATTATGTATTACATATTATGTTGATTAACTATCTATTTGATAAATTATAATGGCAAAACGTCGTTCCTAATATAATTGTTGCGTGGATGGATGCTTAATGACCAACAATAGGTTTCATATATATCATTCTTTAAGTTAACGAAGGATTTTAGTAGAAAGTTACTTATAGCAAAATTAATTAGTTAATGATTTTAACTACAGAAATAATATTCAAGTAGTTTATTACAAAACTTAGTTGAAATTTACTTCACTATCCAAGTACCTACTTACATACCTATACTTTTCTTTTGTAATTATAACAAAAAATACTGAAATTAAAACTTTGTTTACTAACAAGATTTTTGACTAAATAAATTACGATCACATTACTGTTAGGAATCGTATTTCGACTTTATTTGCTGTTTACACTATCTACCTATTTCTTCGAAACCAAGTATCGTGAATCCCGACGAAAGGCCTAGCAAATTGCATACATTAGGCACCACAGAACTCACATAGTAAAGAAAATATGGTCAGTCGATCATAGTCAGTATAGGTACTTTACCTAAGTAACTTACCATTTCGCAATATATTTATTTACTCTTTATTGACAGCCATAAGTGACCACGGAAAGGCCGCCATGACGTAGGAAAGGGAAAAGATGCAAAGTAATATGGACGCTCGCACGCAGCGATGTTTTTATTTAACTTGCGTGCACGATTTATCTAATATTAATAAGTAGGCTATTAAAACGTCCGCAAACTGCCAACATCCACGGAATGCAACTTCTGCACATAGTACTATTATTTATTCTGTGCTTAGGCATAGGCATTCTTTGTATGAGTATAGTTGTTATGAACCAAGTGACTAATTAGGACACTATTTATTATGTCCTGGCAATTTGAATAATGATATCAGTTTATCACATTGTCTGATCATTATGAATATTAGTACATAACTGTTGGGCAATTTGATATAACCTAACTTAACCAAATTTAACCATGTTAATCACTTTCAAGACAATAAGTTAATAATGTTAAAGGGGGACGCCCATTTTCGGCCATGGAACGCCCAACAATGTGAATTTGTTAAAAAATTATATCTTTATTTATGGTTATTAATTGCGGTATTCATTTATCCTCAAACAATGGGAATATTTTTGCACAAATTAAAAGTATCGGAAACATAATAATAAAAATTAGGTAAATCATTATGTCATTAGTTTGTGAATAAAAAAAAGTGTTGCCAATCACAAAACACATTTAAAAAATCGATTCTCTTTTTCGATCGATTATTTACGGTGTCATCATTACAGTGCTAATATAATTTTTAAATAATTATGATGCTACGATAATTAAACAAGCGAATTACTAGCTGATTTCCAATGAATTCTTTAGAGAGTAACAAATGCTACGGCACAATTTAACTGTTAATCTTAACCGATCTTCTTTGAAAACAGATAAGAACTGTTATTCTTATCTGTTTTAAAGAAGATCGGTTAAGTTATTCTTATCTGTTTATAACAATACATTTAAAATAGAATCATGTTATGATAACGAAACAAGTTAGTTTCCTGCTGATTTACCATGAATCCTTTAACCTTTTGAGCGCCAAAGTCGCCTATACTTGACCAACACCTGCGGGCCCTGAGCGCCAACGACGTCTATAGTTGACAAAAAACCCGGCTCCGAAAAATATGAAATGTAGATATTGGAAAATTATTACAGGTATTTTAATTCTACACTCCTCAAAATAGGAATAACCCAGCAACATGTGAGTATAAAAAAACAAGTCTTCTAGAGCCACAAGTACTAAGAAACATTGAACTAATAAAAATGGATTTTTATCTAAGGAAATACTATGTCCAGCACGCCAAAGTCGTCTATGGTTGACCGCTAGTGTCAAACGCGGGAGGCATATTTTTTCTTGAAAACTATCCAAAATTCAGCTCAATGGTGTTTTTTTTCTATTATTATTGATATTTGAATAAAATTAAAGGTTAGAAACATAAAACTATAATTAGCTACATGAATAAAAAAATGTTATCAGATTATCTTCGCATAATAAATCTAATATCTCAACTCTAGCGCATCTTTAGCGCGTCATCGAAAATCAGTTCACTGGGCACCGTGATCAAGGATAGACGACACTCTGATGACGTCATAAGTGATTACCGAGAAAAGTAGAGCAATGCAACATGAAAGATTCATCAGAACTCATTCGGATTTTGGAAAGCGTCGATGATGATGAATTTTGATTTTTGATTGATGAATTGAATTTTTGATTGATTAGTGAACAAATATGTTTATTTATTCCATGACCAAGATTTTAGTATTATAAGGCTGATTTACCTAGTGCGAATAATTATATACAATTGTTGATTAATGAATAATTATGTACCTTTTTTAATAATAATACAAAATTACAATTAATGTTTTTTTACTTAGGGTGTGAAGAGCAATTTTTCATTTTGTGTTGTGCCATTTTCTTTCTCAGTCTCAAAATCATCTAGCAGCATCAGCATCATATCAAATCCCCATTGTCATAAGAGTGTAAGACTTTTCTTCTGTGCGTCACTTGGCCTACGCCTTCCCCGACACATAAAATATTATGAATCGATGTCTGTATATTTCGGTTAGATCGATTTTGAAATCGATACACAACATTCTAAGAATGTTTCAAAAAGGAAGGTCAGCTACACCGTTATCGTCCAGTCACGACAGTGTCGTCATTAGGATGGAGAGTAGTGCTGTGGTTTACTACTATTTTATTGTTATTGTTTAAAAATACACTTAAAATAGAATTTAAATAAATAAAGGAAAATACATTCTAAAAAAGCGAGCAGAAGCACCTCCAAGATTATTCTCTTTTTATGGAATTATTAACCGAATCGATATTATGATGTTATGATAATTAAAAAAGCGAATTACTAGCTGATTTGCTATGAATTCTTTAGAGTATAACAAAATGCTGCTGCACAATTTAACAGTAATTGTTATCTGTTTTAACAATACATTTAAAATGGAATCATGTTATGATAATTAAACAAGTGAATTTTTAGCTGATTCACCATGAACTGTTTAGAGCATGATAATACGCTACTCCACATTTTAACTGTTCTTAAAAATACATTGAAAAAAGAATTTAAATAAATAAATGAAAATATATTTTAAAAAGCGTGTAGAACTTAAAGCGCCTCATATATTACTTTTTTTATTAAATTACTAATCGAATAAAAATCGATATCGTTTCATTGTATTTATGCACAGATTAATCTGTGTATTTATGTTAGTTATGTGGCAACATCAAATCTGACAGCTAGGAAATATGTCATGCGAATTGGGAATGAAAATGAAATCACAATTCAACAAGTAAAAAAGATACTAGAGAGTTCACAACTAAATAGTCGCAATTGTGTTATTTTGTTTGTTACTTTTCAAATAAATTCTCAAGAACTCATATGAAGTGATATTGTCGATCACATTATAGTGTGACAACAGTTAAAAGTAAGTGTTTAACAGTTTTAATTTAATAATTCTAGTGCTGATATTTGATAGTGATGAATGAATGAAATGATGAAGTTGTTTTATTTTTTTAACATATGCACAAACTATATCTGACAAACATAATAGCTTATTTGTAACACGGCGATAAAATTAGCTAGCTAACACCAGATAGTTACGAAATGGACAATTTTTATCAAATACCAAGAAATGAGAAAGTCGATTTTTAATTGTTTTTGGACTACTGGTAGGCAGTCTGTCCTTAATTATTAAAAATATAGGTCATTAAGTTTTTAAGTAACATTTACCTATATTTGAGTTTAAAGTAAACAAATCTATTTTATTTTGTTCACTTTGTCTTATTTTTTTATTTAATATTATTTCAGTTGCCATCGTCATCGCGTGTCATGATTGCTGGCAAAGGACTGATAAAGCAGCATCACGTTAAACTTTAGAACGGGAACCATCTGAATCATCTAGTCCGTCCTCGTTGCAATCTAAAGTGAGTAATATATTGAACCTAGAACAACAAAGCTTAGATCATACATCGTACAATATACTGCTGCCTAATTTTGTAAGACCACCACTCACACAAAATCAATGTTTTTTCCTGGTTGTAACTATTCCAATCAACTCACAGTTCCATCAACATTGCGGGTATGTCTTTTTGTGAATACAATTACTATGTACCTCCAGAATGTAGAATCAGTAAGTACCATTTAAATAGTAACTCTTGGTATTTACTTTTAGAATCAATATATAATCATATTAAAACATTTAGTGTAGCACAAATTATAGATTTTTCTACATTATTGCAAGATAATATTTACCATCATATTATAGACTTTGAAAGTATTCACAGTATGCCTGAATATAGTGTACATTATTATCTAGGCTTATCAAAAGCACAATAACAATAAATTCTGTCTAAAGTTCCCAAAATGTCAAGTAAACATAGTGGATGTTTTTGCTGTATATTTGCTGAAAATAGGAACATGAGATAGTGATGAATGCATATCGGCATTATTGCAAGTGCCAAGAAACAAATAAGAGCGGCTCATGAATATGGCCCGTGAAATATTAAATCAGGATGTTGTTACTATGAATTTTATCCATCGTTAACACTCTCTGTGCCAAATTCCATTCAGTAATTACGATATTATATTAGAGGCAAATAATTTCTTAGCTTTCCTAGATGTTTTTGTTCTCCAAAATCCTAACAACATCATATGTCACACTGTGTATAGAAAAAAGACCCATACAAACTTATATTTAAGCGGTGAATCTCACCATCATCCTTCACAGTTAGTTACCGTGAGCAAATGTTTGTTACAGAGAGCATATGGGATCTATGAGAGCAAGCACCTGGCCGCGGAGCTTCAGCACATCAAGCAGGTTCTGCACAAAATCAAGCTTCGGGTCCCACATCTACGTCACAGTGACTGAGTGAAGCCGACCACAGTTGAGCGTGTGCTAGCTGTACTACCGTATGTCAAGGTTGTCACCCCAACCAGATAGACATACATCAGATTTGATAGATCACAAATCCTCGCGAAAGAGCCTTAATTCCTACCAAGGATGATATGTGAGGCTATTGAAATTAAAAACATCCTAATTTCAATAGAGAAGGCGGTTGGGTACTACCACCTACTTGGGACACTATAATTAATAAAATTAAAACCAAACCCAGGCATACCACTGCAAGACTTAAAGATAGAGTAAGTTCAATCTGCATAGATTGGACTATTAAAATAATAATAAAAAGCTGAAGGTATCGTGGTATCGTGGAAGGTAGGTGTCCCAATACTGACATTGGAATGGCAGTCACCTCAGTCCCCCGTGACCATGGGTGCTATAAAGCACCTGAAATGTCGGGAAATAAAAGTTAAAGAAGTTAAAAGCGATAAAATTGGTAAAAGTAGTCGTTAAAAAACTGTATTTGTGAAAATAAAAACTTTTATATCATAAAAATCCCGACTTTTTTTAAACCAATTCCTTAGCCATTTCATTATTTTAATTGCATATTATCGTTTCCATATGCTTTTATATGTGGGCACCAATGGCCGAAGTGTCTATGAACAGTGGGCATCCCCCTTTGTTAATAAAATAATTATTCACACGATAATCGTATAAATAAAAAAATCGTTCGATTATACTAATCAGACCTATAACTAACAGGCTGTATTCATAAAACCCAGTCAATTTGATTATTTCAATAGTTTTTATCACATTTTCTACTCATATTGGTAATTATTCATAATGCCTAATTAATCACTTGGTTCAAAATGTAGATATTTTATAAGAACGTAAAACTTATTCGCAATGTGACACATGGCGAATAAGTTTTACGATAGTTTGTCGATAAATAATTATAAGAATTAATTGAATATTACTAGACACTGGCAAAATTACATCCGTACTCGTGTATTAATTAAAAAAGGAATAAAAAAGGTCGCGCATACGTGTTCCGGGAAGGTGGGCGGGTGGTGCGTGAGCGCAGCGTGCAGTTCTCGCTCGCGCACGCCGCGCGTATGCAGCGCGCGCAGCACGCCGCCCAGCTCGCTCGCCGCCAGGCGCCACCAGCCGTGCCTGCCGCCACGGACTCACCACGTTACATTACATTACATCACGCACACCGCACACGCGCAAATCGACTCACACTACGATATTTTATCTGCGTATAAAAACTTTATTATCTGAAAGTATCACATACTACGCACGTACGATAATATACGAAATTATACATTCACTCGAAACCCTTCAAACTTACTAGACGTGTTTTTTGTAGCAGATTGTTGATACAGTGCTACCTACAATGAGTTGGAGTGTTTCTAAATTGCTAAACAACTCGTTAGAATAGGATTCAGATTTTGATTTTGATGCAAGGGTTGCATTAACATTTACTAAAAAGCGAAGAATTTGGATACAACGTCATATAAAGCTGAAAAAGACTGAGACAAATATAATATATTTCTCTTTTGTTTTCGTAGTATTTTAATGTAATTTTTTACTAACCCTAGCTATAATTTAATTTGTTAATAACACTTACTGGCAATGTCTGAAATAAATAAATAAATTTAAAAACAATTACTTTTATTTTCAGCGACCTTCCTGTATTATCGGCAGGTAAAATACTTTGCCATATTTGTACCTGAAGATAATATTTCGATATAGATCGGTACTTAGACATACTTAGACATACTTAACGATAAAATATTCAATTATCTACGCTGCGTATGTTAGTTTATTGAATTTCATTGCGAGCGATATTGAAAGATATGCGATATGATACAGACAGCTTATCGTATGTGCGTGGACTTCTATGTATACTACTACACCGAATTACCGAAAAATGCGGACTTAAATGCCTATAACGGCGAAATATTATAGCAGATATAAAAAAATCATAACACAAAAAATAAAATTAACGAAAAACCCATAAAAATATACACTATTAAAATTATTAATTGAAATAATCGGAATAAAAATACACCATAAACATTTTATAACATGCACAAATACCTTACAAGTTAGAAGCGACAGTAGCCTAAATACAGGGTGCGGACCTCGAACTCAAAAGGTCGTGAGTTCGAATCCGCCATTCGACTACTTTCGTGAACTCCTAACACAAGCATTTTAAGCTTACCGGGAGTGGTTACAGGGAATATTAGTAATGTAAATCACATTGGTGGTATTAAAAAAAAACCTTTGTTCACATACTACACACATTCAGATTGAAATCTCATTATTTTGTACATAAGGTAAAATTTCCTTTAGCAAACGGCATTTATTACAACAGTTTACTATCGTTTTTAGAAATTCATCTAATCGGAAACGAAACAGCTGAAAAAACTCTATTGTGTTTGAAATCTTTGTATATTTAAAACCTCCAATTAAGTTTTAGAATAGAAAAGATACTACATTATATGAGAAAAGTTAAGATATAATAAGAAAATACAATAATATCTCGAATATCTCACCTAAGTTCTCTAGGCACGAATCCACCTTCCAATTTCTTAGGCAGTCCATGCACTTTGCAATGTTCCAACTGCTCCATCTCCTCAGGGGACATGTGAATTGGCGGTGGACTGTCACACGTCACATATGTGGACAGGGCGTTAAAATTCAGAAGGCCTAGGCTTGTTAGACCCGAAGCCTTCGCTTTTAAAGCCGCTGCTTCTAACTTTGCAGAATCCGCTTGTAGTTCTTTTTCAAGGTCGTTATCCTAAAAAAATATAATTTATGAAGAAAATCCTTGAACAGAACATATTTGAATAAAATAGAAACCAGTTGTCATCAATGAATTCGGAACTTTTTGGAGGGTGAAAAATTAATATATAATCTACCTACTAGTAAGTTGCTTGCTTGGGATCCTATAATTAACAAAATCAAACACAAATCCAAACATACCACTGCAAGACCTCATGATAATATAAGCTCGTTTTGCGTAAATCGGACAAAAAAAATAATATTATATAATATTCAAAAACTGAAGGTAGCCGGACTAACTATGACATTGGGAAGTCAAACATCTTAGTCCTCCCCGTGACCATGGGTGCTGTAAAGCACCCGAAACGTTGGGATAATAAAAATAGGTTAAAGTAATTAAACGCGATAAAATCCGTAAACAATAGTTTTATTCAATACTGGTAAGTGGATAATGTGGTCCATAAACACCTACATATATTTTTGATTAATGTTGAAAATGCAAATACGTTGTCATTCTTGAGAACGAAGATGGAATGCCTTGTTATTAGTAAAAAGGGTCTCTAGATTTCAACTAAACTGTCACACAAAATACTAAATCCAGCAGCACTGTGCTGCTACTTTTACGCTGATATTCTATGCGAGCGTGGACCTTTCCCGATTTGAGCAAACTCTTTCTGAATGCGGACAAAATAAATACGCTTTATGCAGTCTAAACAAGTGGCAAAATTAAAAATTTTGTACAGCCGACTTCAATACGACCGAATCAAGGAATTCGAAGTCAATTAAATACACGTTATTAAAGATAACTCAAAACCTATACCGGTCAGATCTTGATTAAATTTATATGGGACCACACGAGAAGCACCAGCTTTCATATAAAACAAAAAATCATCAAAATCGGTTCACCCAGAGAAAAGTTATAAGGTACACATTTAAAAAAACATACAGTCGAATTGAATACCTCCTCCTTTATGAAGTTGGTAAAAAAGTTCCTCCCGTGCTTAAAATTGTTAAACAAGTACCCTTACCTTTGAGCCCTACGACTGAGTCAGACTAAAAAAATTTCATAATGTCAGAATCTGGCATTGTGAAGTTTTAGCTCGAGATTGTCTCTGAAGTTTTGAAGAGTATCAATCACCAATGGGTGCGTTTGGCAGAAAAAAGCGCTAGCAAGCGCTTATAAGCGCTAAAATAGTTTTCGGCCAGGACACGATTGCTACTTCAGTAGCGCTGACACAATCCGCCATTTTGCTTATTTAATTTGTTTGTTTTGAAGTAGAGTTTATAAGTTGTTTTGTGCAATATTAGTTTTAAGTAATATAATAACATGAATAAACATATACATGCTATTAAAAACTCATGATTGGTAAGTTTTTAATATGAATACTTTACAAACATATATTTAAATTAGGATAGATTCCCCGGTTAAAACTAACATCGTGTCCTAGAGGAAAATAGCTACTTACGATTTGACAACGCTTACCGCTTACGATCGCCATTTTGCTTACAAGCGCTTGCTAGCGCTTTTTTCTGCCGAACGCACCCAATAAAATACATTGTGTTATTTTTAACTTACATATTTAAATCTTGTAACACATCTATAAATCTTATAATACAAAACTTACTTGTTCTTTGTTATCTTCTTCCATCTCCTCTTCTTGTTCATTATCTTCTCTATTTATACTAGCATCCATCATTTCTTGATCCAGACCAGACATTGTCAAACTGGAGTCTGTGTAAATGTTATTAGTAGGTACTTGAACACTGGTGACCATGCTGTTTAGCGTAAATAAACTAGGATCATTAAGCAAATGCAAATTGTTAGATACATCCCATTTATGACCTTGGCACATAACTACCTCTGAGCATGTGTGCTCATTGTCACAAAAATCTGGTATCTTTTGCTCATGTGATTTTTCGTCGTTAATATTTGTCAAATATGAACTCTCATGCCTTAAAATTGAGAACCATTTTCCTTCAAGCATTTTCATGTAAAGTTGCGCGTGTGCACTTTCGGCATCGAGGAGCTCTTTTTTAGTTTTGACCTCAGCCTCTTCCTTCAATTTTTCTTCGGCTTTTTTAGCTGCATCTAATTGAGATGAAACGGCTTCCGCCATTTTCCTCAGTTCTTCTAGATTGTTGACTAGTTCATCTTTACTTTCTTCAACTTCTTTTTCTGTCGATTCTGTTTTAACAACGTTTTCTACTTTAACAATTTCTTGAGGCTTATCCATAGGTTCGGCTTGTGTTGCAAACATTGGTTTGTGAGTTGGTTTTTGGACTAGGAAAGCGGTGGGAATGGAGTCTTCAATATCTAATAAATCTTCTTCTTCTTTGTTCTGTTTTTGCTGGATATACTTCTCTTCCATTTTTATTGAAGAACCTAACAAAATATATTCATTTATAACTTATGAAACAACATAATAAATATTCATTTTATATAAAACTAGTTCAAATGTTGTTACAATTATAAAAAAAACTAATTTAGAAAAATCTAGATCCAAATTCAACATTAAAAATGTTCATTTCAATTGAAATGTATCTATGTACTTTCACTCTGTTCCAGCGTCCAGCTATATTTAAGCTAATTTTAATTAGAGAACAGCTCGGTTGATACAAAGTGTAAAGTAACTCCCTAAGTTATATTTTATGGAATCACAATGAACTATGCACTATGATTTCACTTATGGTAAAAAAGCATTCTCTTTTTGTATCTTGTTCATGGTGGTGATCAAACGAACACGCTAAAGGTACATAATAACTAGGGCCTATATACACCCACAGTAACAGGACGAACTTATCGAGCTTTGAAATAGCTGATCAGCTATAATTGGCAAGATTCGACTTTGTGAAGGATAATCTCCAACAACAAGAATTCCAGTACTATATCGACCGATTCAAACCCATATTAATTGACGACACTACCACAGAGAAAATAAATGTATACCAACTTACTGACCTTCAACTTTACAAGTGCCATGCTTCACATTAGGCTCGTACTTAATGATCTGCGTATGGTCACTCAGATTCAGTTCAGATTTAATATTACGGAGCTCCAGCTCGCTCTGTAGCGCTTCTTCTTGTCGTTGCGCTTCGCTTTCTCCTTCTTGCTTCTCATCGGGTACTTCTTTCTTGTCCTTTGAGCCTGACAGAAAATAAACATATACACTTGTGATAATTTAAGTAACAATTATGAATTAATTAAATGGCCTTTAAAATGTTAAAATTAAACAATAAATATTAAGATAGGTTACCTACTTATTTTACTATCTTTCAACAACTTACATTTAAGTTCAGACAAAGTGTAGTACTGCAAAACAGATGTTAAACGTTTATATTACCTTTTTTCTTTCTCTTTGCAGTATCACTTAAAGGCTGCCCTTTCAAAGCAGCCGCTTCTAACGCTTCTTGGTAGGCTAAGATCTCAGGTTGGGCTGATTCCATGGCTTCCACATATATTCCCCCGCTCTTGCCTAGTGACCAGTATCGTCGCCAATACCTAAATAAATAGTCTACTATGAAAATGTACAAGTGTTCTATTTCTATTAATAGTTTACTAGTTTTACTTGAGAAATAATATTTTTATTAAATAAACATTGAAAGTGATGCCAAAACCATGCTCAACTTGGCATGCACTCACATATTATCTTTCTTCTTTCTTTTTTTCCAGCCTATGAAAATATATACATATGCACCTTAAAACCTGTTTTTGGTAGCAAATTATTTTTGATGCATATATGTACGTAAGTGCCTGTTCCTAAAATAAGTTGAGCATAGTTTTTTTTGCGTCACTTGAAACGCTCGGAACGCTCCGTTTTTTTTTTCTTTCTTGGTTTGAGGTGAAGGCCACCTATTTAAAAAACAGGCTTATTTAACTAATGAAGAATTAATAGCAGCTATTTCGATAAAAAAATTCTGGTTAAGAAATGCACTTAAATTTAATTGAAAACAAAACGCACTTGGAAGGTTTTGAAAATGTTATATCATAATAAGAATATTGTTGCGCGCCACAGTTGATGGCACTAGCGCCATCTTTTATCGAACAGAGGAACTAAGCTTTCTAGAAAGGCCCACACTCGAACTTTCTGCGTCTGGTTGGTCGGGGCCTGGAATATTCTGGATGTTTCGGTGGAAGAGCCCTATTTAAAGCCGTTGAAAGCCGCGATCGGGGCAGTATTGAATTGGCAATACAACCGAAGCTTCGGAGCGAAATAAAGTGATCAGTGCGATTAATTCTTATTGTGTTTTAAGTTTTAATTGGTGTTTGGGAAATGAAGTGTCAATTTTGGTAATTCAATCGGCAGTTTTTATTGTCACGAACTCTAAGCTCGTAACAATATTTAAAATTGTTTACATATAAATTGCTCATGTACAAACTTCTAGACTCAAAAGAATTATTTTGGTGCTGGATCAAATCCTCGGCCCACACCACCGCAATGAAACAGTTAGCCACTGTATTATAGAATGGATATATTTACTTTACAATGTACATAATCAATGCAGAATTAAAAGGGCAATTTTAGAAATGATAATGTTACCTGTCTTGTCCATAACATGTCGCTCTAAGTGCGTGTGAGCCAGCTGAAAGCTGCTGTAGCTGTTGTTCTGACTGCCTTAATAGTTTCTCCAGTTTACGAGCGAGTTCTTCTGATGAGAGATTTTTGTCTTCGTCCTACGAAAATGTGCATATTTAATGAGGCCAATCGTTTTACTCTATTTCTTTCAACAGTTTTTTTTTAAGTATGAATATAGGACTTTCCAAAAATGTGCCTGATAACATACAAATAATATAGTAATGATTTCTTTTTGAATTTGAATTTACGCGAACACTACACATTGAATAAAACTGTATTTACGGATTTTATCGCGTTTAATCAACTATTTCAACTTAGTTTTTAATTCCCGACGTTTCGGGTGTTTTACAGCACCCATGGTCACGGGGGGGACTGTGATGAAGATTATTGAGTCCGCCCCGTGACCATGGATGCTGTAAAGCACCCGAATCGTCGGGAATCAAAAACTAAGTTAAAATAGTTGATTAAACGCGATAAAATCCGTAAATATAATTTTATTCAAATAATATAGTATTTTAGTAATATAGGAATTTTCCTTAGTCAACTTTTATGGCCTAAGTCAGAAGCCATTTTTTTCATGAGGCTGATAAATAGTAATAAATCTTCAAAAATGTTACCTCCTCTGGTTGGGTTCCTTCACTTTCCAAGTCACTCAATATTGCATCACAATCACCTATCACACTATCTTTATCAATTTTAGAATTATCTGGCGGTGAACAATCGTCTTTATTGTTGTTTAATATCTCCTTAGTCTTTATACTGTTTGAGAGATCTTTTAAGGGCGATAGTTCTTTGTCACTTTCTTCAATAGGTGCATGGTCTTTGTATGGGGACGGTAATTCTGGTTGTTTATTTGTCTCGTGTTCCAAATGCGGCGACTCGACCTTGTCAAGTTTCTTCGGCGTTTCACTCTTGTCGCTCATAGAATGATCTGTAAAATGCAATTTCTATTATGGCATGATCGTATAAACACGTATAAAAACTACGGTTTCATATGAAATTGGTATATACATATATATATATATATATATATATATATATATATATATATATATATATATATATAAATAATTGTATTGCAAATTGCAATATTTTAACAAATGAGTGAGATTAATTTAATAAATATAGTAAGATTGGGGTGGTGTTCTCTTACAACGCTCACAAAAATAATCTCTTAGGCACCACTCACAAATAATAATATAATTGTCTGCTATAATTGGTAATGAGAGATTTTAAAGCATCTTCGTGAGAGACTGCGATCACTTTGCTAAGAGGTATGGCCCCTATATCAAGCAGTGAACTGTTAAGGGTTTAGGTGATACCTCGAACATTTGGTAGTTTTTCTATTTAACATATTTTTTTAAGTTTTATAGATTACAAACCAAAATTTTAATATACGATTTTTGACTGTATGACCTTGGATTGCATAAAAGGAAAGCACGATATCATGTAATTTTCTCAATAGAAAAAAAATTGTAAAGTAGGTTCTTATTATTTACATTTCTCGATGACACCACAATATTCTTACGAATAATTTCATGGAATTATTTTAAGGCATAGTAAATTAACATATCTAAGTTCTCATAAAGCAGTTTTTTAACCCATAATGAAGTTTTGTTAAAATAAATAAAAATGTTGTATGGCGCTTACTTAGTTTTTTCCGAGCGCTTGCTCGGTATGGCTATGTCATAATTTGCGTACTATGAAGTCCTTGCATCCCTTTCATTTTGACACTCCCTCAGTCGTCCGTTAGCTTCACCGACAAAGGAATAAGCCACGCCCCCAAACTTCGATTCATTTTCAAGGTATCTTCTTAATAATTTGGAAGAAGAAATAAGATCGTCCCACGAGGATAGTTACCTTCTTCGGGTAGATGTGGCAGCACGGTGTTGATAGCGGTGCTCTCCTCGACGAGGCGCTGCATGCGCTCCAGTGCCAGCGCCTGTTGCTTTTCCGCCTGCTCGGCGCGTAACTTGCGCTGGTGCAGAACTCGCACTCTGCAACAATGTTGCATTTTTTTTTATAGAAGAGGGGGCAAACGAGCATGTGGCTCACCTGATGTTAAGTGACTACCGCCGCCCATGATCAACCGCAACACCAGGGGAATTGCAGGTGCGTTGCCGGCCCTTTAGAAAGGAGTAAGCTCTTTTCTTGAAGGTCCCCAGGTCGTATCGGTCCGGAAAAATCACCGGTGGTAAATTATTCCACACAGAGGTTGTACGCGGAAGAAAACTCCTTTTGAAACGTACAGTGGTGGACCGCCAAGCATCCAGATGGTGTGGATGGTATCGGGACGTTTGCCGTGTAGTGCGTTCACGAAATTTGGCGGCTGGGATTAATCCGAACAATTCCTCAGAGCACTCCCCGTGATAGATGCGATAAAATACGCAGAGATGCAACATCTCTTCGCAGCGCCAGTGAATCGAGCCGATCGGAAAGCACTCGGTCGTCGACGATTCGAGCCGCTCTGCGCTGGATGCGGTCAAGTGGAAGGAGCTGGTACTGGGGAGCCCCAGCCCAGAGATGGGAACAGTATTCCATGAGCGGCCGAACCTGCGCCTTGTAAAGTTGCAGGCGGTGTGCCGGCATGAAATACTGTCCCGCTCTGCTGAGCACGCCAAGCTTTTTAGAGGCCAATTTGGCCTTCTCTTCCAAGTGACCACGAAACTGCACGTCACTCGATACGTCGACGCCGAGGATTCCGATACTGGCTGAGGCAACAAGGGGAGTGCCTTGAAACTGAGGGGATACGACAAAGGGGTTCTTTTTAGCGGTTAACGCGCAAACTTGTGTCTTCTGGGGGTTAAACTGGACTAGATTTAGTCGCCCCCAATCCGAGACTCTGTCCAGCAGAGACTCGACTTCAGACACAAGTTTGTCCCGGCACTCAGAGACGTTTTCCCGAGAAATATTGGCTCGGCCGGTGTAAAGAGCATCACCAGTGCTGTCATCTGCATAGCAATGAATGCTACGGGTTTGCAACATATCATTGATATGCAGAAGAAACAGCGGTGGCGATAGCACGCAGCCCTGTGGAACACCAGCATTAATAAGCTTGCAATCGGACCTTGCACCGTCTACAACGACCTTGATGCTCCGATCCGCAAGAAAACTGGTGATCCAATCGCACAATTTCTCGGGAAGCCCATAGGAAGGGAGCTTCGAAAGAAGCGCTTTGTGCCAAACCCGATCGAAGGCCTTCGCAATGTCCCAACTAACGGCCAATGCCTTCCCCTTGGACTCTACTGCCTCCGCCCATCTGTGAGTTAGGTAGACCAGAAGATCACCAGCTGACCTACCACGGCGAAAACCGTATTGGCGGACACTAATTAGCTGGTGATCCTCAAGGTACCTCATGAGCTGGCAGTTTACAATGGACTCCATTGTTTTGGAGAACAAGGAGGTGATGGCGATAGGCCGGTAGTTGGACGGGTCTGAGCGGTCGCCTTTTTTAGGGATCGGGTGGACAAAAGCCGTCTTCCATGATTTTGGGACTACGCCTAGGGAGTAGGAGTACCGGAAAAGACGCGTTAAAACCGGTGCCAACTCTGGAGCACACGTCCTCAGCACAATTGGGGGGATTCCATCAGGCCCACTCGACTTATGGATGTCCAGGGAGAGGAGTGCTTTGCGAACCGAGCGCTGAGTGAACTGCACTTCCGGCATGGAGCACTCACACCGCGGGATGGTTGGCGGATGGAGTCGAGTTAGACGCAAAGAAAGAGCCTAGAAGATCGGCTTTCTCCTTTGCGGTGTGGGCCAGTGAGTCGTCCTCCCTGTGCAGAGATGGAAGAGATGGCTGACAGAAATTCCCCTGGACAGCCTTGGCGAGAGACCAGAATGCACGGGTTCCAGAAGGAAGACGAACTAGTCTCTCGCCAATTCTGCCTATGTGCTCTGACTTTGCCTTGGCAATGACTCTTTTGAAGGACCTAGAGGCGGAATTATACTTCTTTTTTAGAGCGCTGGTGTTTACATCCCTGGACGCTGACGCGTCAGCCCAGGCTCGGTAGCATGATGCTATTTTACAGGAGCGACCAAACCATGGCTGAGATTTGCCTCCAATGGGCACCACAGAGGAAGGAATAAAAAGTTCCATACCCTGAAGTACCACATCAGCGACAGAATCCGCAACAACGTTGGGATCGTCCGGCGAGAAGCAAACCCGCCCCCAAGGGTAGGATGCAAAGAAAGACCGCATCCCATCCCAATCGGCTGACCTATAGTGCCAAACACGGCGGCAGCCTGCAGAATGCAACCGCGATTTCAGCGTGAGTGGCACCACACTCCGGACAAGACAATGGTCCGACGAGCCTAAAGGGGCGTCGACGGAAATCTGATATCCGTCCGGGTGAGAGGTCAGCAGAAGGTCCAACAGGGAAGGTGCATGATCCTCCACATCTGGAATCCGCGTAGGCGAAGTAACCAGTTGTGTCAGACCATATGCCAAGGCAAAATCATGAACAGATCTCCCCGCATGATCGGTTAAACGTGAACCGAGCCATTCGGCGTGTTGGGCGTTAAAGTCGCCGAGGATCACGATCTCTGCGGAGGGGATCTGCTGTAGCAACGAATCTGCAGCCATTTGGACATGGTCGAAGAGTCGGTCTGTTTCGGCATTACCGCTATGGGACCTATAGAGGCACCCGTAGACGCGCGGATGGTCGTCGCTGTCTACGCGTAGCCAAATAATGGACAGGTCCGAACCTTCAAGTCTGCCGAAGCGTCGAGAACAGATGTCCTCTCTGACGTAAACGCAAACTCCAGCCCGAGGCACAAAGGAGTGTTCCAGTTTGTACCCCGGGCAGGAGAGATACGAGACATCAGCCGGAGAGGACACCTGCGTCTCGGTCAGAAAGAGCAGAGCCGGCCTCGCCGTCTCGAGATGGTAATGGACGGCGTTTAGGTTAGAGTGAAGTCCCCTGATATTGCAGAAATTCACGGACAGCGTGACAGGGGTCGCCTTGGTCTTGTTGCTCCGTTTGCCCCGAGCAGTTTTAGTCTTGAGCGGAATATTGCCCCCCCCCCCCCCCAGAATGCGCGGGGCAGCCTGAGCACCCACGCTCAGAAGTGGAGAAACATGGTCGTGGATGCTCAGCGAGGGATTCTCCAGGGGTGCTGGTACCCTCCTGGGGTAGTCTATCATTTAATTCCGCTACCATGTTGATGGGGGGGGGGGATTTGGGCCTCCGGCCACCTGCACTCACCAGACGAAACGCGGAAGCAGAGCTTCCACTTCACGCCGGTATTCTGTGAGGTCGTGGTACCACCCCGGTTTGAGCCGGCCCATACGTGCGACAGCAAAGCTGCCGCGTGGCTCTAACACATGTTAATCAACATTAAAAACGAATTAATTATTATTTTTCGAGATAAATATAAGTCTATGGCAATGTTGCAAGCAAAAATGATGATCACGTAATTCTTAAAGAAGTAGAAAGAAGATGTCTTGTGTTAGAGCACAATATTGTATAGATTTGAAAAACTGATATCAGCTAAGTGTCTTTTATATATATATATATATATATATATATATATATATATATATATATATATATATATATTTGTGCAATTCATTCAAACATCTTTGTGCAAGTTTGCACCACATAATAATTGATATTATTTAATAAAATATTTAATTACTAAATGATGAACATTTAGTTGCGGCGTGAAAGAACTCACTACGCCATGTCATCCCGTAGGCGTCGTAAGAAGCAACAGATGGAAACTAAAATAGGAGATGGATAGCAGCATCTCCCTGAAAACAACTCAAAATGATTAAAAAAAACTGTGGCCCAACCGCAAGCCAAGCAATTTTAGGAAATAGTATAAATAGGGGGATCCCTATGAGGTAATCTATGGGAAAGATTAACAAAAAATACTCAACAAATATATTGGAATAGGTCATAGAATACTATAATACACAATAGAATGGCTGTCAACCTTATTTTGTACTAGGGTTGGCGTCGCCGGGAGCACGTATAAGCAATTACGTCATATTATCACTACTACAATGAGATGAATTTGACACAAATATTTCTTTATTTTTGTTTCTAATATTCAGAAAATATAAATAGTGTCGACTTACTGGTTGTAGGATATGCTTCCTTTATTTAAATTCTTTTCTTTTGATTAATGTCCAAGATTTAAAAAAATCGTTTAAATTTTAATACATATTTATTTGTAAATAGTGTGAAATTTGGCATTTTCTAAATATGTAATTTGCATGCGAAATTTGGAAACGATTGTAACGTCAAAACACATCTCGTGTTGACAGTTACGTTATACGTGTGATTTTTTTATAAAAGAATATCAACAATGCTATAAACATTACTAATATTCCCCTTTACCACTCGTGGTAAGCTTAAATTGCTGCTTAAGGCAGTGGTCCGGGCTCCGGCCACTCTCCCGTTCTATTATGTATGTATTACAGTATTCTATGGAATAGATTTACATTTACTACATTAAAAATAGATAAATAAAATACAAACTTTCGAATTTTCATGTCCATGAGGTATCGTTCTTTGCGCAGTTGGTTGAGGTGATCGAGCGAAGCGTCTATCTGACGCAGCACGGCCTTGCTCTGCAGCAACTCGTCGCACAAGTACGCCAACATGCGCGCTTTTGTGGTTGGGTTTAGAGCGAGGAATGGCTTATCACGAAGCGTTTCTGAGGAAAAACGTATTAATGATATAGATACGACTAAGACCATTTACTTTTAAAGAAGGAATCTTTTTATTATAAAGATTTATCACCAGACAGTTTGTATGTTGAGTTATTATGCAAATGCTCGTAGTAAGCGGCATTTTTGGTGTTGGAACAAGTGTGTTGCATCTCCGCGTCGTTCTGGTGATGGTCTGCAACTCTGCGCTCTCGTTCTCGCTCGGCTGTTAGACCTGAATAAAAAAATAATAGTAAGAAATATTTTTCTTCATTAATAATTCAAGTCCAGCAATTTTTCAAAGACTGATTGTCTAAAAGATTCTACTGTATTTTTAACGTGAGACAATCCCTGTTAATTTGATAAAACTAAATTATAGATTTAAACTCCTACAAAATCGTGTTGTTTTTATTAAAATTTCAAACATTACTTGACAAAACTAGAGAATAATTATCCAAATAAAAATATAATAGGCACAAGATTCATTGTACGGTAAAATTAACTTAGTAGAGATTATTTCATAAGTATCTACAATGTATAACTCTCTTATTATATTGTAGGCACAGGCATTGTATTCCCTTCCTTAAGACGAGGTCTTAGCACGATTTCAAATTCGTTTTTCACCCGCGCGTCCCGCAGTGGGCGGAGCGCAACCGGCAGTCGGAGTTCCAATAGCGATTACTAAAGTACACCTTCAGGTCACTCCGTCAAGTCTGGAGGTAAGAACTTATTATACCTAACAAAACGAGCCCAAACTCGGCACACCTAGTAGTACTCCGCGACCAGATATAATAGCGATTACCAAAGTACACCTTCAGATCACTCCGTCAAGTCCGGAGGTAAGAACTCATCATAACTAACAAAACGAGCCCAAACTCGGCACACCTAGTAGTACTCGGGGACCAGTTCCAACAGCGATTACCAAAGTACACATTCAGGTCACTCCGTCAAGTCCGGAGGTAAGAACTCATCATACCTAACAAAACGAGCCCAAATTCGGCACACCTAGTAGTACTCGGCGACCAGATATAATAGCGATTACCAAAGTACACCTTCAGGTCACTCCGTCAAGTCCGGAGGTAAAGACTCATCATAACTAACAAAACGAGCCCAAACTCGGCACACCTAGTAGTACTCGGGGACCAGTTCCAACAGCGATTTCCTAAGTACACCTTCAGGTCACTCCTTCAAGTCCGGAGGTAAAGACTCATCATAACTAACAAAACGAGCCCACACTCGGCACACCTAGTAGTACTCGGCGACAAGTTCCAATAGCGACTACAAAAGTACACCTTCAGGTCACTCCGTCAAGTCCGGAGGTAAGGACCTATCATATCTAACAAAACGAGCCCAAACTCGGCACACCTGGTAGTACTCGGGGACCAGTTCCAATAGCGATTACTAAAGTACACATTCAGGTCACTCCGTCAAGTCCGGAGGTAAAGACTCATCATACCTAACAAAACGAGCCCAAACTCGACACACTTAGTTCTACTAGTCCAGGTGTTCTAGTATTAGTTACTGAAGTTCACCTACTGGTCACCCCATCAAGTCCGGAGGTAAGGTCTTATCATAACTAACAAAACCAGCCTAAAGTCCACAGCTAACATCTCACTGCCAGCAGAGGGCTCCCAGTGCCAAGCGGTCTCTAGAGTAGGTATTCGTATTTCGTATCTAAATCTAAATCTAAGTATATTTTTGAGGTATAAGAAATCAAAAAAAATATTCGATCTTTCAAATTATCAAAATTTTATTTGACTACAATTCCGACAGCCAACCGTGCGTACACTTGTGTACATATCAATGTAAAAGCAGGCCTCTATCACTCTTGCTACCTGCGAGAAATAATTACCTAAAATCGCGACGCGCCCGGGCGAAATAACGCAGTCAGGGCTAGCGCGTTGGAGGCAATTGAATGTTAGAGTTTTTTAACGCTGTTTACGTAAATGGTTTTATGTAAATACTTGTTGAAATAGTTTTTGTTTAGTGTTTAGTATATTTAATTGTAGGTAAAAATAGTTGTAAAAGTTTTAATGTATTTTAAAAATTATATAATATGTATATTACCTATTTGATAAATTATAATAGCTAAACGTCGTTCCTACTATAACTGTTGCTTAGACCTTAGATGGATACTAAATGAAATGACCAACAAAAGGTTTCATATCTTTCTTTAAGTTACCGAAGAATTTTAGAAGGAAGTTATGAAAGGTGAATTTATTTAATTTTTTTGTTAGATAGGTACTCACAGCAAAAAAAGAATTAAGTAATAATTTGGTCTACAGAAGATATACCTAAGTACTTCATTACAAAAATTAGTTAAAATTTACTTCACTACCCAAGTATTTACTTACATACCTATACTTGTCTTTTGTAATTAAATATTTTAGGTTATGATAACACAAAATACTGAAATTAAAACTTTGTATACTAACAAGATTTTTAACTAAATAGAATAGATCACATTTCTGTTAGAAATCGTATTTCAGGTTTATTTGTTGTTTACACTATCTACCTATTTCTCCCAAGCGTTACGATTCCCGACGAATGAAGTTGCAATTTGCATGCGTTAGGCATCGCAGAACTCACATATGGGCGAAAGTATGGTTAGTCAATCATAGTCAGAATATTAGTTAGTACTTCACCTTAGTAACATAATTAACATTTCGCAATGTATTTTTTACTTTCTATTGACATCCCTTAATAACCACGGAAAGTCCGCCGTGACAAAAAAGATGCAAAGTTATATGGACACTAGCGCGCAGCGATAAAGTTTTATTTATCTTGCGTGTGCGATTTATCTGATTAATAATAATTATGTAGGCTATTAAACGTCGGTAAGCAGTCGACATCAAAGGAGTGCAACTTTTGTACGTAGTACTATTATTTATTCTGTGGTAATAGTTGGATTCTATACCTATATCAATTTTGTAAACGCGTCCTTCAAAAATCTTAACGTAAATATTATGGCAAAAAGAGCGACACGTCTCTACAGCACCAGGCCTCGGCCGGCAGTGACTTCCTGTATATACTTATTATACTCTTTGGCAGTGACTCTGCACAGGCGTTTACGCAAACATCCGTACGTATTATTTCAGAAATAAGAATATGCGATTTTAAAAAAAAATTATTAGTTGGACTAAAAAATTAAAACACTATTACGTTAGTATGTTGAATGTATAAAAATCTGACAAAAAATCAGAATTATTGCATGTATACTAGTATGGTTTTTACTCGTTAAAAGAAATTTTAGAGGTATGTTTGTGATTTTTTTCTGTCGTATTAAATTATCTAACTAGCATATATCCTGGACAATATCATATATTTTTCTGGGTTTGTTTACTGCAGTGGATCATATACTTTGAGGCATTATAAAACTTGCATTTAGCATCATGCCTCGTCTTAAAGAAATTAGGTATGATGCTACTAAAAAACATCTTTTCTGTTGTTTAACGTAAAGAGCGCGTAATCCGTATACGTTTAAATAAATTCGTCTTTTCCGAGTACACATGAATGAGTTAATGATTATTACCTTACTCCATTTTTTATTTTTAAATTATTTTTTGGTCTTATTCACTTACCTCTATATATACAGCGTACTTGTATATATAGAGGTCGGTGGTCTTATTACATTAAGGTCTCATATTATAAGGTTTTAAATTAATTAGGGGTTTCTAAAAATATTACATTTGAGTCAGAAAAGAAACCATAATAACGTTATTTATTTAGTTAATAATCAAAAATCAGCACATTTGATACAAAAGAACATATTTTAAAATAAAAAATACAGCAGCTTTTAAATCGGCCATTTGGACTTAATAAATAAACTCCAACTCAAATCTAAATAAATAAACTCGCAACTCAAATCTGTAATAGTTTAACTACACAGTTTAATGGTTTACCGTTTTTCCTAGCTGTTTAAACACCTTATGAAATTCAATAATTAAAAGAAATAAAATTTTCAGTGCGGCCTTTTTTATATGGAAGAGGGGAAAAAAGAGGATGCGGCTCGTCTCCTGGTAAATGACTGCCGCCGCCCATGAACAACTGCCAACACCAGGGGAACTGCAGGTACGTTGTCGGCCTTTCAGATAGGAGTAAGCTTTTTTCTTGAAGGTCTCTAAGTCGTATCTGAGCGAAAAAATCGCTGATGGTAAACCATTTCACAGAGGGGTCATACGAGGAAGAAAACTCTTAGTAAAACCTACAATGGTGGACCGCCAAGCATACAGATGTTGTGGATGGTATCGTGAGTTTTGACTCCCTGACGTATACTCAAACTCCAGCCCGAGGCATAAAGGAATATTCCAATTTGTACACCGGGTAGGAGAGATACGAAGTATCAGCCAGAGAGAAAAGCAAGGCTAGCTTCCCGTCTTCGGATGGTAGTGGATGGCGTTTAGGTTCGAGATCCGTGAATCCGTGAACTTCTGCCGTGAAATTCACGGATAGCGTGGCAGGGGTCGTCTTGGTCTTGTTGCTCAGCTTGCTCAGAACAGTTTTTATCTTGAGCGGAATTTTGCGGAGCACCCACGACGCTCAGGAGTAGAGAAGCATCATCGTGGATACTCTGCGAGGGATTGCCCATTACCAGGGGTGCTGATACCCTCTTGGGGTAGCATTTCATTTAATTCCGCTACCATGTTGATGGGGAAGGGGGGGGATTGATTCCTCCGACCACCTTTACTCACCAGACGAAATGCAGAAGCAGAGCTTCTACTTCACGCTGGTTTACTGTGAGGTCGCGGTACTACACCGATTCGAGACGGCCCATACGTGCAAAAGCAAAAGCTGCCTCGTGGCTCTACTTCTAGACTTTAAGCAATCGATATGCTCTAAATTGCAGTTTAACTGCTTCTAGAATAGAATATCTCAGTTTCATTCAATATTTATTACATGCAATTCTTATTGGAAGTTATTTTTTACCTTTATCATTGGTTCAGAAAAAATACCTATGTCCTGAGATGAACCAGCAAAAAACCCAGCGGGACTTTCTTTAAAGCATTAACCATAATCTAAATGGTTAATAGGCTCATAGAGGCACCTACACACGCTATGTCTCTATTATGCATCATGAATATCACACAATAATATTATATTGTGATATTATATATCCGATCTGAAACACATCTCGCTTTTCTCGTCATCTCGACCACTATATTGTGGTTTTTATGTATGTGTAACAAATCACAAGTCATTCTATATTCAACAGAAAAAACAAAAAACAACTTTGCTAAAAGAATAAGATTACAATACTTCACTGCCACGTAAAATACAAACATTAAAAAGCGTGCGACTAACCAGTAAGCGCCTTGATTTCCCCGGTGGCATTGGCGTAAAGGTAAATACGTAGAACCTCGCTGAGGTTGGCGGGGGTGATGTCGCCCATGCGGATAGCTTGCCCCAACAGCGTCGTGTGGCGGCCTGGATGGGGGATACCCGGGTCCTCTGCGAATTTTAGTAAAGGTATAATTTAAACCACTACGAAACCCTAAAAGAGAAATGCTCCGGCATCCGACAGACATTGATAATGATATTTATTTTTGAGCTATTCAGACATATTGTTCATAATGATTTTACCAACGGGTGAGCAACAGCGAGTCAGCGAGTTAGTTTTTATTATTTTAAATTGTGACCAGAAACAGTATGCTGCCCATCTCCCGTTTAAGTCCTTCTGTCGACTGTTACAATATCCACCGGTATGGTATGGATATACTTACATTGGCAAGTTAATCCATATAGATGTCAGAGATGGCCTGAGAAAAAAAAATTCCTACGCCAAGCAAAGCTCGATCGTCCAGGTATTAGACGCATACATTATACAATGTTTTTATTTGTGTTTTTGTTATATCCTTTGTATATCATTTTAATTTCAACGTATCCTATAAGTACTGTTATTCTGCAATATATATATATATATATATATATATATATATATATTGTATCTATGTATCAAAAGAATTATTATGTAACCCTTAAGTAATTTAAATGTGTTTGCGTGATAGTGTAATCATACTGTTACAAAAGCTAAATTGAGCGCCACCGATGTGTCTATTACTAAACAAACATAATATTATTATATCAGGAGATCAGAATCCGCAGAGGAGGGAGTGCGTTATGTTTGAATCATAAGAAAGGCATGAGTGTTGCGTGAATGTTCAGGAGCGTTCCGGGAGGCAGGGTGTACTCACCGATGGCGCAGACGAGCAGCTGCGTGAGCACCTGCAGCAGCTCGTCCTCGGCGTCGGCGCTGCACTCCGCCAGCAGCGCACACTGCAGCGTCTGCAGGCTCGGCAGCGACTCCACGTCTGTGACACATGCGCATTTTATAATATATCACTATTTATGTTTTCCTGGTCGATCATATCGGCTATGGCGACATTTATTCGAATAATCGAACATCGACATTTATTCGAACAGTACTAAGTACACATATGTTACCGTTAATGTTACAACCTATCAAAAGTCCATTGCTGAACATAGGACTCCCCCATAATTTGCTTCATAGAACGATTTCAAGTTTACATACGTTAATAAAAATACTTACTTGTCCTAGTCTACCCGTTACCAATGTAACGCTTCAAATTGTGATAGAAATTTCTGTTTGTGCTTCAGTATCTGATTTAATAAAATAATTTTACAGTCCACGTGATAGTAAGTGGATGATGTAGATATCATCTAACCACCCAAGCTGAAACGCCTTGTTTCCAATAAAAAGGATCTCCAGTTCTCTAGACTCACCATATGTAACACAGCAGCATTAAGCTGCTATTTTATGCTGGTAATCTGTGAGAGCGTGGTTTTGCAGACCCATTCGTGAAACTATAATATAGCTGCTGTAGCTAAGCTCTATTTAAATATATAATATTATTTTTAAAATATATCTCAAAACCTACTTGACTACAATACTACAGTTAACAACCTCCTGGATTTTAGATATTAGGTAATTTCCCAATATATTTTGTAATTGAAGTGAATTCAAGTCAATCAACCTAATAATATAATGTTTAGGCAGTCAATGGGCTCTACCATGCACGCCATGTTTAGCGTTGGGTTTGTGGTTAGCTATAATGTGATGATGATAAACGTTAATTAAGAATAAAAGGGCTTTTCCTGTTGGTAAGTGATATAATACACCGTAATAACGATTAATTTATGAAATACTCACCGAAGCCAAGAGTTTGTCCAAAGTTGTTAATGAACTCGTAAACTTGTAGTAAGTCTGCCATGGCTTGGCCGGGCAGCTTAAGACCCGGAATCCTATTTAGTGTGGGTAGGGGTTTCTGATCTGATAGCGTTGAGTCTTCTTGAGGCCTCCTGTATAAGAATATTTATAATGATAACAGGAACATAAAAAGGAAAAAAAAATCTCTACTGATAAAAATATTTCTAGTTAGTGTTTTTTTACCACTGACAATTTAAAAAAAATTGTCATCAGACGGCATTGTAATAAATTAATGGTTTTAATTTATAAAAGAAGCCGATCTGTGATATTTCTCACTGTCCATTTATACGACATCCACTTGCTGAGATCGTGGGCTGTTTTCTGTTATGTCATGTCACATCGTATTTTTAAAGTAAAAGTGTGTGTTTGTCAGTGTGTAAAACTGCGTGCGTGTGTACGTATAAGGTCAGGGAAAAGTTTCTTCGTATTTTATATACAAATACAAGAATTTTTTTTTCAAATTTTTATTTCATTTAATTGTAATATATACGTGCCATTTTGTTCGATAACATGTTGACATGTTGTAGTTACGGGATTATGTATGAGGGTGACCAGAACGAGAAGCATCTTTGACATCAAAATTACCACACTGAAAACGCTTGAACCAACTTTGTGCTATTTTAACTGACACTGTATTAGGTTTATTAACGTCAAAAAATTTTTTAGCGGCTTGAGTCGCACTTTTTTCTTTCTTGTACTAAAACTTCAGAATGTAATAATAGAATTACTTCGTTAGATTCACTCATTTTAGCGGATAGAAAAACAATTGAAAAATAGCGGGAAAATGTTTTTTATCTTTCTTTTTCCTAATGTCCTAATATAGGACCTATGTGTATTAAAGTAATTAAGTATATTAAAACCAGCCAGAGCCAGAGAAGAGAGATTTATCTTCAATTTTATAAAAAAAAAATACGAAGAAACTTTTTCCCCGACCTAACATTACAATGTGGTTGTTGAAGAGCGCGGTGTAGGTACCTGAGCTCCGCGAGCAGCTCCATCTCGCGGCGGCGCTGCTGCAACTTGCGCTCCTTGGCGAGCAGGCGGTCGAGCAGGTTCTGGTGCTTGCGGCGCTCGCGCTCGGCCCAGCGCCGCCGCGCGTCCAGCTGCCGCACGAACGTGGTGTGCTGCCGCCGCCGCTCGCGCTCCTGCACACCAACACGCTCGTTATCATCTACCACACGCTCGTTATCATCTACAACACGCTCGTTATCATCTAACTGCCAATAAATCTATTCCAACCAGTACACGACTCCTATATACAACAAACGTTTTGTTCTCCGTAACGATTCGTTTTATTACGATGTGCATGAAAAAACAGTTTATACAATTTTTATATAAATTACAAACTGTTCATTTAACAATTTAGGATGACTTAAATTGAAAAAACCTTAACACTATTTATATTATATTATCAACATAAAACTGCTTTTAGGGAAAATCATAGCATACAAATCATCATAGAATTCTGAAATATTTTTTAAAACAACAACCTCGACCATGACGTGCATGCTATCGCATGGGGATAGTTACTTCACCATACCTACATGGACTCGGCACTCTTAGAGCCATAAGTGTACCTTACGTGTTCAACTCTGAAGTAACACTGGAATTGTCCAAAATCTACTATTTGACAGCACCAGCAGTGTCTCCGATGTTTGTGGTGGATTTCTGTAAGGAGTAGTTTACAAGACCATGTGATTATATCTCTGCACAAGATTACATCCACTTTAAAGTAGTAAGTTACAGCTATATAGTTTGGGCACAGGCCTCCCCTCATTTCTGAGACGGTTTAAGGGCAAGTAAGTATCCGCCGCGCTGCCCCAATGCGTGTTGGCGAACTTCACATGTCTCCGAAATATTCTTTTCTTACTCCTCAGACATGCAGGTTTCCTTACGACGTTTTCCTTCAACGCCGAGCACGTGGTAAATCAGCACTTAAAATTGCAATTAGCAACTTCATTGATGCAGGCGGGGATCGAACCCGGGTTACTCGCGTTCTATTATATTTACAGCGAGCGTTAACCATCTGAGCTACCACGGCTCACTTCCACTTTATAACTACCACGCTACTACTAAATATGTACAGCTTCAGCACGTCTAGCTATATTCTATGACATAAATTTTACTACGTCTACACCTGTAGCGGCACTATATTTGTCTCGTCCTTTTGTAAAGATGCCGACTATTTTTTAAACACTTTCGTTTCGCTAACAGTCCTCAGCAAGCTTAAGCTTTTCCACTTGCTTTAAAAAGCTTATTAAATGACTTCGTTTTGCTAATCAAAAACCAAATCTATGATGATGGAAAAATTGCAGCATAGCCATTTTGAAAATCTACTCCAACCCACCACCTGTCTAGCACGATGGTAAATATGAACAAATGTCCTAAAATGTGAATGTCGGTTGACGCATTATTTAAAAAAAAACATAATATGTATTTCATATGGCAGAGGACAAAAGAAGACATAACATAATAAAGAAACACGCAAAAGCAAACAGGATTGGAAAATATATTATTGAAAGGAATATATCACAAGCTTTTGTTATAGAAAATAAAACTGCTGTATAAAATCAAAAGGGATCACATATTTGAAATAAAATATTAAATTATCAAATATTACAAAATGCGACAGAAAAGGTAAAACACTATTAGCTGACGTTTTACTATTATGTTAACATTAATAGCGAGTTTAATCGGCATGCACATTCGATATTGTTAGCATTGCACTTTGTAGCTTTGAACAATAATAGTATGTTAAACATTCCAAGAGTTAACGTCCAAGCAGTTACTTGTCAAAATCCATTAGTCAGTAAGTACGTTACATGCCTATTGTATTCAGTCAATGGAATCTAAATAATTAACCCCCTAAAATACCATAGCAATAGATCAGAAAATTAATTTTAATGTGAATTACCTCAGTTATGTACTTTTGCTGTGATGTGTAGTTGTCGATCCAATCGTGCATTGGAAAAGAAAATATATTATGAATATAAATGTCAGATGAAACAAGCCAAAATGTTAATTTTAATTCCAATTGTTATTAACACATACGTTATAACGTTTAGATGAGCCGTTAAGAAGACTAAGTAGCATATATTTACAATTTTTGACTGCAATAAAAAGTGTATTGATTTAAAAAATAATTTACTAATTAGAGTCCACTCAGGAAGAATACCATGTTGGGGAAGTGAAATTACACTTTAATCTTAAAATTATGTAAAACCCATGATACATGCATAAAACAGTTAAATCACGTAAACAGTTAAAACCTAAGTATAAATATTATATTTTATTTATTATTTCATTTTAAATTATCAAAATGTTTGGTGAGCATTTGTGATCGTTCAATAACCAACTTAGACCAACAAAAAAATTATAAAGCACACTACGTACATTTTAAAGTGATGCTAAAACCATGCTCAACTTATTATAATAGTCTGTCCTACATAATCCTTTTATTAAGGTATACAGTAAAGTGTAAATAAATTAGTAATAAATAAGAATACGCATACATATTAAGCACCTAACACCATGTATTTGGTAGTAATTTTAGGTGCATATAACATCCGGAAGCAGACGTTCTTACAATAAGTTGCATATCCATTTAAAATGTACGTAGCGTTCTTTTTATCATCCTTTGTTGGTCTAAGATAACAACACAGCTCAAGCGCTCACAAACCCCGTGTCTGATTTTTCTAGTAACTATTTTCTTAACGGCTTAAACATGTAATCAAACACAAAACCATCCACACACAAAGTTAGCACTCTTAAACAACAACCGCAAAACAGATTCCGTTATAATTTACCTGTTCTTTTAACAGAATAGCTTGCTGTCGTTTTAGTTCTCTTTCCTGTAACAAAGTATAAAAGTAATTATCTTAAAAGATGATAGGAAACAACATATAAAATTGATATTGCAGAAAACATAATATACGTGGTAGAGCCATGCTGCAGTCATATTAGTAGTATAGTTGTAGCACAAATGGGTCGGCTCGACCGGGGAGGGACCACGCTCTCACTGAATACTAGCGTCAAATAGTTGTTTAATGCTGCTGTGTTACGTGTGGTGAGTGTAGAGAATCGGAGACCCTTTTTACTGGAAACGAGGCATTCCATCTTAGTCCTCACGGGTGACAACGCATCTGCGTTTTGATTCGTAATCGAGGATAGATGTAGATGTCTATGGGCCACAGCAACCACTTACCATCAGGTGTTCGTTTGACTGTGTGCTCATTTGTACCCTATCCTATAAAAAAAAACTGATTTTTTTTTAACAAAATTATCACAGATAATATTAAAAGTACACTGTTGGATATACGCTTTTCGCTGGCTGGGAAAATTTACAATAATTGCCAATTTTGAAAAGCGAATTGACGCGTATATATACACAGATTTTTAAATAGACGCGCAAATTTTTTTTTCTAACCTAAATTGTTTCTCAGGTTTTGAGATTCAAAATTTGGAGCGTTAATTTTATTAAATACAAGTAAATAGCTTCAATTATGAAATTATCGCTATTTAAATGGAATCATATTTTACGTTTACACTTTGTACAAACCTGCTGCCTTTTCGCCTGATCCTCTATTTTTTGCTTCTCTAACTCCTCCTGTTTCCGTTTCTTAGCCTTCAAATACATCCGGAGAGATAACATCGAAAGCGGTAGAGCAAATTATAATCAAAGCAGCGAACATGTAACAAATAGAAAATAGAAAGAACTAAATACGTGTTAAATAAAACTAAAGCTCATATCAATTAATTTATTATGAATTGAATTTTATAACAGAAAATATAAGTAAGCGTTGTCATAATAGAAAGCGTGCAAGAGAAAAAAAAAAGAAAAATGGTTGAATCTAAAACACATCATACATATTGGTTTTCCGTATAATTTTATCGAATTTATTTTAAGCAAATATTTATCATTTAAATAGTAAACAGTCCCAATTAGCGTATAAAATGTTTTCACCAACATTGTTTTTATATCAAGATTCTCAAAGTCTAAGATGCTTAACAGAATGGTATACAAATGAAAAATTTTAAGACATATTTAACCGTGAAATGAATCACAAGGTGTCATTCATAATACAACACGAATTTGATTGTACTTGCCATGGACCAAGTTCCACATGAGAACTGTATAATTCATACTTTTATTTAGTTAGTCTTACATTACACGTGTTTACATACACAAATGAATGCATGAATACATTTCCATTCCATTAAGAAGCACACTACTTACACATACCATCACCGTTAATTAATGATCTCTTCGTTATATAACGTGCATTTCTATTACGCCATGTGAAATGAGACGTAGGATACAGATAATAATAATCACTTAAAATACCCATACACATACCACAAACAATGATTAGACGTGTTAGTGAACCCGGAAAACGTTAGTATTTTAGTGTTCATTTTAATTGCTAACACGTACCAAGTACATGTCCTTACTGCCGAAGGGATGTACAGAAATAGATAGCGCACCATCTTTCCCTACGTTAAATGTTCCTTGACTGATCTTTTTCGTTATAATATCATTAAGAATATTCTCATCATCACAACTAAGGTCTATGACTTCTTTCAAGACAGATTTTTGAGTATCTTTTGGCATTAGCATTAGATTTTGAGACATAAATTCGTTTTTGGCATCTAAGTATTTCTGCTCGAGGCTCTTAGGATCTTCTGTTTTACTATCACCTTCTAATTTCGACCAATCACAGCCGTTTATGAATTCACTGATTCTCGAATATGATTCGATTAATTTCTCTAACTTGTTTTCTTTATCTGGCACCTTTGTTTTCTTTTCTGCTGCTTTCATTAACGTAAAATCAAAATATTTATCTTTTGGTCGTTTCGGTAAATCGAAAGCAGCTTTTTCTGCGAAATCTTTCATTTTATCTAGAGCGTTATACTCTTCAATCTCCTCTTTCCAGCCACTCTGGTCAAAATTCAATGTTTTTATTGGTACATTTTGATTATCTTTCGGTCCACTGACAGGTATTAGGGATAGACTAATTGGTGGCATAGTGCGGTCTTTGTTGGTTTTAACAGCAGGGCCCATCACTATTTCAGGAATTTTCCATTCATTGGAATCGGTATTCATTTTCTGTACTGACGGCAGCGGCTCGATGGTAAGCTGCGTTCGGTTCTTGTTGATATGCTGTTCAGAGTGCCATCGTTAATTTTTTTGTTTTCACATTTTCTATTATCAATTGGATTATGACAACATTGTCAAAGTAAATGTTTTTTGCGATTGTTTTTGATGTTAGAACTAAGTAACACATAACCCATAGAAAGTATAAGGGTAAATTTTACATAAATAAATATAATAGTATATAAAGATAACAAACGTAGCTATTGAGACACACAACTCAACTACCATCTAAAAGCTAAGAAGTCCAACGCTATCTACGAAAAGCAAAAAGTAACCATTTATCTATCATATTCATATTGGAACTTTTTGCTTTCAAAAATCTACATATTACGAATGTGAGCACAATGTTGCCAAGCATCAAATTGATAATAAAAATAAAAAATAAAAAACAAACACAAGCACATGTAAATTAAAAAAAAAACAGAATACAAATAAATATAAACAAGGTCTAAATAACAGTGACATACCAAATGAGGAAATTAAATAATTAAAATAGATAAATAAACTGTAAAAGCCTAATTTTAATTTATGTCAATGGGTATTATAAACCTATCATTGTAAAAATAATCGTTTAAAACATTTTAAAGGTTTTTGATAGTTTATAAGGACTGCTTATAAACGTAATATCAGTTGGTTTTGTCAGCTGTTAAAGACAAACTAGTTTCCAATATTTTAATAAAGAACAAGACAGTGTACATAATAAGTTAAGACTGACGAATGACCCCGACATTACCCAGTTAAAAAGGTTTCATTTACCTCTAACAGCTGCTGACTTCGTACTTCTTTTTCCCTTTTCGCAAGTTCAGCCCTTTCGGATCTTTCTAACTCTCGTACAAGACGAGCCTGTGAATGAAATGAATGATGATGACTTTGATATGAATCCACTTTTGTTTTTGATATCATGTGGAATAAGGGTTGATGGATGATTACTATTATTAGTGAAGTCGACATAAGAGTTGTATCTCTTTTTAATTCATGTCTTACTGTGAGTTATAGAATGAATGTATGAAATATGTAATGTAATACAATTAACAATTATATCAGAAAGTACAACCTTTTGTTATAAAGACGGACAAAACAAATTGATTGTAGGTTTCGATGAAATTATAATCGTATAATTGGAAATGGCATGAATCAGTAACAAAGTACCTGTTTCTCGTTTAGACGCGAATAAAATATTAAAATAATTGTATAGGAAAGTTAATGAAGTTGAATTAATTATGGTAAAGTCTAGTTGAAGTCATCGGAATACCGCACAGAAAAAAATATCATAATAGTCAAATTAACTAAAATATAAAATCGTAAACTATATAACAATATCTACGCAACGCCTCAATATTAAGGTTTATATAACTAAATCAAAACAAGCATACTACAACAATACATATAACAATATACGGTATATATTGCGAATGTTTGTGAGATAAATGACCAAATACTCAAACGCTAAATTTTTTTTATTTTTAATTTTAGTTTTAATTTAAACGACGTAAGTATTGTGGTGTCACAGTCTCTTTGAATTAAAGTGATAGAGACAGTACGAGACGTCTAAACCAAGTAGCGTTTGAGTATTTGGACAAAAGTAAAGCACAGCTTGTGAAGTCAGCACCAATGTCATCTGCTAACTATAGGAATGGGATCGTATAATTTACTGACAACTATATTCTGAGATCTTTATGTACCGTCAGCAAAATAATAAATATTGAAATCATGATTTTTTGTTGATAAATTAAAATCGTTTAAATATGGACTTTTAAATGTATTCCAGTATAGGAAAGTTAGTGATACCGACATTAGCATTAGCAGAGCATAGCGGAAATAATGACTCTTTAAATAAAATATAAATCTCAAAATAGCAGCATTTTTAACAAATATTTATGTACTTTAAACGAAACAACAAAGCAATAACAATTTGATTTTGCGTATCTATACAACGCACTAGAATTTATTGCGTAATGCAAAGCAAAATGTCACTGACAGTTCTATTCTTGTAGTATATGCTTACACACACAGATCGTCGTACGCGTAGGCTACTTACCTGCTGATATTACGGACCCCACGACTGCAGTATTTTTTATAGTTTTGTGTGACTAACGAGTACACAGGCTATTAAAAATCAACACACAGATACGTTTTCTCCGAGGCTTAAGATGGATGCCTCGTTTCTAGTAAACAGCGTTCCCGGTTCTCTACACTCACCATACGAAACATTGAGCTTGAGTATGTAGCAGGTTATTGCTCACGGCAACGCTAACAGAGCTGCTATTTTACCTTGTCGTCGGGTAGCAGGTTCTCGGTAGGGATGGGCAAGAGAAAATATATATCGATATATATCGTATCGATATTTTCAAACAGTATCGATATATCGATAAGGCTAAAATTTTATTATTATATAACGGCAACGCATATGACTGCTTTTGTAGCTGCTTTTGTTGCTTAATTTTTTGTAGATTCATACATTTTAAATTATATCGATATATCACGATTAAAAATATCAACAATATATATATTTTGTATATTGTATATTAAAGACATTAATTAATTCGCAACCATCCGATTAAAAATACAATGATGTCCGGTTGACCGTTAAGCCGCCGTAGAGTCTACATCACCTGAAGATGACTCGTGTAGAGGCGAAACACGTGTCGTATTGTCGTCGATGGTGTGTCTTTCCTGGAATAGTGGTGTTGGGAGTAGTGGTTCTGGGATTAGTGGTGATGGGATTAGTACACGAAATTGAGGGAGAGCGGGAGGTGCTCTTCAATCCAGGTAAGACACATCATTATATTTTTAAGCGGATGGTTGCGAATTAATTAATGTCTTTATTGTAATGGATTTCCGCAAAGTAACGCCTGATTCTATCAATTATAATGTATATTTATATTTATATACAATACGTAACGTAATTAACGCACACCCGGGACACCTCAATTAGTATATTATGTTATAATCATAATACATACACTGAAATTTTAGTTAAACATTTTCTTGCACTGAATATTTTTATCAAATTAGTTATACTAATTCCGGAAAAATGTTGTGGTCACAGTACAAAAACACGAACGCAAAGACTTTAACGTCTTGAAATAAAGTTCATTTTTCTTTATTTTTATTGAACGACAGAATTAGTAATAATACAAATAAAACTGCACTCTTAAAAGTCTTATTACCTTAAGTTACGGTACATTTCAGTTTGTTTTGACTGAACAGATTTAGTGTGACTGTAATTTACGTAGTTTTAATTATTTTTGGGATAAAAAATTACCTATATTAAAAATGATAGGAATCGATTCAGTAAACGATTCTGAACAAACTACTTTCTCAAAGTGCGTTAATTATGTTACGTGTTGTATATATATATATATATATATATATATATATATATATATATATATATATATATAGTTAATGAGAAATAATATGTATATCTGACGTGGTCGCGGCGCGGCGCGTTGTCGCGGCGCGCGTCTCGCGCAGCCTGCTGTCGGCGCGCCAGCTCGATGCGCCGCTCCACCGGCGGCGGCGTCGGCCGTGGCGCGCTCACCGCTGCCAGCGCGCGCGCCTCTTCCAACCTGACACACAACAATTTCAACCTCACTACACCGGTCCACTACTGGTGTGCAGAGATTGGGTGCGTTTGGCAGAAAAAAGCGCTAGCAAGCGCTTGTAAGCAAAACGGCGATCGTAAGCGGTAAGCGCTCTAGTCCTCTAGGACAGTTAGTTTTAACCGGGGAACCTTACCTAATTTAAATATATGTTTGTAAAGTATTCATATAAAAAACTTACCATTTTTACATTTATGTTTATTCATGTCATTATATTACTTAAAACTAATATTGCACAAAACAACTTATAAACTCTACTTCAAAACTAACAAATTAAATAAGCAAAATGGCAGATTGCGAATGGCAGCGTCAGCGCTACTGAAGTTAGCATACGTGTCCTGGCCGAAAACTGTTTAGTTTCGCCATTTTGCTTACAAGCACTTGCTAGCGCTTTTTCCTGCCAAACACACCCATTATCTCGAGATTTGCAAAGCAAAACCTTACATTTTGTATACGGGCGCTCGCATAATTCTTCCCCCCACCTAGCCTGCCCCTTCTCAACTTATTCCCCATCTATAATGACGGGTGGACTTAAAACATTCGAGCAAACAGTCCACCACAGGTAAGTGGAAACTGTAACCCATAGACACCTTCATCTATACTCGATAATGTAAATGTAAATGCATTGTCACCCTGTGGACTAAGATGAAATACATAATTACCAATAACTAGTAAAAAGATCCCCGGTTCTCCACACTAACCATATTAAACACAGAAGTTAATGCTTCAATTCACCCTAGTATTCCGTGACATCATAATCCTTACCCGATCGAGCAGTTCCATTCCTACCACGTTTTATATATCTGCGATGAAAGCACGAACTCTAACCAAAGAATACATTTACACAATTCCGATTTAGTTGTGATCTCATAATTTTTTTTTATAGAAGAGGGGGCAAACCAGCATATGGTTCACCTGATGTTAAGTGACTACCGCCGCCCATGAACATCCGCAACACCAGGGGAATTGCAGGTGCGTTGCCGGCTCTTTAGAAAGTAGTGAGCTCTTTTCTTGAAGGTCCCCAGGTCGTATCGGTCTGGGAAAATCACCGGTGGTAAACTATTCCACAGAGTGGTCGTACGCGGAAGTAATCCTAGTGAAAAGTACAGTGGTGGACCGCCAAGCACCCAGATGGTGTGGATGGTATCGGGACGTTTGCCCCGTAGTGCGTTCATGAAATTTGGCGGCTGGGATTAATCCGAACAATTGCACATATTATTAAATTTCATGACAGAACACTTTTTTTTAAATATATATATATATTCGTGAGAACGCTGCGAGTGACGGGAAATCACTCGCAGCAGTGGAGCTCAGTCAATATAAATGCTGCGTTATAACTTAATAATTATTAAATAAACGACTTTAAAAACTCCGAGAATATTTTGAACTTTTGGCTACCATCGGTTTAGTGAGTCTGCCTATTCACAACCACTAAAAGAACTATTGCCCTTTCTAGCTTTTCGTTTAATAAGAAAAATGACACAAACTTTCAATAAAATTAGTCAACTTATTATTGAGCGTTTATTCATGAAATTTTACAAGCATGTTTTAAGAATGTTTAAAAGAAGCAAAAAAATAAATAATGCTTCAAATCATTTATTTTATAAACGTACCTTTTCGTGATTTCAGCTTCATTAAATATTAGCGGTTCTCCCAGATCAGGAGCAGGCTGTACGTACTCGCCTAATAACGAGCGTGCACTGAAGCTGAAGTTGTCCGTCGTTAGTGGCGGACACGGATTCGATTCCAGGAACTGGTCAAAACACGCATACGTAAGTAAACAATATTTCCTTAATTCTGAATAATACTGAAACATATCTGTACTGTGTTATCCTTAATCCACCTGTATTTTTTTTTCTTTTGATATGTTCAAATAATTAAAACAATGGTATTTTTAAAAAAATAACTGTTAACATGATATGGTGTGCATAAAAGGAAGCCTCTAATGAAGAAAATGTACGTAACAGTAACGTGAATAAACATTTTATTGTATATATATAACACCATATCATGTTAACAGTTATTTTTTTATTCCAGCAAGATAAGAAACATATTATGAACTTTGTCATATAATTATATGCTAAAAGAATATTATATACATTATACCTAACATCAATTAACACATAAGCCATATTAATGGTTCTTAAAGTTACAAGAGCATCATATCTCAAAATAATAAAATGAAATGTCATGTATATATACCATAATTTTCTTTTCCAATTACTTAATATATAATATTCTAAATCTTAAGGGTTTTTCGGAACAATTTGTGATACGACCCATCATGCAACATTTAGAGGTGTTCATTATATTACTATAGTTCAGAATCTCTTATAACAAGAACAAAATTTAAACATAGTGTGAATTTTTGTAGCAATAAAATGGGCTTAAATGTTGCAGCAGTTGTGGACTTATGTTTTGACAGCAAACCGGAACTGGTTATTCCCATAAATTATGTTGCTTAAATGTCGTAATAATGTCAACAAAGCTTACATGTTAAAATTGTAAGTCTGGGATACCAGCTTTCATATATTGCTTGCATAATGCCTCTGCAACATGAGGACTTGAATGGAAGTGTTTGGATGTAATAGCAGGGTAGATACTAGAAAAAATATAACCAAACTTATTAACCACTTGATATGGTTTTCATATATTCGCCAAAACAAGTAAAAATAATAATAACACAGCTAACTTTTCCCCTTCTCAGAAATTAAATTCAAGTTAATTTAATATTATACCTATTGCTTAAAAAATAAGTGTGTGAATCTGTAAGCGATTCATCAAAATTTTCACCCATAGTGCAATTTAGAATTGCCTTTATATTTAGAGTATAGTTTAAGATTTCCATAATTTTACATTTCTGTTTATATTACCGTGGTAAGTTCTTGTGTGGACTTGATAGCAAGTCCGGTGTGCGGCTCGGGCGGCGTGTAGCTCACGTCGCCTTTTATGTTGCAGTTACGTGACAGTCCTTTGATTAGCGTCACACGTTTCCAACCTACAGGCAGAAAGATATTTAAGCTTCATAGTATATAATAAATCAGTTCACATACTTACATGTCTTGATTTACTCAGGAGTTAGGAGTATAAGAAAACATTAGGAGGAATAAAATACATGCCATTTTAAAATAATTACTAGATTACTATCTGTTCTTACTTAAATGCTTTGAAAAGGAATGCCTGAGTCCGGAAGAGAATCATTTATTTAAGATAAGACCTAACGTTATTTTAGACTTTTTGGTTTAGAGAGCCGTGGTAGCTCAGATAGTTAACTCTCGCTGTAAATATAACAGAACGCGAGTAAACCGGGTTGGATCCCCGCTGGCACCAACGAAATTGTTAATTGCAGTTTTAAGTGCTGATTTACCACGTGATCGGCGGTGAAGGAAAACATCGTGAAGAAACCTGCATGACTGAGGAATAAGGAAAAAATATTTTCGAAGACATATGAAGTTCGCGGACACTTCCTTGCCCTAAAAACCCTCTCATAAATGAGGGGAGGCATGTGCCCAGTATTGGGACGTATATAAGCTGTAACTTTAAACAACTTAACTAACTTTAAACTTTAACAGCAACCAGAAACCGTCACTAGAGGTAGAACCTCCACACACAGATTACACCACTAAATTACAAGACTAAATGTTATATATTTCTGCTCTAAGTCCCATATAATCCCATAAGTGTTGTAAGAGGGAGATTGAAACAGGAGATGGGCAGCAGCACCTCTTAATCATCATCACATAACAAAAAACTATAGCACATATCTTTCTTATGAGCCAAATTACGTATTCTACTCATATGGGAATTGTTGAGGCTGGAATCCTAACTAGGACAAAAAAGATGCAAGATCGCCAACGTAACCAAGCCACCGTCTTCATCATCACTTTGCATCCAACCTCGATCGCATCATTTAGCCTTAGGAATATTTTTATCGTAACTGTTTTCTTTTAAATAAATTAGTTTTTAATTTAGTTTAATTTTTTTTTTCAATCCTCCGGCTGTGGCCTTAGTATTCTTCTCTCTATTAATGTATGTGTTGGCCCTAGTATTCTTCTCTCTATTAATGTATGTGTTGGCCCTAGTATTATTCTCTCTATTAATGTATGTGTTGGCCCTAGTATTCTTCTCTCTATTAATGTATGTGTTGGCCCTAGTATTCTTCTCTTTATTAATGTATGTGTTGGCCCTAGTATTCTTCTCTCTATTAATGTATGTGTTGGCCCTAGTATTCTTTCTCTCTATTAATGTATGTGTTGGCCCTAGTATTCTTCTCTCTATTAATGTATGTGTTGGCCCTAGTATTCTTCTCTCTATTAATGTATGTGTTGGCCCTAGTATTCTTCTCTCTATTAATGTATGTGTTGGCCCTAGTATTCTTCTCTCTATTAATGTATGTGTGGCCCTAGTATTCTTCTCTCATTAATGTATGTGTTGGCCTTAGTATTCTTCTCTCTATTAATGTATGTGTTCAACAGTGGATTTTTATTGATTGTAATGGATGAATGGACGACCACTAGTTTTAATTACAGTAAAACTTAGATATAACGAAACTGAAGGGAAATTAGAAAATATTTGTGATACCAAGTAATTTGTTATGAGTTTTGTTATATAGATGTTAGGTGGAACTACGATTCGTTTTAACAAGGTCTTACAAGGATTAACGTGTCTGAACCTGATGATTTATTGTGGAATTAAGTGGGCATAATTAATATGATATGTTATGTCAAGGTTCTAAGTTGAAAAAAATTGTTAAATAAAGGTAAATAATATCCATCTATATTGTGCAATGATTAAAAATTCGTTATTAAGATGTTTTATAAATGTTTTTTTTTTTTATTTTTAGGATAGGATGACAAATCAGCAGACAGTCTACCTGATGGTCAGTGATTGCTGTGGCTCATAGACATCTACATCTAGCCTCGATTAAGAATCAAAATGGTGATACGTTGTCATCCGTGAGGACTTAGGTGGAATGCCTTGTTTCCAGTAAAAAGGGTCTCCGGTTCTCTACACTCACCATTCGAAACACAGCAGCATTAAGCTACTATTTGACGCTGGTATTCTGTGAGATATAGAAAATACGTTAAATCGAGAAATTCGTTATATTGAGGCTCGTTATATCAAAGTTAGACTGCATTATGATTTTTGCGTGCGTGCAGCACGTGTCTCACCGAGCGCGAGCGGCAGACGCAGCTGCGCGTCGTGGCGGCGGCCCGGGTCGCTGGCGTCCGAGTCCGACGGCCCGCTGTCCGACGGACACTCAGAGTCCGTGCTCGCGCCCTCGCCCAGCAGCGACCGCAGCTTCTCCTGCACACACACACACAGTTTTTTGGGAGTCCGTTTCTACACAGGCGGGTAGTGACTGGTGGATAAGAGCTACTATGATTCTTCTCCATTCTTGTACGCGTAGTGGTTTTGCGGGGCTTACGCTACTGCGAGTCATGCACCGATAAAGGCACATTACGCCCACGGTCGTCTTCAAGTACTGAATCCACGCCCACAGCGGCGCGTCAGTTCGATGCCGAACACACCCTTACAACTGAACCACCCTGTGAGCCACTGATAATAATAATGTCCTGTCGACCAACTGGTCACAGCAACCATCTGCGCAGGACAGGATTATAGTGCACTAGCGTGAGCGCAAGCACAGGTAGAGACCGATGGGCCGGAAAACTGACACGATCGAAGAGAGATCAGGCGCAAGATTAACGACTATGTGCTTTACCGGGACAGGGGATTAAGCACCGCCAACCTATTTTCTTGACAGAAAATTTTCAGATTTCTTGACAGAAAAACTCAATAACTAATTTTGGCCTATCGAAGTCGCACTATCGATCACTAGATCAACTAGTCAACAGTGAGAGCTTTCAATGACTAAAGCGTTTCGATTATTGCTAATCGTCGGATAAACTTATGTCCAGCTGTAAACTACTGGATGTGATGAAGAAGAACATCCTACAAATAATTGGAAAAAAAAATCATAGCCCAAGTGTAAAATGCGTGATAGACTCAGAAATGAGGATATCCGCAGTAAAACCAGAGTGACCGACATAGCCCAACGGATTAGTAAGCTGAAGTGGCAATGGGCCGGCCATATAGCTCGAAGAACCGATAACCGATGGGGAAGAAAGTTTCTCGAGTGGCAGCCTCGTACCGGTAGGCGTAGTGTAGGGCGACCCCCCACTAGATGGAGTGACGACCTGGTAGTGAGGACCTGGTAGGAGTGAGGACCATGCAGGAAGTCGATAGATGCAGGTGGCTCAGGAACGTGCTTTGTGGCATTACTTGGGGGAGGCCTATGTTCAGCAGTGGACTTGTGAAGGGCTGTAATGATGATGATGATGAAGTGTAAACGCAGTCATTCAATCGTCTTAACTAACTTGCTCTCGATATATCGCCTATGCGATAAGATCGAATGTACGCGCAAGATTACAGTGAGTATCGATGTCAAAAACAGTACGACAATGACATAAACCAGACTCACAATCTTGGAATATTATCATTTTTAAATCTAAGACTCACTTTGGTCGGCTTTCAGAGACAATTTTAATCAGAGTATATAATCACTATGTTTTATTCTCAAGTTAAGTTGAAAAACAAATTTTACACTAAACTATTAACACAAATTTTGTCATTGTGAAGTTTGAGTTTATACTCGAGATTGTTCCTGAACATCGGCCTAAAACTAACTAAGTAACTAAGCCGCGCTGTTTTCCTTTGTGATGTTGTTAGAATCAGCTCAAATTAGACGGGAAAATATGTGACCATTTTTCTACTGCTAAATAAATATCTTCCTTATTGCATTCAATTATACTTAGTTGAAAATTGTTTACATAAGATAATTTCACTTTCCGCTAATCTACTCAGATTACTTCTTGCATAATATTCGCAACTTTGAATTGTATAAGAACGGTATTTATTTATTAGGAGGAATACCCAAGCACTGGAGCCTAATTTGAGCTGTCACTAACGGTCATGATTGATGATAAGGGTGTCGCACCAGGTCGGTCTCGGCGAGCAGCTGGTGCGCGAGTGCAGGGCGTAGTCCGAGCGCACGGCTCTGGGCTAACAGCGACGCCACCGTGTTCTTCTTGGGCTTGCTCACGCCACGGCCCAAGTTCCTAGGCCGACCCTCGCGCGACGGCCAACCGCTAACAGCTGTCGATAATACACGTATGAATTATTATTTTAGTTAGTTAGTTACTATTTTAGTTAGTACGTTTAGTTATTTCAAAAAATAATATAAATCTAACTTAAATCACGTATAATAGAAAAACTCTTACATTCACTATCCTCGCTACCGCTGGATTTAGGTCGTGGTGATTCAGCTACCTGAGAGTTCAGTTCAGGCGCTACTCGGCGGGGTTTCGCCCCTGGTTTGCGGCGAGCTTAAACCCACATAAAAAATATTAGAAATTAATTTATATGGAATTGATAATTTAGAATAACATCGAAAACGTAATAGTTGGAAAAATATCACGCTGAAGCTACAAAATATCAAAACAAGTTGAATTAATTTTGTTTTGTAAAGAGATAAAATATCCCAATATTTTACATTTTATTTAACTATGTTGCAAAGACGAAGTAACGAAATAACGATATGTCATTCTATTACATTGTGTACCAAATTGAACCACCATTTTTGGTATGTAAAATGGCAGGGTCTTTAAAACTTCTCCAATGTTAACATCTTCTACCTGCCTATCACAATAAAACTAATTTGATTTGATTTTGAACTTACATATTCTGTCATTATTGGAGGAGGAATTTAGAGAGCTGCTCAGAGAAGTGAGACGGGACAACGCATCTGAAGCCTGCGTGCTTGCTGTAAAGAAAAACAATTACAAATTCAACTAATACGTTTCTAAAGAATAAGTAATTAACAATTATTGATATTGGACGAAACTAATTTTACAGAAAATTTCGCGTTGATCTTTAATCGATCTTTATTCGTCGATCTTTATTTTAAAAGCTGACACTCTTTGAAGTTAAACCTTAGACTAGCCCTTGTTAAGACTGTGGTGTTGTAAAGCACGCAAATCCGTAAAATAATTAATAAGTTTTGGAAGTTACAGACGTAAGTTTTCCATATAGTTTATTGTGAATCAAATGATGAGTGCCACCAATATATTGTTAAGAATACAATAAAATTAAATAAAGTTATTTAGGTAACAATACTCACGCGGCGTAGGCTTCAATGATAGGTTTAGTGGAGCATCTTCATCAGCTGCCGTTTTGACGCCCAGGTCTAATGGTGCATCTTCCGACGATGCTGATTTTGTGCTCAGGTTAAGACCGGAATCTGTTGCACAATTTATTACATAGATACATATCAACAAATGATACATTAAATTTTTGATACTACGACTTTGTGTACACACTCCATTATGTCCTTATCGTGATATCATGTCCTCATGCCAAAGGTCTCACAGACTTGTGATGGAGAGCATTACCAATGCGAGGGTACTGTGTACGCTTAACCATCCCGGAAAGAGCATACCCGGATCCGTGAATGTGAGTGTCCTGAAGAATGATGGTAGCTATGTGAATGACAACGCACCTGAGGCGGGCTGGGCGCCAGCTAGCTGGCGTTCGAGCGCCGCTAAGCTGACGCCGCTCTGGCTGGCGATGGTCTGCAGCAATTCGCGCGAGATGCCGGCGTAGTCCGCCAGGTTGGGCGGCGGCGTGCCCGCCAGCGGGCCCCCCGCTCTGTCAGCTTTGCCCGGCAACCGGATCACCTCCACAGATGACCGGGAACTGCCGTAATCCTCCTACAGGAAATAATTAATACACTATGTGCACGCTAATACGATTGCGTTGACTCACAACTGAGTACTCAGTAAGTAAGGCTTTACAACAAGAGCTACCCTATCAAGAAAGGCTCGCTTACTGCATGCGCCGCAAATAAACTAAATACAGGCAAATTTTTTTATGATATGTGCATGCAGAACTTTTAATGATATTTTCAATGGTGCTGACTTAGATCGTTTTAATAACAGCCTTTCTCGAATCTAAAATATTTTAAAGAAAAAATTCTTTTCTTGAGAGTGTTCTTATCTTGAGCCCTCTTACATTTCGGCGTTACGCAAATTTAGGTATTTTACGCACCGAGCAGGCGGCGAACCACGTGAGCGATACTTTCTTTCATATCTATTCACTCGCTCGCACTATGATACTGTGAGTATAGCAACTAAACGATCTTGATTTTCCATTATACAAGTTTTCTCAGGATGGAGTTCAGTAGATGGGAAGTTTTGAGTATTAGTGTGTCATTTTTATGTTATGTAATTAATTTATTATAATATATTTTGATATATTTTTTATTATTTATGAACCTTAGTGTTGAAATAAGTACACATATATATATATATATTTTTTTATTTTTTTTTTATATATTGTACATATATAGATTGTTAACCGATGTTGATTAATAATTGATTATATCTACTAATGGTAGCATAGTGGTATATATATTTTTCATACTTCTGATTCGTGCTAAATTGTGGTAAGTGGATGACTATTACTGGCTCTATGTATAAACATATTATGCAAGAATTTTTTTACGGAGTGAAGGCTATTGGTATCCCTAATAAATAAAATAGTACGGTTGCAATCTGTTTTAATAAATAAAACGACCAAATGTAACTAATATTTTTTTAATCGGTACCTACTTACAGTACATATTTTTTATTATAAAAATATTTGCCGCAACGGCATTGACCCAGCTTATCTCAGTACACACATTTTACAAAACGCTTTTAATTTGGATAACATATTGAAAATCGAAAATTGGTCGTCGCATTGGATATTTATGAGACAAAAAAAATTTTTTGATAGTCGATATTCAATAGAATCTACAAAAAATTAGAGCTCCCAAATCATGTCTCTCAGAGTTTTGGCCAAAACATGCATCGGGAGAATGATTATTACTAAATAAATAAGTTATCTAAAATTTGCTCTGAGCTTATTGTAGTAGAGAAAACTATTTTTACCAAGTAAAGTCAATGTTCATCTTTTACCGTTTTTAAGGTCATATTGTCTGTACGTGAAAACCTTTAAATGTTATTCATTTATTTACTGTTAATGTTGACTGTAAGTTTTCAAAAAAAAACTCCTCTGTCATTTTTGTACAGCCAGCCAAAACACTGGAGAAAAATATAATAGAAATTGTTGATTCGTAAATTATGAAAGAACTAATTTTACGGATTTTATCGCATTTAATTTTAATTTACTTTTACTATTAACGTTTCGTTTGTTTTATAACACCAATAGTCACAGAGGGATACTGAGGTGTTTGACGTCTGAGCATGGTAAGCGCGGTCGACTCTCTACATTTGTTAACGCGTTTTATAGAATACGGGTGGCACACGACCACACAGTCCACCTTATGGTAAGTGGATGCTTTGGCCCATAGACATATACATCTCTCATCAGTTGAGAATCAAAATGCAGATGCGTTGTTACTTTCGATGACTAAGGTGGAATATCTTGTTACCAACAAGGGTCTCAGCAGTGTAGACACTCACCATATGCTTCATAAAGTATAGCAGCGTTATTGTGATCTTTCCTACTGGTATTCTGTGAGAGAAATAGAAATAGAAACTTTTTTATTCAATGTGGATTATAACAATACTTATGGAAAGTCACTTTTTTCATTTACCACTGGTTCGCAAAAAAACCTCTGTCCTGGGAAGAACCAGCAAGAAACCCAGCGGGACTATTTTTTTCCAATAATAGCTTACAAACATGTTTAAAATTAACAACACAAGACTAATTAGAAATAGCTTGGTAGCGATCACCCTTCCCAGGGGATATTATCATCCATAAATTCCTTAATATTATAATAACCCTTTTTATACAAACTTAGTTTAATAAACATTTTTGAACCTTGTGTATGACAAATTTTGTATATTTTGTGGGATTTTGTTGTAAAAGCGTATACATCGCCCCAAGAATGAATTACTGACTCGGTGGATTCGAATAACTGGTACTAATAGCTTGTGTCTGTTCCTAGTATTTACAGAATGAATATCACTTATTTTCGCAAAACTACCTTTATTTTTGTGTACATACATTACATTTTCATAAATGTATTGAGAGGCCAAAGCTAATATATTAATTTCCTTAAATTTCTGTCTCAGTGACTCTTTTGGTTTTAAATTATATATTGCTCTAATGGCCCTCTTCTGTAAAATAAATATAATTTCAGTGTCAGTCGCGTGTCCCCATAGCAAAATACCATACGACATAATGCTATGTAAATAACTAAAGTAAACTATTCTAGCTGTTTCAACACTGGTAAGAGTTCTAATCTTTTTTACAGCATATGCTGCAGAACTAAGTCTGCTAGCTAGTTTTGATATATGGGGAAGCCATTGAAGTTTTGCGTTCAGTATGATTCCAAGAAAATGGTGGTATCAACAAGACTCAATTCCTCCCCATTTAAAATTACATTAGTATTGACATGTTTAACATTAGAAGTTACGAATTTCATACATTTAGTTTTAGTTCCATTCAAATGCAAATTATTAACATTAAACCAATTGACTAACTTAGCTATAGCATTATTTACTTCGTCGTAATTTAATAACTGTCGTTTTAATTTGAAAATTGAAGATGAAAAGAAAAATGAAGTATCATCAGCAAATAATACTATATCATGGTTATCCCCTACTATGTAAGGTAAGTCAATAATATATACAAGAAACAGAAAGGGGCCGAGAAGTGAGCCCTGAGGCACACCCATTTGTACAATCGACCCGGAAGAACTCATACTATTAATGACAACTTTTTGCGTTCTGTCACTTAAATATGAAATAATTAATTTAAGAGCATCGCTTCTTACACCGTAGTTTTGAAGTTTCCTGATTAATGTTCATGTTTGATTATTTAGTTCATGATTCATGGTGAACACAATCGAAGGCTTTGGATAGGTCACAGAATACACCCAAAGCATCCTGTGAATTCTCCCATGCATTAAATATATATTTAATCAGCTCAACACCAGCATCAGTTGTCGAGCGACCCCTTGTGAAACCAAACTGACTTTACATTTGATCAAGAATAATTTTTTCAAAAATTTTACTAAGTGTTGGCAGTACAGAAATAGGTCTACGAGGGCATCACTGAATATTTCGGGAATCAAGAAAGTGACACAACATTACTATTTAAAAATATATTTATTGCTTTTCGAAGTATTCTCCGCGAAATTTGACACATTTTTCCATACGATGGAACCAATCATTAAAGCAACCATTCCATTCGGAAATGGGGGTCTCCAAAATGGCCGTTTTGTAGGCGTCCACAGCTTCTTCAGGTGATGAAAATCTCTGTCCACGCAATTTATTCTTTATTTTAAGGAAAGTATAGAAATCATTAGGGGTTAGGTCGGGGCTGTACGGCGGATGGTCTAATAACTCTGTTTTCTTGCTCTAAAAACTCTTTTGTTCTGTGTGCGGTGTGAGAACTCGCATTGTCTTGATGGAGGATGATGCGGCGGTTGCAGTACTCTTTACGTTCAGAAACGACCTGTGATTCTGCATTAACCGTTCTTTGTCCCTCAAGAGGAATAGTCGTAACATGGTCGGTTTTGGAAACAAATGTGGCCACCATTTTTTTTTGCAACACTTCGTGAACGAACAAATTTTGTTTGCTTTAACTCATTTTCGAACACCCAAACTCGTGACTGGTTTTTTGTTTCGGGTTCGTACGCGTATATCCAGGATTCTTCACCTGATACGATGTTGTATACAGCATTTGAGGATCCTGCGTGGAATCTTTCGAGAGTTCTGACGCACCAAATAACGCGAGCCGCTTTTTGCTCTTCACAGAGCGAATGCGGTATCCATCGGGAAAACAACTTATTTACACCTAATTGTTCATGCAAGATTATTTGTATTTGACTCATGCCAATGTCTAAAGTTGCCTGAATTTCGCGGTATGCCACATGTCGATCTTCCTCAATCAGCTTACGCACAGCATCAACGTTGTCTTGGGTGACTGCAGTTTTTGGACGACCTTGACGGGGATCATCACGAGCTTGAACATCCACGTTGAAATTTAGCAAACCAGCGATAAATTGTGGTTTCGGATGGGGCTTCATCACCAAATGCAGAAATCATCCGGTCAACAAACTGTTTTTGTGTTAAACCACTTCGAAAGTCATAATAAATCATCGCTCTTGAATTTTCTCGAGTCAATTCCATTTTCTCAACGACTAAACAAGTTTTACAAAACCTTGTGACAAGACCGAGAATCTTTTTTTAAATAAATAAATGGTATTCGATTTTTAAAACCAAGGAGTTTTCAATTAAAAAGATTTTAATATGACAGGAACAGTGGAAATATTCATTCCCGATACTTTTAGTGCAGCCTAGGTAAAATTAGCGGGGTCCAATGTACTACCAGATTTAAATAAAGGTATTACTTCACTATGCTTTATTAAATCAGGAAACACACCAGATTCGATACTAGTATTAAAAATAATAGATACTTGAGGTGCAATTGTATCTATTATAGACGCAATAACTTTAACAGAAATCCCCCACAGATCGGCGGTTCTCTTAATATATTTTACAATATCTTTTGATGACACTTTATGAAATGTAAAATTCTTTGTACACACATTTACATTTTGTTTAAGTAATGATTCGGCGACGGCAGGAGAAGAATTCAGTGACTTAGTGGTTAAGTTCGGAATATCAGTAAAATATTTCTCAAAAACCATTGCATCGTCCTGATCTGATTTAGTTAATTACTGGTAACTTAATTGGTAGTTTGAATTGCGAGAGTTGACCTACCGAGAGTGTGGTCCTACCTTGGTGGAGCCGACCGTGCTATGTATAACAAGCATAACTGCAGTGTGGCTCTTGAAAATTCGCCTTAATGTTTTTTTTTTTATAGGATAAGGGTGACAAACGAGCACACAATCCACCTGGGTGGTAAGTGGTTGCTGTGGTCCATATGAATGTTTGATTTCATTCATTGTTATTTGCTTTCTACTAACGTAAATTATTGTAGTCAACTTGCCTAACCTTACCGTCATAGTTAACCTTCAACTTTTAAATATTAATTTTAACCTTATCTATGTAGAATGAGCTTTCTTTATCCTGAAGTTTTAATTGAGATCCCAAACACAAACCAACAAAAATTCGACTTAAATTGAATAAAAATTTAGATAAAATAAATACATATTACATTTATTTCTTACTTTGAAGTTTTGTACACTACAAAATGCACTTGAAATTAATGCGCAATACAGTGTAAAGTGTCAGTTAATAAGTTTGATTATTTTCCTACTTGCATTCTTTATTCTACCCCATTATTTCATGTGCCTGTTACAGTTTACTTCTGAACATGGTGCTCCGCTATTGTAGGGAGATACACCAAACAGTAAGTAATATAAAGCCAAAAACATAAAGTTGGTTTTATTGATCTAAAAGTATATTTCGTCGAGACAATACTTTAGACAAATAACTTGTATTAACCAATTGAAAAGAGAGTTTGTACTAAAACGTAAAGTTTAATATAATACATGAGACAATTGCAGTTGAGGATAAAATACAAGGTGTAAAGCAAGGGATAAAATGGAAGTACAAATGTAAATTTAAGTTGGCGTTCAAGGAAACAATTATTTACAGTATGATCATAAAAAAAAGTCTCCATGTTCAGAAATCAAATCAAATAGCGTAACGACATTTGATGGTTGGATAGCCTAGTGATCACATTGATATCTAATTCGGGGTTCGAATTCATGCCAGAAATATGTGTTTTCCTTAGTGTCTTTGACTTTGAGTCCTAATCTACTTCCATAAGCATTTTGCTTAAAAACTTACAAACCTTGTTATCTATTCTAAACATTCCTAAAACTCTCTTTAGTGATGAATGTGGAACAGAGTCGCAGGCCCTTTTGTAATTCACCCACGTAGATGACAGATTTTTACGGTAAAGCCCTGTTTACATTTTGAGAAGTTACAAGTACGAGTGGCAATTGCAACTGACAAATGACAAGTGCTTAGTGCGTGTGAACAGGCAATGCCAAGTGATAAGTGGGAATAAAATACGCACTTGTCACTTCTCATTTGCCACTTGTCAGTTGTCACTTGCACTTGTCACTTCTCAAAATGTAAACCGGGCTTTACAATAGACTTGTCAGCAAATAATAATTGTATAAGGAATAGGTATGTGAAGTTTGCCTGTATAATTAAATTAGCACATAAATTTTTGGCACTATAATACCTTCTGTAAAGTTAATAGCATCTAACAGTATGTTGAAGTTGTACGATGGTGAGATTCTGCTAGGAAGGCATTATAATAAGAAAAAATATTACTTAATCTGAAAAATGGTTAATAGTTAAAATTTGTAACACTCACAACTTTAGGACGCTTGTTCGGTAACGGCGTGGACCTATCACCGGCTGAAGGGTGAACAGAGACTTGCGGCGGGTCAAGCGATATGGTTTTCTTGCGACCGCGGTTTGTCGTCCCTGGGGGAACCTGCAATCATTTTAAAAGTAAAATAAAATTACAGTCATATTACAGTTTTCATACGTCCCAAAGCTGGGTGTAGGTCTTCTCTCATTTTCAAGAAGGATTAAGGGCACGGAAGTATCCGTCACGCTACCTCAATGCGTGTTGGCATACTTCGTATAAAATCGAAAATATTTTTTTATTTCTCAGACATGCCGATTTCGCCACGATGTTTTCCTTCTTCGCTATGAACATGGTAAATCTCACCTTAAATTTTTTTATAGTACAAGACAACATGTTTTCGATAATTGATAGAATCAGGAGTTACATTGCGCAAATTCATTATATCTAATTCGCAACCATCCGCTTAATTAAATACAGTGATGTGTCTTACCTGGATTGAAGAGCACCTCCCGCCCTAGGGGGGGGGGGAGTGGGGTAAGTATAGATGTTGCGAATTGATATTAATCTTCATTAAGTATTAAGAAGGAGCTGAATATTTATATAAAAGTACATGTGAAATCACCACGGTTAGCGGAGATCTTTACTTAACTATCTGATGGGAGGTCCTTTTGCAACTTTAATCGTGACTTAAATATTATACGATATAGATACAGATCAGTGGTTAAGAGTTCGCCGTAAATATCACACTACCTGAGCAATCCGCAGAATAATTGGTCTAAAAATCTTTCAGAAATTATAGTAGGCCCTGAGCCCAGCAGTTAGACAGACTATAACTTTACTTTTTATATCTTCATTCTTTCGTCAGAATTGCCAATTATGACACCATCATACTCAAATCTTTTTCATATATTTCATAAAAAATGGTGCTAAGCCATTTAAAAATGTATAAAAAAATTATGTGAAATTTAGAAACTTTTTACCTTTGGTCCTGCTAGGGACGAGGTGTATTTGATAATTTCCGTGTCAGGTGGGAGACGGACGCCCCCTAGCACCGATGATGGGTCACTGAACATAAAATGTATCATATTAAAGATATTGAAACAAAAATTTTACAAAAGCTCAAACATTTTTCTTAACAAATATTATATCTATATCTCAAACTCACCCGCTTTCCAAAGCGGCACTATAGAAGAAAAGATAGGATGTAATATATAAGTTATAGCTCCTACTGATTTCAAAACATCAATGTATACAATATAATTAAGTAAAAAGATTAATAAAACGATATACTAGATCTGTCATAATATAAAAATATTAATATTGATTAATTTGAAGACAAACTCTCAATTTAAAGATTTTCTATTTTATGTACCTGAGTATGGTGTGTGGAAGACCTGTGAGGGAATCAATGCTCGAATGTCGATCTTTGTCTGAGCCCGGCATTCCAAAAGGGTATCCTAGTGGTGACATATTCTAGAACAAAAAAGAAATATTATTAAAGAAATCCATTATGCCATGTTTCATTTTAACATTAAGAGATCATTAATTCAAAATTCTCTTGAGCAAGAGTGTGGTATGAATCAAGACGACTCAAGGCAGCAAAATACTGTGCGTTATTTTTTTTTTTGTCGCGTACTAAGTTTAAGTGTTGTTTAGGATGTGCAGGAAAATACAATTATTACATTTGACATTGTGTAACATGTTTTTTTTTTTTTATATAAATAAAATAACAATCTTCAACTGATGACAGACATTTAGAATGTGTAGTTATCAATAAGCCCAATTTGATTGTTAACCTGAGCTCTTAACTATTTTACTTTTCTTTTTATGTATGAAAAACTATAAATAACATGTCACTGTAAACAATTAGCTATCAGAAAGTTGTTCAAATCAATATGGACATTCATTTTATTGTTTGGGCATGATTCATCATCATCAACATCATTACAGCCCTTCCCAAGTTCATTGCTGAACATAGGCCTCCCCCAAGGTATGCCATAAAGCACGGTCCTGAGCCACATGCATCCATCGACTTCCTGCATGTCTTACCAGATCGTCACTCAATCTAGTAGGGGATCGTCCTACACTTCGCCTACCAGTACGAGGCTGCCACTCGAGAACCTTTTTTCCCTAATGGTTGTCGGTTCTTTGTGAGCTATATGGCCGGCCCATTGCCGCTTCAGCTTACTAATCCGTTGGGCTATGTCGTCACTCTAGTTCTACTGCGGATATCCTCATTTCTAAGTTTATCACGCAGAGAAACCCCAAGCATAGCCCTCTCCATAGTTCGCTGAGCGACTTTGAGCGTCCTCATACGGCCAGCAGTGAAGGACTAATAGGCATGATTAAGATAGTATAAATTTAAAGGTTTTTTTTTCTTTTTTTACTTTACCTTTCCCTTGGTGGCAGCGGCAACCGCAGCATGATAGGCGCCATGAGCTGCCGCTTGAGCTAACATTAGATCGCCACGTAATAGAGCGAGATCACGGTCTTTGCTTTTGCCAGATGAACTTGATGAGCTCTTTCCTATAAAAACATAATTAAATTGCTTATTTTAATTTGATACTGGTGATAACTGAATTGACGAGATAATTAATCTTCGAATTACTTGAAATGTTGGGAAGATCAAGTAGATATCTCATACTTAGGCACGCCACATACATACCGAATTCCGCTTCAAGTTTCCGTTTCGGAATTCCGATTCGGAATTCCGAACGCAGCAAGTCCATATAAAATCAATGACCCGTCACACACCTACGGTATTTTTCCGTTCGAAATTTTGCGGACAAAACGGGATTTCGTATGTGCGTGGCCGAACTGTTTGTTCCATTTCGTAATTCTGAAACGGAATCTCGAAACGGAATTCCGTATGTATGTGGCCGGCCTTAAAAGTAAAGTAAAATTACAGCATATATATGTTCAACTGCTGGGCACAGGCCTCCTCTCATTTCTGAGAGGGTTTTAGGGCAATCAATTGCATTGATATTGGTGAGGATCTAACCAGGGCTGCTAGTTGCTGGTGAAATTTCCACTGCCCAATAGATACCTCAATACGTGTTAGCGAATTTCACGTCTTTGAAATATTTTATTTATTTGAAATTTTTATTGTAATTTTTTCGTAAATCCGCCGTAATCATGAAGATTTAAAAAAAAATAATCGAAATCACATGATTTTTCGATTTTCTAGAGCCAAAAAACGAGGAGACCGCGATAGTATAAAATTACCGATATTTATAGAGGTACACATTATATAGTTGTGAGTAATGAAAAAAATTTACAGAACAACATCAATGTGTGTGAATTCAAAGTTGTTGTTGATAATACAACTAATTATGTCTAAAACCGATGTCTAGCCATTGATGAAGCAGAAGAAGTATGCTTTATTAAGATTAAACCTAATATGCCAAAATCATTAATTTCTGCTGAACAAATTTTTATTGTTTATTTTTTTTTGTTTGTTTCTTGCTCCAAACATACTTTCAGAAATGTGATGAGTCCTCTATCCGGCAGTGAACAGCATAAATGCTGTTACTGTTATTTATAAATAATGCAGATTCTAAACAATAAAATGTCTCCAGCTGGCACACTTACTGGGTGGAGTAGGTGCAGGTGGAGGTTTGCTGGAGGGTTTGGACTGATGCGGTGCTGACACCAAGCTGTTGAGGGAGGCCAGGCTTGATAGCGACGCTTGGGAGTGCATCGTCGACGGAGATGACGTCTTCGGGAATCCGTACGAAGTTCCTGAGTTTAATATTGAATAATAATAAAAAATATATAGTTACATTTATTCCAAATACTTCTATGATAGTTTGTTTTTGTTATTTTCTATAAGCAATTTAGTAATTTTATTTTTCTTTAAAAATATAAAATACACTTTAAATAAAATGATAATACGTAAATAAATTATTTGGATTTAAATTTAAAGATTACAGAGAAACTTTGAACACAGCTTAATGATGAGTACGTTAGAATTATAATATGCATAAATTAAATATTAAGCTGCAACGTTACTATGAAAGCTTTTAGTTTGAGGTTACTTTTTTAATCCGAATTAAAAAACTTAATATAAGGATAGGTTTAAATACAAGATAGAAAAGGGATACGTGCCCCACTCACTCATGGTTGGCTGCGAGTTGGCGCCGCTAGTTGAAGGACTCTTATCTTTCATTGATGCACTTGATGACGTACCGCTGCTACTTCTACCTGATCTACTGCAAAATTAAAAAGAAAAGGTTTAAGAAGGAAAAATAAACTGCAGATTTAGCAAACTTAACTTTCTATTAACGCTAATCGTAATCTTACAGAAACAGAAACTTATTATTTAATATGGATTATAAATAATACTTATTGAAACTTTCTTTTTTCATTTACCACTGGTTTGCTAAGAAAACCTCTATCCTGGGCAGAACCAGCAACAAACCCAGAGGGGCTATTTTTTAAATAAGAGCTTACAATCATGTATGTTACAATTAACAAATTTGAATTCCATTGATTTCATTAATTTGGTTTAATGATTGTAGAAAGATTGCTAAATCACATCATAGTCACAGAAGACTTAACATTGCGATGTTATGTTGTTCTCATTCTTTTTAAAAAGTCTTCTAGTTGCTTTAATGATTGTAGAAAGTCAATGCTAAACACTCTGAGCTACTAACTGAATCTTTAACTTTTTTTAAATTCATACTAAAGCCAGTAACATTATCAGTATTTCCATTAGCCACTCCAACTAAATTTGGAATCTGTACTTTAAAAAACTGATTTTACTATTAATTTAATTAAATAGAATAAAATTTACACAACTGCTATTAGTCTGCACGGTTGTCAGCCGGCTTTCACATGTCTAAAAATTTGAATTCAAGTAAATCAGTACTAAAAATTGAAACTAACAATTGCATTAATACCCATGGGGATCAAACCCGAGCTACTAGTTGCTGGTGCAATTTTCAGCAAAAGCTTTGTTTGGATAAAATTAACAATACATAAAAATATAAAAATTTATTGCAGTAAAAAAGTAATTCTGAGTCGTCAATGTGGATACATAATAACTTATTTACTGTAAAGAGAAAAACACACACACACACACACACACATATATATATATATATATATATATATATATATATATATATATATATATATATAGTTATAGATAGTATTCATCCAAGTACCTCTTACATTGTGTTGTAATACTATAGACAGACAGTTTCATAGCATACATGCATGGGTAAAATACATGGGTAATATAGGCCAAGTGCATGTTGAGACATCCGTAAGGTAAGGTAAGTAAAAAAATAAGGTAAAGTACTATAGACTGTAGGGGCTGCTATTCTGATCCCACGACTCTTAACGCACTTTTAATTTCAATCTCTAAAGTTTGAATACTTTTTTTGTTATTATTTTAATTAAAAGCATGCGCGCGCACCAAGAGTACCAATATTTCACTTTTTAAGTTGTATTATTTATAAAAGGTCATATATATATATATATATATATATATATATATTGCATTAATTGGATGCAACTAAATTAAGCGGCTTAAATAGAAAATTTGACAAACTTGGATAGATTATCAAACATCGGCCACGTTGCCTGCTTGAGCCTGGCATTTTACATTGACCGGTTCGCACTGCAGCGTATTTTGTATCAAAAACAATTCCAGTAAAAAAGTAGTCTAATGTCTTATTATACCTAAACGTTAAACAAGCAAATTAAATACCTTGAAGGCAACCACAACACAACAAAAGAAATACAAAAACATGTACGACAGAAAATTAAGCAGACAGGAATAAATTATGCATAAAGCGTGTATTCTATTAAATATGTTTAACAGCATTACAGCCCATCACAAGCCCACTACTGAAGGTATGACTCGCCCAAGAGTTGGCACAAAATTAGTTTTATAAAGAAAATTTAAAAAAATAATAAATGTTTGAAGTGCAACAGTCCTTCAGCAAAAACATGAAAGTGAAGAACAAATTGCTTTAAAAGGTTTCATTGTAAGATATTCATAATTAAATTTTTAATCCACTGTTTGTAATATTTGTACCAGGAGTAAAAGTTATTAGTACAAGTGATAATAAATATAATAATGTTTCACAGACCGAATTTAGGTTACAGTGGACTTAGCGGAGACTAGCTGTTAGTGCAGGACCGGATTATAGTGTACGAATGTAAGCTCAAACAACACGTGCACTCTCTATTCCTTTGCACGCATCATAGCCCGAAGGGATAGCAATCTGACACAACCAGAGAGGATCATACCACATGAGTAGATAAAGGGAACAGAGATAAAGCTTCATACAACCGCACGAATCAGTTGCACTACTACAAGCACACGGGGCTTGTTTGGTGACCACTGGCCGCTTTTCACGCACGTGGCGAGACTGGAAAAAACCGGTTGCACTGGCATAGCCAGTGGACAATCTTTAAGGTTAGTGCAACGCACGATGTTTGTTTTGTTAGTTGTAACCATTGAGCTATTACGTGCTACGTACTAGAGGCGACTCTGCATTCAGCTACTATGTTCCACTCAACTGCGGTGCATACACCGCACTTTAATCAGTCACTCGCTAGGCGCTGTAGAGTTGTCACGTGTTGTGTTGATTTAAAAAAAAATCTCTTGATAAAAATATGCCGTCGTGTGTACTTAGCTATTGCACAAATAATTCAAGAAATATCAGTAACCAAGGAATTACTTTTCATCGGTTAATATGATACTTAATCAATAAAAAGTATTATAGATTAATAATAAAACAAATTATTTCTAAGACGCCATCTCGTATCATGAAATATAGATAATAGATTATGAAATTAATATGTTCAGATGTGACATTTCTGTGAGTACTTAAGTATAGGACGAATATAATATTATTATACACATTTTTTTGTAGAAACATATATAAGTTATTATAATTAGGCTAAATTTTTCATGTTTAAATCTGCTTATTATTCTTTTATTTTATTTTTAGGTTTCCACATCAAAGTCAAAGTGCTTGGCATAAATTCGTCCATTTTTAACTCTCGCGTGTCCAGCATTTATGAACGAATTTTATTTTAATTTAAATAAATATACTTGTAATTTAAATGTTATGTTAATAAGTTTTGTTAAACATACATTTAGTATGTTTTTTTATATTTGACATAGATACCTTTTAAAATATTCAGATAAAAATATCATTAAAATGTAATTGTGATGTAATATTTTGTAATATTATATTAAATAAGCAAATATAATATACAAAATAAATGACAAAATTTAAATATTGTTCTCGATATAATTTACCTATTTAACAATACAATCTACTATTACCTACGGGTCATTCTTATTTTTTGGGTGTTCTAGTACGTAAGTACATAGTACATATTCAATGGTTGTAACTTTAAAAAAATTTAATGTACAAACGCGGTATTATTAATAATGGTTGTTTATTGTACTGTGTGTATGAATAATACTAGAAAAAGTAAAAATATATTATACTTTACCTGTCCCAAGGAGTACAATAGGTGTAAGTAAATATTTGATTATTACTTTTTCTATAGCTTTATTTTATTATATGATCCTCGAGCAAGTTTCGCGAGTATTTAGATCTTGAAATAAATATTGTCAATGTTGTCAAGGAAATACTTATACATATTAAAGGTTATAAATTCGATATGCCATGTGAGTGTGCCATAGATTACTTGAACTTATTTTAGATTCAGAATTTACCACCTCAAAAGAAACAATAAAAATAAAAAAAATTAGTTTGGGGGTAATCTTTCACTGAATAATAAAACTATTTAACAAATTGTTTTGTTTTAATTGTCTTCACCTATTGTGACAACCCCCCGCCCCCCACCAAAACAAGTAACAATTTTGCACATTCCTAAGAAGCCTTCTCTCTGTTCCGTTTATCTACTCATGTAGTCATGGGCAAGACCAATGGCTTAACACTTGCGAAATCCCCCCCCCCCCCACTCCGGGCTCCTATTGAAATTTCTTGACAGAAAATCCCAATAACTGATTTTTGGCTTGACCCGGTATTCAAAGTCGGAGCCTTGTTTAGCATTCGTGCTTCATCCACTAAACAGCTAATAAGAGTTTGTTATGCGGAACAACAATTCAAGTGTTAGATAAAATAAACGCTATAAAATCTGTAGATCTAATAGGACAAATTGCATAATTTTTTTATGAATCCCTGGTCCTAAGTTGAATTGGAATCTAAAGCTGGTACTAACATTTCAGCAAGTTAGTTATTATTAATTTACGTACCTTACGTACTACGTGCCTAATTTACGTACATACTAACGTTCTGTTACTTACTTAGCGTCAAGTTCTAAATCAGTTCTTATCATATATTATGCGTTATATCTAGTATATTATGCGTTATTACGAGTGAAGCATCTGTTCTTTGCAACATAAAAGGTTTCAGGAATCGCAAATTTAGAGGAATAGTATAATTTTATTTAGAATAACAATATAACTGATAACGATCTCCAAGTCGATTTTAAGCCAAAGTGACGACTACATAATCAGAAGCTTTCCACTGCGCAAGAGACATTATAGTGAGACAAGTGTACGCAAAAACATAGAGGTACTGACTTGTACCAACCCACCGGCCCTGAATGTTAATAAGCATTACATGCAATAAGATCACAGATATTAACCGCACTCAAAAGGTTTACCAAAGATAATTTCTGCCACTTTTGGCGACCGTCTTCCACGCTTGTTTCCTCAATGCCGGTAGCAAACGCCACGAGTGGGTTGGGGATGCAGTTAGAAAAACAGTGACAAATACAACACAACCACACCCGCAAACCAACAATAACAGAATTCTTCAACAATTTTGGCTTCGGCTGCTTTTGAAACATAGGACCTCGACTTAGAGACCATAAGATCTTGGACATAAGTAATAATTAATAATGTACTGAAATTAGAATAAATGTTGTCGTTCGTTTACTTCGCCTAGTCGGTTACCATTTGATAAAGAGTGGATGCCGAGCGTCAAGCCGGTGCTTCTAGTGCCCGATTCATAAAACTACCATATATTATATTCATAACATTAGCGGACCTTCATTCTATCGCTATTAGGGTCCCGTTATGTTTCTCGTGATTTTTTTAAAGAGTAATGTCACGGTAATATTATCCATACAGTATTGTAACTCGGCCGTATCTTTCAAATAAATGCCTACAGCCATGCGGCACGTAAACATGTGATAGGGTTACCTGCTTCCAGCATTTTTACATTTGCCTACTTTGTGTTTCCATTTAGTTTTATGATTGTAAATATACTTTTTATATAAACAAATAAAATAGGTACTTTGTGAATTGAATAGGAAGTGTTCAATAAAAATGCGTGTCGTTTTTTGATTGGTAGATTTAATTTAAAAAACCATGTTTATGTTTGAATAACAAATCGGTTAAATAAATTTGCGACCGAAAAATATTTGCACCTCGGCTGAGACTTACGAAATGCTTTATTATTAGATTTTTAAATATAAAAAATCCGCTTGCAAATATAAAGCTAAAAATAATATAAATTAAAAATTGTTTTGGGAAACATGGACAACGTGGAGAAAAGGAATATCTTTTAATTGGTTATAGATACCTGCAGCTACTTTACAATTTATATGTTTGTTTTTAAATGAAGTTCAGATTTATTATTTCTTTATTTCTATTCTATTATTTATTTCCTCCATTTTTTATATATTTCACAAAATCATCACTGCGGCACAGTCTCGACTGTCTGCATGCCGAGCGCATGCCGAGATCGAGGCGCGTAGGCATAGCTCTCGCTTCGTCCGTTTGTATGAAGTTGGAATACTGTATAGATAATATTACCGTGGTAATGTTATTATAGCATGATGTCATATTCTAAAAGATGATGACTTATGCAAAGATCTTTTTATTTTATATTGATAAAATAATTTAATTAAGGTATAGCTATATCCTATACCTTTAAACGAGCAATTCTTGTATATAATATACATACATACATATCCCATACATACATATATATATATATATATATATATATATATATATATATATATATATATATATAATCGGAATATCGGAAACGACTCCAACGATTTTCATAAAATTTAGTGTCCAGGGAGTTTCGGGGGCAATAAATTGATTTAGCTAGGTCTATTTTTAGAAAATGTCTTTTTGTCCGTGTTTTCAGCCAATGAAAAACTACTACAATATAAGAAAGTAAATTTTGACACTATGTTAATGATCGCAATAGCTCAAGTGGATATCGAGCGGTCGCGAAATCGTAACGCCTTGGTTCGCGTCCTGTCTTCGGTCCGACTTTTTTCCTTTTTTTTTCAAGTTCCCTTTTGGGAGAAAATCTATTATTTCGAGCCCTTTTTTTAGTATTTCTTAAAATACGAAAATTTTAATTAAACTAATCGCACTGATGATTTTTATTCAAATAACCAGTTCAGTTTTTTCTATTATGTCAATAAGATCAAAAAATATTAATGTTTCATCAGTATGTAAAAAAAAACCGAGCAAAGCTCGGTCATCCGGGTACTTACTACATAAGGTATAAAACAGCATAATATACATTATAAGTACATATACTTAAATTACGTTTGCTCACTTAGTCGTTCGTATACACTTACCTATCATTACGGATGGGTTGTTTGGGATGCTTAGGTGGTTGTTTCATTCCAGCACTAGCCCCAGACAATGCGGATAGGGCTGAGTAGGGATCGCCAAGCGGTGGAAAATTTAGACCGGAGGCTTGCAAACGAGCTAAATAGTCCTGCGCTGCTAGATGTGATGCCATCGACCACCACGCCGCACCTGAAATTGAAGCACAGTTTTTTTAACTATTGTAAGCCAGTAAAAAGATAGAGCCTATATACGCCCCACTGCTGGGCACAGGCCTCCCCTCATTTCTGAGAGGGTATTAGGGCAAGGAAGTGTCCGCCGCACTGCCCCAATGCGTGTTGGCGAACTTCACGTCTTCGAAATATTTTTTTTGTTATTCCTCACACGTGCAAGTTTCCTGACGATGTTTTCCTTCACCGCCGAGCACGCGGTAAATCAGCATTAAAATTGCAATTAACAATTTCATTGGTATCGGTGGGGATCGAACCCGGGTTACTCGCGTTCTGTTATAATTACAGCGAGCGAGAACATAGTGCTCCCAACAACTAGTGGCGTAGGTGTGACATGATCTTTGTTTTGTCCATCTTAAGACCTATAGGTTGGGAGCCACCATTGAGGTCATTGAGCATAGTGCTTAGGTCCTCTAGCGATTCTGCCATAAGGACTATATCGTCGGCAAATCGAAGGTGAGTGATGTACTCGCCATTGATGTTAATACCGTATCCTTTCCAGTCCAGTAGCTTGAAAACGTCTTTCAATGCAGCGGTGAAGAGTTTCGGGGATATAACGTCACCCTGTCTTACACCTCTCTGCAGTTGGATAGGTTTCGAACTCTGGTTGGAATTCTGGTCTGGTGGTGAAAACTAGATTGTACAACCAGTGCGTGTTGCCAGTGATGACTTACAGATCTGAGACGTGGTCCTTCACTGCTGGCCGTATGAGGACGCTCAAGGTCGCTTAGCGAGCTATGGAGAGGGCTATGCTCGGAGTTTCTCTGCGTATTAGACTCAGAAATGAGAATATCCGTAGTAAAACCAGAGTGACCGACATAGCCCAACGGATTAGTAAGGGAAAAAAGGTTCTCAAGTGGCAGCCTCGTACCAGTAGGCGTAGTGTAGGGCGACCCCACTACACAGCATATAGCTCGCAGCCATATAATTATGCCAAAATCCTGGGCCAATAATTCCCCAACTTCGTAATGAACTAAGACTGCGTTTAAATTTCCAATAATTTTGAGATTAGTTGAGAAATCCGACTGAAGAAAGGAAGAATACTAAGGCCAACCAGGATGTTAGAAATCTGGAAAGATGTGTATGAATGGTCTTTAGTTCCGTCAATTAATAACTGTCCGTTGATATGTGTAATGGGCGTGTAAGAATATCAACTGCCCCATATCGTCCCGTAGGTGTCGTAACAGGCGACAGACAGAAATAAAATAGGAGATTGGAAGCAGCGTTTTACTAATAACAACTAGCATAAAAACTGTTGTTGCTAACATGCAAGCAAAGCGTAGTAAATATAGCGTAATAATAAATTCCCATAATGAGGCAATGTTTGGGGAAGTCTATGTTCAACAGTGGGCTTTTATTGGCTGTAATAATGATGACAAACTACCCGTTGACGAATTTCAATGTAGGGTAGGGTAGGGTACACTAGAGATCGGCGTTACTTGTCTTAGTAATGATAAAGTACCCAAAAATGCTATTCAGAAGAAATGGGAATGATACTAACTGGCAGCTGGATGGATTCCGAGGGAGGCGGCTTGGTTGGCAGCGACGCCGAGGGTCGAAGGTGGCGGGTAGCGAGAGCCGAAGCCGAAAAGCGCCGCCTGCGCCTGCGCCTGGGCTTGCGCCTGCGCAGCCGCCGCGCCGCCTCCGGAACCTTCGCGGCCCCAGTATGCTGCAAGCAAAAAGTTTATTTATTATTTTGTTTTGTTTGAATTTGCCCGTCGCCGGTATGGTTACCGTGTAGTGGCGGTGTAAGAATATTCACTACTCCATACCATCCCGTGGGTGTCGTAAGAGGCGACAGAGAGAAACAAATCAGGAGATAGGCAGCAGCATCTTCCTAATAACGACTAAAAATAAAAACTGCAGTTACCAATTCGCTTCTCAAGCATAGTAACTATGGCAAGTGGCCCAAGAATGACTCCCTATGAGGCAAAATATGGGGAGGCCTAATTACTGCAGTGGACGACGGTAACGATATGGTTACGTGAGACGGTAAATTTACAGTCTTTAATACACCCCACTGGCGCCCACGCCCACAATCCTTCTCTCATTTCTAAGATGGTTTTAGGGCGGGGGAGTGTCAACCGCTCTGCCCCAATCAATGCATGTTGGTGGACTTCACATAATATCTTTTAAATATTTTATTCTCATACATTCAGGTTTCTTAACTAAGTTTTCATTCATCGTCAAGCACGTGGTAAATCAATTTCATTCATGCCAAGGTCAATCGAAGTTGAGGTTGCCCGTGTACTATGAAAGGAGATGAACGAAATTGGGTGCTTGAAATCGTTCCGGACAGTTATACAAAAATATGTAAGTAATAAAACGATAAATTATGAGCATAATTAAATCGTTTTTATTTCTGTTGTTGCTTGGAACTATGATAAAAACATTTTATAAACTGAAAAACGAAAGCTAATGCTTTTATTTTAGCAAAAACGAAACGATTTAAATTTTTTTTAATTAAGAATTTTGGCTTGGACGCTTGTCTTTTAAGCCATGTCTTCATTTCATTTAGGATTTTACTACATAACCTACAACCCCAGGAAAACCCCAGGCCCTGCAAGAATATGATTTATTAACATACTTATCAGATATTTAAATCTTCAAAATAAGACATATTTGAACTTTGTTAACGCCGGGCCCAAACTTATACAGAATCAAGTTCATCTTCTTTACAGCGAGGCGCTCAGTCCCGGAACCACTACGGTGTCTTTTATAGGAATAAATAATTAGATTCAGGATCATATCTCGAAATGTAGTCGTTGTGCTTTTTTGTTATATAAGGTTGTCATATAATAAGGTGCGGCGGGGCTGTCGTCGCGAAATTGAAAACGAACAAGCTCAATCGCGTTATTAAAGTTTCCGACCTGCTCCGGTATATTTAGAACAATGGTCCTTCCGGAAGCCCCAACACAGTCACAGAATACCAGCGTCAAATAGCAGTTTAAAGGATGAATCACAATAGACCGAGTAGGGTCCAAGCGGAGTGTCGGTCGTAGCACAGTCACCGAGCCGGTCCCGGACGGACCTCGACTGAGCAATTACGGTTACGCCGTGATGCAGTATACTCGTCCGAGTAAAAATAGTGTTGTATCTAGACTACAATCATATAGAAATTTGACGATCTGAAAGTAGCGGCTATTGCGATCGCTCTGGACGATGAATAATCTGATAAATATTCAACTACAAGGAAATGGATACTTCCTCACAGCTTCAATCAAACGTTCGTTGTTGATTTTCCGACGACGAACAAAACGTCATTGCAGTTGTTTAGCATCAGTACGACTGCTCGCGCACAGCTCGGCGGCACTGTTTTCATGCAATGGGCCGATGGCCAAGCTTTGTCCGTTGCTCGGCCGTCACTTGGTTGCCGCTCGGTATAGAGTGGGTGTGTTCATACAAAATATATTATGTAATATTAGTACATCGTGCTACGGCTGACACTCAGCTCGGAACCGACACCGAGTAATCCTTTATGCTGTTGTTTTCCTGATGGCGAATGTAGACAACCAAAGACCCTTTTTACAGAACTTTATTAGTTCTCTGGGATGACAACTCTTCGTTGTAAAAGTAAAAAATGACATATCATAATAATCATGATCCTCTGTCCTCAGACCGGCTATGATTTAGGTGTTTTATTTAGTCTTATAAAGTGCCTCTATGACTAACAGAAATAATTGATACAGTGGCAACGAACTTCTTTCTTATTTATAGGCCCATAAAATCCCACTACTGATACTAGGAACGTACCTAATATCCGCGAAAGTGAATATATCACCTTCACAGATAATATTACTTTTATAGTCAATGAGTTAGTCAGTTTTGACACGACAATCTGGGCCCGAAACAATTATTTATTCTATAGGCCATTTAAATATTAGTTATGTGCGCGATTCAAACTAATTTCCCAACAGCACCGATGCCAAATGCTTAGCCACTGGGCTACTAAGCTGTAAATTCTTACTTTATTTAAGGTTATGCCTACGGTAAACCATGTAGTGGCGTTATAAGAATCCTTTTTTATAGGACAGGATGACAAACGAGCACACAGTCCACCTGACGGTGAGTGGTTGCTGTGGCACATAGACATCTACATCTATCCTCGATTACGAATCAAAATGCAGATGCGTTGTCACCCGTGAGGACTAAGATGGAATGCCTCGTTTCCAGTAAAAAGGGTTTCCGGTTCTCTACACTCACCATACGAAACACAGCAACATTAAGCTACTATTTTACGCTGGTATTCTGTGAGAGCGTGGTCCTTCCCCGGTCGAGCCGACCCATTCGTGCTACAACTATACTACTAATATAATTGCAGCATGGCTCTACCACGTTAAAAATATATCCACTACTTCATATGTTGTCCCGTGGGTATCGTCAGGTGCGACGACAGAAGGAAACTTAATCAGGAGAAGGGCAGCAGCATCTTTCGGATAACGACTGAAAAAATCCCTCATATATGGCAATCCATGGGGAAGGTCTATGTTCAGCATTGAACTTTTATAAGCTGCAATGGATGGATGAAGGTGGTACGTGTCATAAGGTGAAAATAATGGTTACCCAGTAACCAAAGAGCCAGTGTACGATGGGTGGAATTTTAGGTTTATTTTAATGATTGTAACACCAATAAATAATGCCGCCATCCAATTTCTAAAGGGTATCAGATAATGACTATTATGTAAAACCTTACCATTATTATTTCATATAGCTATGAATAATAAAACACCTTTCCATTCACCTCGGCAGTAAAATGTAATAGTATTCTATGGTAAAATGCTTAGTACTTAGTCACTGCACTGTCAAACCGGTCGTTTCTTACTTTTCCCTATTTATTATTATTTTAATACCTTTGATATGTATGTATGTGGTGTAGCTGTTTTTTTTTTCATTAGAATTTCCAAAGAATAGATTTATTTTGAAAATTCATATAATGAAAAATAAAATAAATTTTTTATTCCTTTAAACGCTACTTAGTTTTTATTATTAATTATTACTTTGAAATGAGTGGCAAGAAAAAAAAACAAATATATTGATAGTAGTTTTTCGTTCTTAATTTGTTACTTGTAATTATTATTAAACACCAGCGATACGCGCCGGCTTCGCACGGGTGATTTCTGGATCTCGGCGACAGCGCCACCTACCGGGTCCAAATGTCCATCAGGGACCCATTCGAAACACACAAAAAACATCATCAAAATCGGTCAGGCCGTTTTTGAGATTTAGCGAAAATAACGGACAGCAACTGATTTTTATACGTAGAGATAAATATGTTATTTAAGCAGAGATTAATATATTATTTAAGCAGAGATTAATATATTATTTAAGCAGAAATTAATATATTATTTAAGCAATCTTCATAGCCTAAAGGGAAATTATAGCTAGATAAGGGAGATTTGTCCGTTTCATGCTGTTTAGATTCCTTTATGTCACGTAAAATTATTAGAAAACTTACTAATAAAATAACCAGTATAATGTGACGAAGACCGTGAGGGCATCAAAATCAATCGATTTTGTTACTTAATACATCATAATAGAAGTCATTGACGTCGCAGACATTTGGTTGTTGGGAACACGCTTGGTGCAAGGTCGACGACCTCGGTTGAGTTGACTTATATGGTGTCATGGTACAATACCGCAGCAGTGTTGAACGGCAGCTTAGTACTACTATGTGAAACTTCTTTTTCAATAAATAATAACGTTTGAGGCGCTTGTTGAACAGCTGCTAAAACTTTTATTTTAAATGAGTAGTCGTAAAGTTATCCTAAACATAAGCCAGTATTTGCTATATTTATAAAAATTTAAATATCTGCGAATAAATCATCTGATAATAAAAAGTAACGGTTAAGTAAAATTAAGTTGAAGTACGGATTTTTATCAATGAATGATTCAAGACATTGGGGGTCTCAACCGTGCCCTGTTTGTATTATGTTAGAAGTCGCCAAAACAACACGGGAGCTGATTTTACAAACTTAATAAATAATAAGTGGTGTTCATAAACATCTAGATACCCAGATAGAACAGTAATTAGCGTTATACCAAAAAATAGAGACTTTAGCGGAAGCTGTTACAACGAGTAAAAGGTTTAAGGTGAAGTGGGCGCCAAAAGCAGATTTTTCACGCTGTATATGGACTGTTTGGTCGGCCCGCACGTTATTTAGTCGCACAATATTTATTTGATATTTGTTTTTAAAATGAGATATACTCCTTTATTGAAAAATAAACCCATAATTCACTTACGAATTTACTGGTGAACAAATAGCCTGAATTTGATTGAAATTGATTTCATTAAATTCGAATGAAACTGCTTTTTCACTTAGTGGCAGTACCTAAAATTGTAGATTTTGAGGAAACTTTGCGATCTTTTTCTATCGAGCCAAAATGTGTCAATTGTGTTTTGGCCACCATAATTCATTACGATAAATCTTTAACTTTCATAATAAATTTAAAAAAAAATTGAATTCGTAGTTTTTAATGACAAAAAATCTGCTTTTGGCGCCCACATCATCTTAATGATATACAAAGAAAATCCGCACCCATTAAAAGGTTTCTTCAAAATACATTTTACACGGTAAACGATTTCTAAATTAAATAATACAGGACTATCTTGATAGGGAGTATGGACTAAAGTTGATAATTGTCATTTTTAATATTAATTTACATTGTACT